AGCTCGCCCTGCCCCTGGGCACGCTGCCTCAGGAGCCAAACGGCTTCCTCCTCCACTGGCTGCAGGAAGCTCCTGCAGCTTGTGCATCGGGTTTTGATCATTCAGGAGCAGATTTGTTCGGGAGCCTAGGCGTTTGAGGTCCAAGGTATGGCTGTACAGTGGTACCTTGGTTTACAAACTTAATCCATTCCAGAAGTCCGTTCTTAAACCAAAGCATTATTAAACCAAGGCGTGCTTTCCCATAGCAGCAAGGGACTCAATTTACAAATGGAACACACTCAACAGGAAGCGGAACATGTTCTTGTTCCAAGGCAAAGTTCACAAACCAAAACACCTACTTCCGGGTTTGCAGCGTTCTGAATCCAAGTTGTTCATAAACTAAGCTGTTCTTAAACCAAGGTACCATTGTATACCCTTCCAGAGTTCATGCTAAATACATGACTTCTGCTAAATGAGCCACCATAGCTGCTACAGGGCTCTGAAAATGTGTGTCGTGGGCTTTTTAGATTCTTCTACCTGTGTACTATCTGAAACCAAAGTGGCACATTGGTTGCCAGATGTGAGATGTATTGGCATAATTTCCAGCTCTCCTACCCCACTATTTAGTGTTTGAAAGCCCAGGATCCAAATAGTATGTTTTGCAGCACAATCGTGTACACCAGGGGGTGCCTAACCTTTTGCCCTCCAGATGTTTGTGAATGCTACCTTCTCTCGTCCCTGACCATTGACCATCTTGGCTGGGACTGACGAGAGTTTGAGTCAACCACATTTGAATGGGTCACAGGTGTCCCCTCACAGAGCTACAATTTCCTGCACCAATAACAAAGGGCAGTTCCCAGCATTCTTCAGGGGGGATTGTGCATTCAATGTATGCTGGGTATGCAGCCTCGTGTTATGCAAGGCTTGCCTTTCTCTGACAGTTAATGATGGCAAAATATTGCAGCTGATTTACATGCATAGGAGTTCCTACCTAGCTTTGATTTCCTGAGGGTATTTCTCCCACTTCTTCCTGCTGCCAGCTGTTTTTTTTCCAGTTCTTTTACCTAGGCCAGACTACAAAGGGATTAGAGACACAATTACATCCTTGAATGTAAACAACAAATATTGCATAGTTCAAAAACACTGCTGTTAGCTGGTTAATAATAAATTGCACCCCACCTAGGAAAGATCTGACAGTGATTCACAGAATGCTGGCTTCGTTGCTCATAAAAGCCTCTTTCCCTGTTTTGAGAAAGCTGACATATTTATGGTGGGACTGTAGGATACAGTTTGTAATTCACTGTTAATAATTATTTACAGCAAATTTCCCTCCTTCTGAAGCCGGCAGAGAGCTGTCAAATGGGAAGATTTCGCAATTTATATGGGGCTGTGTGCATTAGGCAAGCCCGGGAGTATATTAACTTATGGCTGCCTGGAATCCATTTGACAGCAAATAGATCATGAGAAGCAAAATAGTGTCAGAAACAGGAGGGGGAAGAAAATGTTTCCATTTTAGAAACAATTTTAAACATCAGACAAAGAAAAAAAGCATGTCATTCACCGGAGCATTAGATTTTCCTTAGTTTTGAAGAAAACCCCAGTGAATTTTGTACCTAAATAGTTCAGTTCTGGAGTGTGAATTTTGAAACGTTTCTACATTTTATAAGTGAAATATGCTGTACTCCAAACCATGGGAGAATCACAAGGAGCTATAGGTAGAGTCCTGAAATCCCATGAAAGGTGAATGACAGAGAGGACCTGAGCTCCTATATGTGTGATGCAGAAGCAAAAAAAAAAAAAAGCTAATGTTATTCTAGGCTGTATAAACAGAAGTATACAGTGGTACCTCGGGTTAAGTACTTAATTCGTTCTGGAGGTCCGTACTTAACCTGAAACTGTTCTTAACCTGAAGCACCACTTTAGCTAATGGGGCCTCCTGCTGCTGCTGCGCCGCTGGAGCACGATTTCTGTTCTCATCCTGAAGCAAAGTTCTTAACCTGAAGCACTATTTCTGGGTTAGCGGAGTCTGTAACCTGAAGCGTATGTAACCCGAGGTACCACTGTACTGTCTAGATAAAGGGAAGTAATAGTACCACTCCATTCTCCCTTCATCAAACCACACCTGGAATACTGTGTCCAAATTTGGACAGCGCAATTTAAGGATGTTGACAAGCTGGAACATGTGCAGAAGAGGGCAACCAAGATGATCAAGGTTCTGGAAACAAAACCTTACGAGGAGCGCTTGGAGGAGCTGTGTATGTTTAGCCTGGAAAAGATGAGACTGAGAAATACGACAGCCATCTTCAAGTATCTCAAGGGCTGTTGCCTGGGAAATGGATCAAGCTTGTTTTCTCTTGCTCTGGAGGGTAGGACTCGAACCAATGGCTTCAAGTTACAAGAAATGAAATTCTGACTAAACATCAGGAAAATACTTTCTGATATTAAGAGCTGTTTGACAGTGGAACTGTTCAACTTCCTTGGAGGTTTTTCAATAGAGGCTGGATGGCTATCTGTCCTGTGTGCTTTAGCTGAGATTCTTGCATTGCAGTGGGCTGGGCTAGTGTCCCTCCAACTCTACAATTCTCTGTGATAAAAGTCATGCAGCCTTTCTAAATCTTGATTTGTTCTCATGGCCCCTTCCAGTTCTACAATTCTATGAAATGTAAAAGTGGCTCAAATTATCAAAAGACTCATACTGAACATAACTGCCCCTTGAGCATGGCTGGTTCCAGACTTGTGGACCCATGGCTTAGAATGGTCTTCCCCACCCTGGTGCCCACCAGTTGTTTTGAATGAAAACTCCTATTATATTTCACCAGTAGCCGTACTGGCTAAAGGTAAAGGTACCCCTGACCATTAGGTCCAGTTGCAGATGACTCTGGGGTTGTGGCGCTAATCTCGCTCTATGGGCCGAGGGAGTCGGTGTTTGTCTGCAGACAGCTTCCAGGTCATGTGGCCAGCATGACTAAGCCGCTTCTGGCGAACCAGAGTAGTGCACTGAAAGGGTGTTTACCTTCCCGCCGGAGCAGTACCTATTTATCTACTTGCACTTTGACGTGCTTTTCAACTGCTAGGTTGGCAGGAGCAGGGACTGAGCAGTGGGAGCTCACCCTGTCATGGGGATTCGAACCGCGACATTCTGATTGGCAAGCCCTAGGCTCTGTGGTTTAGACCACAGCGCCACCTGCGTCCTCAGCCGTACCGGCTAAGGGTGGGCTAACTGAAGTAGGAAGCCAACTACATTTGGATGAGCAATTTTGAGATGAGCAATGACAAAAATGAAGAAGTGAATGGAAGCTTATCCAAATATTTCAATCCAGCAAGGTGCGGGGGGACATGCACAGGAATGTTGGTTTATGAATGCACAACTGGGAACTGATGCAACAAGAAGTGTTGGATCAGGGCCAAACTGGACCGGTCTGGGTTGTGTGGTCATGTATATTTTCAACACAATCTTCTGTGGACAGACGACATGAGATTAGCTCATTTGCCTAGACATATAGGTGATCTTCTTTTCACAGCTATGGTCCTGCCAGTCTTGAAGATTATATGGCCGTATTTCTTTTTCTTTTTATTCAGACTCCCTCTTGTGGCAGAACATGATTAAGAACCCAGTTCTAACCAAAAGAAAAAAATTCCTTCCAGTAGCACCTTAGCGACTAAGTAAGTTTGTTATTAGCATGAGCTTTCGTCAAAATTTGAAACAAGGTTCATTTTAAGAAATCTGCAACATTGGCCTGATGACTTCTCTTCTTTTAAAAACTTCACTCGCGAATCTGCACTTTGGTTGCAGGGGCACTTCGTTCCCCAAAAATTGAAGCCTATTGTTTTGTACTCAAGAAAATGCAGCAATCTCCCACACCCCAGGCAGAGTTATCATGAACAGGGTGTAAGTAATAGGACCCAACTGGAAATTGTACGGTTGTCACTAATCACACAACCTTCCATTCTCGCATCTCATCCTGAATTGTCATGGAATTGTCAGCATTTGTTACCTTGTTCCTTTAAAGTTGTTGTTGTTGTTGTTGTTGTTGTTGTTAATGTTTACACAACTAAGCAAGTGTGCTGCTTAAGACTTCTATGTGATGATGATATACACATGTGCCTTTCTTTCGGGGGGGGGAGGGAATCACTGAAGAATATGAAAGGGTGGCAGACAAATTGTTTATCATGGGCTACGTCAGAGAGTGGTCCTTCTTATGATATTGGACTCCACCATGAGAGAACTCATCGTGCTGTACTGAATAATCATCAATCAATCAATCTTTATTGCGGTCAAAGACCTGACAACAGTTTAATAAGTAGAGTCAGGTAGGGGAGCAAATCATAAAGTCCAGTGCAGTTTATACTGGAACGCCCTCCTGTCAGATGTCAAGGAAATAAACACCTTTTAGAAGACATCTGAAGGCAGCCACGTATAGACAAGTTTTTATTGTTTGCTGTTTTACTGTGTTTGATGTTTTGATTTGTTGGAAGCCACCCAGAGAGGCTAGGTCAACCCAGTTAGATGGGTGGCATATCAATAAATTGCTGCTGCTGCTGCTGCTGCAATAACCTGAGTCAAATGTTCTCTTTTACCCCAGTCTTCAGATACTGAAACACACACATATGTCACACAAATACTAACATCTGAAAATATTCAAACCCAGGGCAAGCTGGTGACGTAATAGTCACTTTAATGTTGGTTAAATATGTGATCTGTGGTCCTGGATTTCCTTTCAGCCACCCGTCCCTCTCTCTCTCACACACACTCATCTGGAACATCAGTATAACAATACTGACCTACCTTATGAGGTTTTTGCAACAACTATGGAAATAATGCAAGTAGAGCACTGAGATGCTTCAGTGTGCTCTGCTGAATTATTCAATGGGCTATACTGAGTGTGTTACTTAATGAGATTGATGGGCATGTGGTAAACTGAACTAAAAGAACAAGGAAAGATTGAAAACCACAACTCAAGTACATAATAGTAATATCCAACTTTGAAAACCGAAGGAAAGAAAAACAGGGTGCCTGAGAATTCATTTTAAGTAGTTTAATGCCACCACCAAAAATAAAAAAAATAAAAATGAAAGCCATTACAATGAGTAAAAAAGAAATCAGTTTTGAGTCCTCTCTTATTTCCACAAACCATCGACTGAAAGTTTGGAGAAGCAGCAGCTGCAGTAGTGGACGATCTTCATTCTAAGGGCTCTCTGTCTCACTCTGACTCAAGTCGTGGCAACACAGGGAGAATAAGGTTTCCAAAGGCGGAGTCTTGGGTTATAAAGTATCCTGAAGAATGTGCATGAGCATGCTGGAAGAGGAAGAGACAACATCTGGAAAATGGCACATGTAATACATCCATGCAAGAGTAGCCTCCCCACGGCGCTAGCCAAGCAATAGGAGGGCATGAAAAAAACAAATCAGATTCAGAGGTGGTTTGGTGGTGGTTTTTTTTTTTTTAATCTATATTGGAGGTTTCAATCCTGAACACAGTTGGATTGATTTAATCCTTTCGACATCTATGGGATTTAATTCTGTGCGGCACTGCAACTGAAATCTTGTTAAGAGTCAGGATCTGGAATTCAATGTAAAAGACAGGCGCTAATGCTTATGGGATTGTCTGTAATTTCTTCAGTCTGCCTTTGCATCCTCTGCTGCTTGAATTCCAGCCTCAGGATGCAGGGGAGAAATGAGCCTGAATCTAAAATGAAAAAAACGATGTGGTACAGCAGGCATAGGCAAACTCGGCCCTCCAGATGTTTTGAGACTACAATTCCCATCATCCCTGACCACTGGTCCTGTTAGCTATGGATGATGGGAGTTGTAGTCCCAAAACATCTGGAGGGCCGAGTTTGCCTCTGCCTGTGGTACAGGATGGCCAGGCACCAATGCTATTATTACCGCATCACAAATAATTCTGATATAAAACTATGTTATCACTGTGCAAGTCACAAAGCTGCAAGATGCATGTTAGTTTTGGTCCCTACCACATGCAAAAAGGACCTTAGGAGCAACAGCTTCCAACGCACCAAGACCAAAAAAACAGAAAACAAAACAACGAAATACGGATCCTGCCAACCTGAGTCTTGTGTGACTGGGACAACTCACCTGCAGAGCGGCCTTTTGCTGTGCCGCTATGTGCTGCTGCTCAGCATGATCGCGGAAATCCTTGTTAAGGGAGGATCTAGCTAGAGAGATGCTACAAGCAACAGAAAGGAAGGGAAAAATGAGGCGTCACACAAGTGCAGCAAAGGAAACAACCACCACGAGATCATGGGTGGGGTGGGCATTTCAGAGTCAAGAAAGTTCCATGATCTCCTACTTGGAAATACGAGGCTTGAAATTTTGGGGGGATTCGAACATGCAAGACGGTGTTTGTGTGAACACACACCAGGCGGACCGTTCTGTTCTGGAACTCTCACCCCAGCGGAGGCAGGTCAAGTCAAATGGAAAGGAAAGCCCTGCCCCAGAATAAGCCAAAAGGAAGTCAGCTGGAAGTCATGCAGCAGAATGATGCTAGGGGAACCCCTGGCACATTTGGGGGTTTGTTTGTTTTTGCTCGTTCACCAGCGCCACCCAATGACTTGCCTAAGTGATACCTGAATAAAACAGCACTACTAACCAGGGGTCCATAGTCTTCAGGATGGGGAGTTCATATGTTTGGAAGAGTGGCTGCAGAACTCTGTATGCAGGAAAAGAGTTTCCCATTGAGATCGAGCCCGGACAAGGCCTCTCCGTAGTCAACATGTTGACAAGTTAACAGTGCACAAAATCGCTACTACTACACCATGAGCAATAAATCAAGTTCTAGGCTAAACTCTTGGGGTATGGGAAAGAGGAAGAACTGATATAAGAGAGAGTCACACTTATTCCTTGTTCCCTTCAGGTTCCACTTAAACATCTCAGTGGCTTACTGTAAAATCTCAGGTCTAGAAAAACTATGATAAGGTCCAACGTCTGGAAGGGGAGGTTTGGAGGTGATGGTGAAAAGGTGTGGACTGGCCACTGTGAGGTTCTGCTACTTTCTTGGGGGAAAGTGCCCTGAAATAGCTGGTTATGTGTACACTCTGGGCAAAATACAAATGCATCTCTGACAATGACAACTTGGCACTCCTAATAAAGAGATGAAATCTTCCCCTCTACGCTCACCTTGCAAGGCTTTCCCAACTGCTCTGAAAAACTGAATGTCTACATAGGCAATAAAAGTGTTCAGACACACAAATGCTCCTGTGAGCTATTCAATGTCATTTTATAACAAATATTTGAAAGATAGAGAGAGACAGAGGGACGGAAGAAGCTTTCTGTACGTAGTTCTCTGATAAATTGTTTTGGTGCTAAGAAATCAAACAATCGCATGAACTTCCCTAAGTTGAGTTTGTGTGCATATAGACCTAAGAAGGAATAAAACTGTAAAGAAGACTGGTGTGGTTTTTTTTTAAGTGTGGAAATGAACAACTTATGCTTTCCTTAAAAAAATTTCTGAAAGGTTTTTAAATACTGGGAAAGGGTTGTAGCTCAGTAGTAGAGCATCTCCCTTGTTTGCAAAAGCTCTTAATTCAATGTCTAGCATCTCCAGGTAGCGATGGGGATGTGCCCTTCTTGAAACTCTGTGGAGAGCTGCTGCCAGTCAGGCAGAGACAATAATCAGTTAGATGGACCCAGATTTAGTAACACAGAGGGAAAATGTTTGGTTTTGATGGGTTCCAGGAACCTACTGAGGTTCTTCTGCTGGAATTTGATATGTGCTCTAACATTCTCATCTTCTACTGCTGGCAGCCTTCGGTGTTTGCATTTTTATAATTTGCTCGTTTATCTAGATAACTTCTATCCCAATTTTCTACACAAAGATGTACTTGTAGTGCTTTGTACTTCTGATCTGCCGTATTGTATTTTAAAGGTTAGCTGCTACTGATCTGCTTGATAATTTCAATTGCCATTTTATTGAGATTTACATTAGCCACTCTGGGTGCCAGCAAGAGGAAATGTTGGGTGTAATAACCAGCTAACAAACAAACAAACAAACAAACAAACAAACAATAAACAAAAGCTATATGGTGTTGTGGTTATTAAGATCAGTGTGTTTTAGTCAGTGCTTTTTTCTGGGGGTACACATACCCCTAAACATATTGTGAATCTAAGTTTGGCCTCATATTTCAATATGAATAAGAAAATGAGAGTACCCCTAAATGTTTTTTAAAAGGAAAAAAAAGCACTGGTTTTAGTGTGTTAGCTGCCTTTGAGAGCCACCTTTGTCTGAGGAGTGGATGAAAATAGATTTAAAATAAAATAAAATCGGGCTTGCTGGTGTGTGGGGCACACATGCAACCAAAAAGACATTCCCAGGCGCCTACAGGGTCCCCTCCCCGTGCTGAAATTCGGTTTGAAAAAAGCATTCTATTGTCTGTGTGTTGTGCTCACAACAGTTCATCTGGTTTGCAAATGCATTCACAAGCCCAATCAGTTTTGGCAACCTCAACTGTATTTAACTTCTCCTCTTCCAGAGGGAAAGAGCAATGGGAGAGGGTCAGAAGACAGAAATCCAAGGCACATGCTGGCTGCCCTCCTCAAAGCTACATTTTTGGGGAACAACTAGCGCACAACTCTGTTGTGAAACGGGCTTATTGGATGAACATGCAGCTGACATGAGAAAGCTGCATGTGGCTTTCCTCTTTGATCTGAGAGCAAGACTGAAAGAAAGAGACAGGTCTCTAAACATACTGTACCTGGCTCCGGGGTGATTCGTGGAAGACTGGTTTTGCATCAGTAGCTTCCTCTTCTCTTTGTCGAGCTCAGCCAAGATCGCAACCCTGTTCTTATTCTGAAAGCCTGGGAAGAGTGAGAGGAATGTAAAATGTTACTGATGCATCCTATTTCTCTGAGCCACCTTGTAACCCTACTGGCTTAAAGCCTCTCCCAAGCGAATGATGATGAATATCAATGATGAATATATTAATCTTCAGAGCCAACGAGCACAATCCTTGAAGTCTATTTATAACTTTCCTTTCTCCTCTCCTCATTAACAACATGAAATACCTTCCTAACAATGTCATCCATACTAACCATTTAAATAAGTCTTTAATCTCAAGCCTGGCTTTCTAGAGCTGTCTGTTTTACACTGCAATAAGGTTTCTGGTATTAAAAGCACTGCTTCCTCCATTAGAAATACCTCAGCATAGATTCCTGAATTCCAACCATCTTAGTCTATAAATGGCAAACATTTGTGACCGGAATAATTTATATGTGTGAAACTCTCTTGCCATGGCTGATTGCAGAAGGTTTGGCAAAAATCAGGCATATATATGTGTCTGTGTTCTTCTGCCACTCATAGGAACAGGATAAAATCTTAAGATTCAGAGTTTTGGTTGTTGGAGCCAGTCATGGTGTAGTAGCTAGGGCATTGGGCTAGGACCCAGGACACCAGGGTTCAAATGCCCACCCAGCCATAAAGCTCACTGGGTGACCTTGGGCCAGTCACTGCTGCTCGGCTGGACATCCTTCCCATAGTTGTTGTGAAGATAAAATGGGAAGAGGGAGGCAGCTCACATGCATGACCTTCAACAACTTGGAGGGAATGTGGGGTGAGACATACATATTTTACTTTAAAAGTGAACAGCCCTTGCTCAGGGCATTGAACCAAAGGTGAATTGTTCTGGAAACTCTGCAAACGCCATCTTGGTACTCAATATAACCCCGCAATTAATTGGTGGTGGTGGTTGTCACCATGAGCTCATTGATGCTTATATTCACTTGCTTTGATATAAGCTAATGGACTTGCTTTGATGTTTTGCTTATCTGTGGGCTTGGGGTGCTGGGCTCTGAGGCCAGAAAGGGGAACTATCTGTAGGATTTGGGTATTTGCCACCTATGCCCTCATCTGGGGAGGTGAAGTGATGGGGAGTCCTGGCCAAAGTGACGTACGCTGCCAATGTACAAATACATGCGAACACAGTTCTCTCAGGAATGCCTATTTAAGGAGCTGAGCACACTAACATGGCAAAAAGCAGAGTTGTAGAGCTGGAGGGGACCATAGGGTTCATCTAGTCCAACCCTGTGAAATGCAGGAATCTTGCAGGACAAAGAGAGGTTGTTTTGTTTTTGAATGCCAAAGTCTCTTTACCAAGTTAGTACCCTAGCTGAGAAATATCCATACATATGCCTACTGGAACAGTGGCGTAGCGTGGGGAGTGCAGGGGGGGCTGGGCGCACCGGGCACAACATCTGGGGGTTAGGGGGCGCAAATCCACAGGTTAGGGGGCGCAAATTACTTGCCTTGCCCCGGGTGCTGACAACCCACACTACGCCACTGTACTGGAAGCTTCTTCATTCCAAATCAGACCAATGGTCTATTAAGTCAAGAAGGGTACTGACTGGCCACAGGTCTCCAAGATTTCAGATCCTGGCTTCTCTGTTGCTCTGGAAGCTGCCTTGGACCAAGGAGAAAGCACAGGAGGTGATGTTTTCCTCCTCAGTCCAAGCCTCCAATGATCACCTCAGAGTCAGGGATTGGCACACCTGATTATGCACAATAATAATAATAATAATAATAATAATAATAATATACCGCCCTTCAGCCATAGATCTCAAGGCAGTTCACAACATAAAATTACACCATAAAAAGCACAATAAATGGGCTTGATTTGGGCTTTGGGCTGAGAGGAAGAATGCATGTACTTTCCAGGGTGCTGCAGAATTTTACGGAGGATGTTCTGCTATTTTTCAGAAAGGCAGGCTAGGGTCTCTCCTGGCAGTAGAGATCCTGCCCTCCTGAGCCAGACTACCAAATTCTGGACCTCAATAATCATCCACATACAGACTAGCAAAGCTTAGAAACAGAATACAGTAGCCCTGCCTTCCCCAACATGGTGCCCGTCACCTGTTGGTGGACTGCCAATTCCCATCATCCTTGGCTATTGGGCATGTTGGCTAGGGCTGATGGGAATTAGAGTCCAGCAACATCTAGACGGCCCCGGCTTGGGGAAGGTTGGCGTAAGCGATTACTGCACCACTTATAATAACCTAATTGCGTCTCGCACAATTACCATCTACAAGCCAATTCTCTCAACCTCTTTCTTTCTTACAACAAACTACATTCTATGTATTCTCCCACATGCTCAGTAACAATTAAGGAGAATTCATGTCGCTTATTAGATTTCCTTTGAATTATTAAAGTATGAATATTTTACTTGCCTCCAATAACTGTGACCACATAGACAGAATAATGCAAGGCATTATGGATGTGGTGTCCTTGGGGAAATCTGCACATAAAGACTAATTAATGACCTCAAGTTGCAGGCTATGTATTAGGACTAGTGATTTAAATGCTAAATAAAAAGGTCCCGGTCCTTACCCTTCACAAAGAATAACACAATTCTGAAATGTACTGTGACTTTAAATTAGATTAGGGTTGCCAGGTCAGGAGCATCCCAGACCCTGAGATTTCAGTGCCCATTCTTGAGACCCGAGGCAATCCTGCTGATGGCTTTGGTGATGGAGGTTAATTGGGAGAGTGGGGGGGAAGGGGAGGGGAGACACTCCCCAATGCAATAATCTGCAGCCAGCTCCTGTCAGTTTGCTGAAGTTTGCGAGCAACATGTACAGGCTTCTTAATATTAGTATACTGCATTTTTCGCTCCATAGGGCACACCTAGTTTTTCGGGGGGGAGGGTCAAGAAAAAAAAAATCTTATTCCCCCCCCCAGCCCCAAAGAGCAGCGTACAGGCTGCGCAACCTCTCCCTTCCAGAGGGGTTGCACGGGGCTATGGCACAAGCCAAGGCAGTGAGAGGGATGGATCCCGCTCGCTGTTTTGGCTTCCTCTTTAGCCCCACGCAACCTCTCCCTGCCAGGAGAGGCTGCGCAGGGCTAAAGAAGCCATAGCCCCGTGCAGCCTCTCCCTGCCGGAGGGGCTGTGCGCGGCTATCCCTGAAGCCTGGAGAGCGAGAGGGGTCGGTGCGCACCGACGCCTCTCACTCTCCAGGCTTCAGCGAAAGCAACGCAAAACCTCCGGAGCGCGGAGGGAGCGCTCCCTCTGCGCTTCGGAGGCTTAGCGTTGCTATCGTTGAAGCCAAGGAGCCTGCATTCACTCCACAGGACGCACACACATTTCCCCTCAATTTTTGGAGGGGAAAAAGTGTGTCCTATAGAGCGAAAAATATGGTATATATTTACGGCACTCTCAGGCACCTGGAGACTCAAGCCCTTCACCAGCCACCAGGAGGGGGCCAGGCAAGCTTCGAGACTCAAGATCAGACCTGGAGGTCTGGCAACCACAATTAGGATAGTTTAATGAGGAAAAGAGTCAACTCTATATTAACACATATTACAGAAACAGGAAATGATCCATGAACGGTTCTCTTTCTATATACTCTCACACAGCAAAAACAACCAACAGATTAATGCTTTATTATTATTATTTTAAGCACTGATGATGAGAGAAAAGTTCATTTTACAAAACTGATCACTGGGTATGGGCTCCAGAACCTTTTCCCATAACTGTCAAGTTACACATTCAGAAGCTTCATGTAATACAATCTTCAATGACAGTAGGATTTCCATATCCACCTATAAGTTTCCCTATTTTTTCAGCCAATTCACCCAGGGTGATTTACTGCCTCAGGACATTTCTAACATTGATTTCTAATGCTGATTTCTAAGCTAGCAGGGATATTTCATGTTTTTCCACATAAAAGAGAATCTGTGGTCCTAGTTATACGGAAATGCAACATTTACCTTGTCCAGGAGGATTGGAAGCCATCTTGCCAGGTTCCCCCTTAATTTAACAAGAAGCAGCTATAACCTGTTATGTGAAAACCTATCAAAATGAACAGAAATTAATGTGTGAACATAAAGGCATACAACTCCAAAGCTCAGCAATAGCTTCATCCAACAACCACCAACTCTCGGGAAGGGTTGCAAACAATACAAAGTAGAAGCTAGGTTGGTTTTATTTCTTTATAGCAGTATTTTCAACGCTGCCAATTTGTACAATATAAGACGGCAGGCTGCAACAATATATACAATAAAATATAAAATACCATTAAAACCATAAAAGACAATTATAGCAAATACAAAGATTAACAGGTTTATTGCAGCATAAGCTTTCACGGTATAAAGATCAGTTTTGGTTTTTTGTTTAAAAAGGTCATTGCATTGAAAACCTGCACATAAATGCAGCCAGCAGCAGCGGCAAAGCTTCATGCTCCTGCACTGGGGGGTGGAGAGCAGATGGGGGCAGGGCTGGCGCGCATCCCAGGGGTGTGGCGCGCTGCCCGCAGGGATGTGGTGCACGTCCTGGGGGTGTGGCCTGCCGCCTACAGGGGCGTGGCTCCCAGCACGGGCGAGGGGGCAGCCGCAATGGCACCCCACAGGGATCACGCTGCCAGGAGCAGTGCGCTCCCCCTGCACTCCTCTTCCTCCACCAGTGGCCGGCAGGTTGTTACTGGAGCTGCTACCTGCAAGCAATCGGCCCACTTTTAGAAACAGCTGCACCGATTTGTTAGTAATGGTCTTAAAAGTCCTTTGAAGGTAAACGGCGTTTCCGTGCACTCTGGCACTTGTCATGGGGTCCTGTTGCGCCAGAAGCAGTTTAGTCATGCTGGCCACATCACCCGGAAAGCTGTCTGTGGACAAACACCGGCTCCCTTGGCCTGAAAGCGAGATGAGCGCTGCAACCCCATAGTCGCCTTTGACAGGACTTAACCATCCAGGGGTCCTTTACCTTTTACCTTTTACGGCTAAGGATGAGGATGCCTGAAGGCTCACAGGTATGAACCTGCCTGCTTTCTGATCTCGTCACTGGAAGTCTCCCATCCTGTGTATGCCAACAACCACGGAAATACATTTCATTGGTACCAGGGAAAATGACTCCTCAGCAGCTGTGCCTTTACTCTCACCCGAGGGAAGAGTTCCTTTTCCAGAAAGGCCTTTTGCTTTTAACTGTGCTGTAAAATTAATTTAATGGAGTGCTTCCTACTGTTATTTTCCCCACTGCTGTTCCTATTTAGTAGCTTGTTTGTAAATGTGTATGGTATTGCAGCTTTTATTTTTTACTCATTGCAACCCACCTTGGTCCCCCCCCCCATTAAAGATGGGATAAAAATGCTTTAAAACAAATTAAATGAACCAATGGGAATCCAGATATCCAAGGCTCAGGGGCAGCTGGTCACCCATTTGTTCAGAAGAGGAGAATTAAGCTGGCAAAAAAATACTGGCTCATTTTGAACATCCCACTGGAAAAGCTCAGAAGCTAGTTTGTTTCAACAAACCACAGTTCAGGTTAACCTCAGTTTAAGGTTTAGATAACACAATAAAGTGCAGTTAAATAAAAACAAAAAATGTTTCCAATCTCTTCCTCAAAGATCATCCCAAATTTTGATATCTAGGGTGGTTGGAGGGCAGGGGAGTGCACACTTTTATGAAACATCCTCCACACACCTGTGGGCCAATTGTCAATAGGTAAAGCTCCTCTTAGAATGAGATATGACAATAAGACTCTAAAATAATAATAATTTTATTATTTGTACCCCATACATCTAACTCGATTGCTCTAGCCACTCTGGGCAGCTACCAACATATAAAAACACTATATACCATACAGGGCTGCTTTCAGATGTCTCGTAAAGGTTATATTGTTACTTATCTTGACATCTGAGGGGAAGGCGTTCCACAGGGTGGGTGCCACCACCGAGAAGGCCCTCTCTTCCTTAGTTTATTACACAGGCAATAATGACCAAGCTGTCCTGCCCAGAAAAAGAATAGGCAACCTTGCTGTCCTCAACCAGTCAAAGCTGAGAAGAGAGTGGAGCAGAGAACCGGGTGGGAATAGCACCCTACAAACAACCCTGTATAAAACAAAAGCTTGCTAAATACATATACACAACCTTGTGACAAGGTTTCTTTAAGAAAATAAAACCCACAAAAAGGCTGCAATTCAATACCCACCTACCTGAGACCAAATCCCATCAGACTTACAAAGCTAGTCAATGCATTATTTGAGCAGGCCAGCAGAAATCTGCACTAATTTAACAATGATTTATTACACTTTCTACTAAAAAAACTATGCCCAAAGCTGTTGCTCCTCTCTGCTCTTATTTGGTAGCCCCGACTCCTCCTCCTCTCTCCTCCCTTCCTTCCTCCCTCACCCTCCCTTGCATTGAAGCGGGTACAAGGAGAGTTACCATCTCCTAAGCATTATTTTAAAAATAGAAATAAATCTGCATAGTGGGTAGGCGAGGGGACAGGGACTAGCGGATTGATATGTTCAATCAATCAATCAATCAATCAATCAATAGCCCCACCCCAGTTTAAAATACCTGGCAGGTGGGAATCCCAATTCATCCCTATCCTTCACGTGGGTTGTTTGCTCTCCCTTTTTCTCTCCTTTGCTCTCCCCACCCCCGTTTGCACAGATGGGCTCTCCCGCGGCTCCCCCTCTTCCTCGGTTGGGATGCTCCCTCCGAACTTGACGTTCCCGATGAAGGAGCGATGAACTCGCTTCGCCGCGTCTGCGCGTGCGCGCGGCGAGAGGAAACTCGCCGCCCTTTCCTTCCCCACCGCTCGATCTCTAGCGGCGACTGAAAAGGGTAGAATCCACGCTCTAGCCTCTCTGCAGACTTATAAAAAGTGTAGGGGTGCCGCACGTCTGCCAGCTTCCGAGCTGAGTTGGAACTTTCACGTGAAACGAGCGATTTAGGAGGGTGTCCGAGACGAGCAATGTTAGCAAAGATCTTTGCTGCTGTTTTTTTCGTGAGTGGGATTTCTGGCTGGAAATCCAAATCGGCGCTGTTGAAGAATCCCAACTGTTGTTCAATTATTATTATTCTTAAGGACTAGCTACGTTTTGTTTTCTTTATTGGGGGTCTCTAACTGCATGGTTGCACCGGACTACACTGCGGGGCTGTTGGAAGCCACTCTCTCTTAGACACGACGTTTACACACACGCATACACAACCGCAACTTAATAATAATAGCGATCGGTTTGCATTTTGCAGAAAATGGTAGGTAGGTAAGTAGATCGAAATGAAATTTAAAATCACATTTTGACATTAAAATAAGATCTGCTTCTACCTTTTGATAGGGTGGGGGCTATTACATTGCTGTCCGCTCAAAGGCACTCTCAATTTCTGAATTTCTCTGCTGTATTCTCATGGGCGAAGCCAGGATTTATGTTGGGGGGGGCAGAACGCCCACCTGTCATCATCCTCTATCTGGCTCTGTCTAGTACAGGGTTTCCCAAACTTCGGTCTCCAGTTGTTATTGGACTACAACTCCCATCATTCCTAGCTAGCAGGACCAGTGGTCAGGGATGATGGAAGATGTAGCCCCCCCAAACATCTGGAGACCCCAAGTTTGGTAACAAATTCGGAATGAAATGTTTTAAATTACTTTCTTTTGGCCCCAAGTGCTCAGAAAAAAGATATCTCAAATCTTTCTACAATTTCTACTTTTAGTTAAGTATTTTTATTTATTTACTTGAATTGAGGGGGGGCAGCTGCCCCTCCTGGCTACGCCCATGTGTTTTCCATGGTCCACTGCTGTCCATGCTGGTGGATGGTTTTCAAAAGAAATAGAATCGGAAGAAGCTTGCAAGTCTCTCCTCCAAGCAATGGAAGTCGAGTCTTTATCTTTTGTAAGTCTGTGGGAAATAACACTGACAGACACTGCAGGGCAATGAAACAGGAAGCGAGTGCAAAAAAACAGGGAGCAAAGTGGCTATTGGTAACATAGATGCAAGAAAGGGAGAGACTGATACATCCTTCACTCATGGGCAGAATTCTGTGGCTACTTTTGATGCCCTGTGTCTGCTGGGCAGAGCATCTCTTTGTCCACAGAAGGTCCCAGGTTCAGTCGATGTGGGATGTTTGGTCTGAAACCCTGGAGAGCCTCTGCCAGCCAGTGCAGACAACATTGGGCTCTGTGGACTCAGTGAAGGCCAACTTCCTATGCGTGTGCTTTGCATATTTGAAGGGTAAAAGTAACAGGTGCTCATAAGAGACAATGCAGAAGACCTGGAGTTTATCACTGCAGCCGTGTGGCAATATCACTCCTTACTCACTCCTCACTTGTCCCTGTTGCTTTGTTATAAATGTCTTTTTGTGGCTCCCTTTCCTTTGCCTAAATTAGTAACGGGAACATAGAAAAGTCACCTATTTCCCCTTTCTTTCTTTCTTTTATACTTTCAGAGTTCTATAGCAAAATCTCCCCCTCCCCACTTGTGTTTCCTAGAAGTACAGTATAGCAGTATTCTTTCCCCCCCCCCCCCGCCGCCCCAATTTTGGTTCCTCTGTTTAATTTTTGTTGGGTTGGTGTTGGTTAAATGTTTAGTTGAGGTTGGCAGCTACTTTAATTTTGGGGTATAACTGTAAACTGTTTATTATTGTTGTTGTTGTTATTGGTTTTTACTGATTTATTGGTTTATATGTTGTTTGTATATAGGATATCTTGGTTTTTTTTTAATGTTTGCTTTGTTGTGTTTTATATGTTGTAAGCCGCCCAGGGTGGCTGGGGAAACCCAGCCAGATGGGCGGGATATAAATTAAAAAATATTATTCCATTCCACTACCCCAAAAAAGTAGAAGCAAAGGCAAAAGTCATGCCTTTAAAACTAATGTCTTTCCTGTGTGATTTATTTTTTAAAACAAGCTTGCCTTACCACTACTCATTGTGAAGAAATAAACTGGGGGCAAGTTTGCTTAATACGCTTCCCTCAAGGTATTTTTTCTGTTCAAAATGGCCTAGAAGCACCAAGCTGGGGGGATTCTGAGAAGGGAAAACTCCACTAAAAATGTTTAAGGCTGCAGTCCCTTTGCCTCCCCCCCCCCCGCCCCACCTCCAGTTGCTGCTCTGCATAGGCTGCAATTGTATACCTATTTTCCCGAGAGTAAGCTCATTGACTGCCTATTTGATTGTTCTTTATTTCAAATAATGTCAAAGAAATCCATGGAATTATGAACAGCCTGGAGTTAGTTGCCGTTGGCCCAATTTATCATGGGGGGGTCATCTGTTAGTTACTTCTGAGTAGCCGGAGATGGAGGAGACTCTTGAGAGTCCCATGGACTGCAAGAAGATCAAAGCTATCCATTCTGAAGGAAATCAGCCCTGAGTGCTCACTGGAAGGACAGATCCTGAAGCTGAGGCTCCAATACTTTGGCCACCTCATGAGAAGAGAAGACTCCCTGGAAAAGACCCTGATGTTGGGAAAGATGGAGGGCACAAGGAGAAGGGGACGACAGAGGACGAGATGGTTGGATAGTGTTCTCAAAGCTACGAACATGAGTTTGACCAAACTGTGGGAGGCAGCGGAAGACAGGAGTGCCTGGCGTGCTCTGGTCCATGGGGTCACGAAGTGTCGGACACAACTAAATGACTAAACAACAACAACAACAGCCATACATAAGACTGTGGTGTTAAACTCGCTTCTTCTCAAAGCTGCTTTAAAAAATAAAATTGGGAGAAGGTTACATGCAGCTGCTTACAATACCACTATTGTGTGAAAAGGTACTCTCTCTTGTCTGCCCTGAATGTGTTTTAGGCACACCTGTAGGATTCCTTATGGTGATTTCACAGGATTTGACCACTGTGGTGGATCAATGAACGAAGAGTGTACCAGTGTTCCAATGACACGCTGTTGCCAGAATAGCCCCCACTTGCTTCAGTGTTGCATTTTGAGGTGTTAATGTAGCATTCTGTGAGTAGCACAGGAAATGGCAATGGATACAAAGGAACATGAGTGTTACACACGACCCAGTCTCTGAAAGATCCCAAAGGTTCTCCGCATATCTTGGGTTTGGCTTCCTTCAAATGAAGGTCACTGGAAACAGTGGTGTCTTTGTGATATATCATTTATTTACACGCACACAACATACCCTCCAACATTTCTCAGATGAAAATAGGGATGTCCTATTCCATAATATTATTAATAATAATTTTATCTGGCTTGATTGCCCCAACCACTCTGGGCAGCTTCCAACATATATAAAAATATAAAAAAGCATTAAATAACTTTCCTATACAGGGCTGCCTTCAAATGTATTCTAAAAGTTGTGTAATTACTTATTTCCTTGGTTCGGGGGACACATAACTCCTTACCCTCCAACACGCTTTTGATGAAAATAGAGACGTCCTAAGGAAAAGCGGGACATTCCAGGATCAAATCAGAAACCGGGACGGCTTCTGTAAATCTGGGGCTGTCCCTGGAAAATAGGGACACTTGGGTGGAATCTAGACACATATAAAAAATGCTGTGAAAATGCTTTTAAAAAAAAGTTTTTAAAATATATATTGAATTTGCCATAAGCTCACCATCACCATCTAGTGTCACATTTGTACAATGCACTTAAAACGTTATATTTGCAGCTGTATAGCTGAGTCCTTGGGGAAGGGTCTGATATACAGGTTGAGCAAAAGATGACGTTTCCAGGCATTAACACTCCAACAGGTCTTGCTCCTCCATTGGCTTTTTGGGGAGTGTGGGGACAGCAACACCCAATGCCATAGCTTTGGGTCCAGCACAGAAAGCAAATCAAGCCTGTGCCTCTCTGCATTGTGGTTCAACTGCCAGCTTTATTGTTCTTACTCTCACCATTGAATTCGAACATATTTAATGCCTGACACCTATAAATGGCTAACGATGGCACCAGGCATGCCTTCCTAGGGAGAGGATTCTGCAAGCAGGGAACCACCGCCTGTGTTTCATGCTCCCACTCAACACACACCTCCAGTGTGACGGCGCATGCTGAGAAGGGCCACCGAGGACAAACATAGGGTAAATATAAATATAAATAAAATAAAATAAATATATCATATACTCACACCTGTTTTCTTATTCCCCTGCCTGCCCTGCAGTGGGCTGTTTTTACATGTGTGTGTTTTTTCTTTTTTGAGTAGAACCACATGGTTATTGTTATTGTTATTATTAACCAGTGTTTGATTTTAATCATGTCTGTTCTGCAAAGTAACACAAACTGGCTTACACACAAAAAAACAATTCAGTGCAACACAAGATAAACTCCAGCCTAAGCAAAAAAAAAATTCACAGCAAAATACACAGCAAGAGAAAAGAATCGCAATGCTCAGTTAATTGTAAAAATAAAATAAAAGTAGTTTGTGTCATGCTTTGGGGATCACTTATGGGTGTGTGCCCAGCAGGTACACACATCTCTGTCTGCCCTCTGTCTGTTGGCACTGCGCCCAGTGATATGCCCCCCCTCCAAAGCTCCCAAGTGTATTTTCTAGCCAGTGCTGCTCTGAGATCCGGTACAACACTGGTTCTGAGAAGAAGCCATCCCTGGAGTCCCTCTCGGTTCCTAGGCAGCTGCCTTTGCCTTTCTGCCGCAGTGGTTGGGGTTGAAGAAGAGACCAGCTCTGCAGAAGAGGCCGAATGAAAACACACAGAGGAGAAGTCTGATCTGCTGCTGTCCTCTCCTTCTTGCCTGAAGGAATATTATGGCGCATCCTTTTCACTCTCGGGCATCATTTCACCTGGTCAGAAAAACAAGTAGAACAGGGAGACTTAATTATTCAAGCTAGGATTTAACTAAAGATGATAAGCATGACGGCATTGTTTAGGGGAGGCTGCAAGTTCAGGCTCAGAGGGACCCGTGGCTCACCAGCTCTTGTCTGACCACAATGCCCATCAAACCCAGGCTTGAGGGCAGATACCAAAAGATTCCAACTGAGAAACGACTCTGCCCCTGTGGAGATGGCAATCTGGAAACAGTGGCTCATGTTCTCCTGTCCTGCCTCCTTTATAAAGATCTGAGGAATGAGATCATCACCCCGCTCTTACTTACCATCTGCGGCCACATTGTCCTTTCTTTTATCAGACCAAAATGATCAGACAACAGCAAAGGTTGCTAGGTTTATCGAGGGTGCAATGAGATTAAGGGCCACTATCTGAACGATAATCTTGGTCATTTGATTGCCCTTTTTACCCATTGTTAATTGTATATATTGTTTGTTTTATGTTGCTATGGCCGTTGGCTAATGCGAATAAAGTTTATCTGTCTATCTAACCCAGGCATCAAGGATGATAGCAACTGTAGTCAGATAACATTGGGAGGGTGACATCTTCCCCATCCCTGCTGCAGGTCTTTTATAAGAAAGAAGAATTATTTCCATTCTACTGAAATTTTGATGTAGTTCTAGGGGCAATTACAGTACATTAAAATGTACAGTTTGTAACACTGGGATCAGTGGACACACTTTTCCTATTGCAGTGTGTGTGTGTGTGTGTGTGTGTGTGTGTGTGTACACATGTCGGGGGGCCCCAGTCTGTATATATGTGCAAATTTTGCAGCTGGGGGGAAAGGGTTCAACATCTCCTCCACTATACATTGCAGTCCTGATGAAAATTGCCCCCACACTTGCTTTTTTGGGGGGGGGGGAATAACTTTTATTGGGAATAATAATAATAATAATAATAATAATAATTTTATTATTTCTATCCCCCCATCTGACAGGGTTTCCCCAGCCACAAACAAGGATTATGGGAATAATAAATGATACAAATAAGCAGAACAAGTTTTCTTGTGTCATTTCTATATTCAATTCAATTCAATCTTTATTACAGTCCAGCTACCCAACAGATCATTACAAAGCAATACACAATTTAGACAGCCTCCTATATTGCAAAAACAGCATAATAAATTTGCAGTAAGCCCTCCACCCTGGTTGATTAACAGAAAACAGCAATGCTGATGTGACTGCTAGCAGCTCATTCAGCTTCACATGTAGTTAGGCTCTCAAATGCAATGAAGCTTCATAAAAATTAGTATCCCTATGTGTAAATGTCAACCTTTTGCTGCCCCTGTTTAATTCTGGGTGTCTTGTTGAATCCTTGCTGCATAAGCACAGCTCACTGAAGTCCAAGCAGACCTTAAATCCCAACTGCACGACTAAACTATCATGTTATTCTCTTAGCTTGACATTGTCCTTTCCCATTTCCCAATTATGGACTGGAAACTGCTGTTTACCAGGCAATAATATTTGCTTAGGTAACACAGTGTAATCTACTTTGAAGGCCACCAGGCCTCCAAGCTCTTGTGCAGAGAGAGGCCGTTCCCATTATCTACTATCAAACTCTTTTAACTGGAAATATTGGGGGTTGGAGTGCTAAACCTGGAACCTTCCAAGCTAAGTACATGCTCTGTTCTTCTCTCTTGAGTCTGACAGCATTACCTCTGCTTGGAAAGAAGCATTGCAATGCTTCTGGCACCTCTCTGAGTATCTGCAGCTTGTAGATCTGCTGGTAGATCTTCTCCGCTACGTCTTCTGCCTGGAAAGATGAAACAACGGCAAGCATCAGGCTACCTTTGGGCAGAAAAGGGTCAGGTTTCTCTGCTCTGACGTGAGATCTCTTTTCTCCTGCTTTGAGTGGGGAATCTTTTTCAGCCTGAGGGCCACATTGCCTCAGAGACAACCTTCCTGGGGCCAAGAGTGGGTGGGGCAACAGATGGGTCTGCAGGAGTGCGCCTTTGGGGGTGAAGTCAAACAGTTGAGCTAGCAGCACTGAAATGACCTCCTCAAGGTGCAAGCCGGGGCCAGATGATAAGACCTCATGCTTGCTGATGTGGTCCAAAGGAAAGCAGAGCAAAACATTGGCTGTAGGAGTTGCCAGAGGGAGACGTACAAGGTGCCATCTAACCATCTTAGGGACTCCACTCTGCATTTGTGTAGAGTTTACTCCTTAACCTTTTCTTCTCCCAAAAATATCTTGCAAGGCAGCAGAAGATCAGAGTTTTCCTTCTCCTAGATCAGGCTTCCTCAACCTCGGCCCTCCAGATGTTTTTGGCCTACAACTCCCATGATCCCTAGCTAGAAGGACCAGTGGTCAGGGATGCTGGGAACTGTAGTCTCAAAACATCTGGAGGGCCGAGGTTGAGGAAGCCTCTCCTAGATGGCCCCTCTCCCCAGGTGGATGAGCCTCATCTGTTCTTCACTTCCCTCTACAGCACATGCAGAAACTACTTTCTTGACCGCTGGACCAACTATTGGTCTCATCCACTCAATCTGCCAGAGAATGTGTTCACATGCAGGGGAAGTCCCTAACTCACTAATGATTTGAGACCTGTTGGCTATCCTCACCTGGTTTAGCCAGCCAGTCAAATCTATTTTCTGGGATGTGGCCACTGTCGCATGCTGACAGCTTCTAGGAGCCACCGGTAAGAGCTGAGTTCAGGGTGGGGACCAAAAGTGGACATTGTACCCCAGAAGAAGGTGCGTCACCCACCAGAGGTACTGCCCCTCCCCTAACACCTCATACACCCTAGTAGCCTACAGTCCAGCCAGCAGTGGCACCATCTTGCACCCACGACTGCGGATACCCAGGGCCCAACTGATGTCTTGGTGGTAAAGCAGTTTCTGATGTTTGGAAGCCTATCTTGGTAGCTCACCTTATCCGCCATTATCTCATTGGCCTTCCCCAGGTGGGAAAACACTAGGAGGATCCCAGCCTCTCTTATCCTTAGCTCAGGATTATAAATGGCCCGCAAAGATGTCTCCAGAAAGGTTCTCTTCTGATCTTCTGTGAAGATGTTTCTGAACAGCTAAAATAAAAAATGTCCACATTTTAAAGATAGTGTGGCAGAAGTACATGTATATATTTATGTGTATATATGTATATATATGTGTGTGTGTGTGTGTGTGTGTGTGTGTACATTTGAATGGAACAAGTGGAGATCTATAACAAAAGTTACAGTGTCTTCTTTTCCTAAGGCCCCTCCAAATGGGTGTCATTGTGGTTGTGTTCTGCGACATATTATTCTTGACATGGGAGGTGGGTTTATTCTGCTTTAACTTGCTCTGCGATGCTTCCTCAGTGCCACTACATGATTGCTGTCGAGCAACAAAAGCAGGACAACAAGAAACCAGGACAGTTGTGGTATAGAAAGCTATGGAATTTCAGCAAGACATTGTGGGGTGTGCGCTGACTGGAAATGGGCAGTGTGACTACCCCCAAAACTTTTGCAGTTGCAAACAGTCCTTCAAGCAGGATTATGTGTCACCACCCCAATAGCTTCATGAGCACAAATAATCATGAATAGAAAGGTTCTCTGGTGGGATCTGGTGTCCTTCATAGGAGTCCTCCTGTGAAGGGCTCCACCCAACCTGGAATTAGGAGCTGTGTAGCACTGGTTGGGCTTGCTCGTGAGAAGAAAGGAAGAAAAAGACATACTTCTTTCTCTCCTAACCCCCATCCTCGGCAGAACTTACCCCATTCTTCCAAACAAGTCTGAAGAGCTTTGGTTTAAGGATGGCTGCTAATTTCAAATCTGAGTATATTATTGCTCAAGCTTGTAAAGGTGGGGTAGGTTTCTAAAGCGTGGGGAAGGGATTAGGTGCCATGTTTCTATTTCAAGCAGGCTAACTCCCTTTCCCTTTCTTTCCTCCCCACAACCAGAACCCACAAAACCTGGTGGGCCCTGGGTGCTACTAAGCATGCCCAGTTAAAATGAAGTCTCCCTCTCTCCCTTTCAGGTTGTAAACAGATACATTTCTACATATCTAGAGAGTCCCTCAAGTGTGCATAAACCATCGTCTTGCCCATGGTGGCCCCATTTTGCTGCCAAAGTGGTAGGCAGGGGTCAGGGTTTCCCAAACTTGATCCTCCAGCTGTTTTTGGACTATAGTTCCCATCATTCCTGCTAATGAGGGGTGGTGTGAGTTATAGTCCAAAAACAGCTGGTGACCCAAGTTTGGGAAACTATGGCATAGGGCCACCAACACCATTCTTGAAAGGAATGGTGCTGTGGTCAGAGGGCTCTGTTATCAGCACCACCGATACTGAGGGCTTGTCCACACTTGGGCTTGTCCTGAGTCTAGAAAGCATGGGTCTGAGTGGTCTTCAGCTTGTCCTATGCATTCTTAGAATGGGTCCGAGTGGTTTCCCATTGCCCTGTGGCTTTCCCAGGGAAAACCCACTCTTTAGCGATGAATCAGGGCAAATATCAATCACCGAAAACTCGATTGATGTTTGTTCCGATTCAGCTGCAAAGAGCGGGTTTTCCCCAGGGGAAAGTGGAATTATGGATGAGCCTCTTCTACACCAGCCTAATTCTGGAAAAGCATGAGGCATTTCCATTGGGTGTGAATTTGTCCATATTTAATGCTGCCTCAGAGGTATGTTCTTACCTCACCCACCCTGCAGGAATCCACGTAAGCCAGCATTTTCTGGTCTTCGTAACTGTGGCACCACAGTTCTTCAGCCTCACTCACGCTCAGCCCTGACAGGGAGACAGCAGAAGTACCTCTGTTTCTGTCTATGTAATGGGTCTCTTTGACATTACGACCTGGGATCTTTCTGTCCCCTTCGGAAGATAACTGCTATCTGTGTAAGGATTGTGAGGTATCCTAAGATTTCCCCACAAGGGAATTTGTCCAATCCCACTTGTTCCTGCAGTGGTCCGAAGCAAGACTTGAGAAATAAAGATTTGCATCTGTGTTAGGAGAAGGTATGTCAAATACTTTGTGGCCTTAATTGCTACGCTTATGTTTATATATGGAGTGTGGCCTATGGGAGAAGACGAGGACAGCATGAAACACAACAGTGAGCAGGCTGCCAGGTTTTTGGGTTTTTGTGTGTGTGTTTTTTGCAGGTATCAGCTTTCTTGTAGAAGAATTAATATGTGAAAAGCAGGGAGATCATTTCTCAGTTAAGTCCTAATCCCTGTGGGATACTTTGGCCTCTGGGATCTATACAAGTTAAGAGAAACTAGAACAATGACACCTTTCAGCATGGGTGAGGAGATTAGCTCAATGCTACAGTGCTGAATGGGACACAGGTGGCGCTGTGATCTAAACCACTGAGTCTAGGGCTTGCTGGTCAGCAGTTTGAATCCCCACAAGAGGGTGAGCTCCTGTTGTTCAGTCCCAGCTCCTGCCCACCTAGCAGTTTGAAAGCACTTCAAGTGCAAGTAAATAAATAGGTACCGCTCCGGCGGAAAGGTAAACGGTGTTTCCGTGTGCTGCTCTGGTTTGTCAGAAGTGGCTTAGTCATGCTGGCCGCATGACCCGGAAGCTGTCTGTGGGCAAACGCCGGCTCCCTCGGCCTATAGAGCGAGATGAGCGCGCAACCCCAGAGTCGTCCACGACTGGACTGAATGGTCAGGGGTACCTTTACCTTTACAGTGCTGAAACAATAAGCCTGGAAAGAGTTTATAAGATGTGATAAGCATGCACTGCCCTACCTTAAGCACAGGTAGGTGAAGGTAGGATAGGTGAAGGTAGGGGCAGGCTTAGGGTTAGAAACAGGTCCTAATATTAAGAAGAATGAGGGGGTCACCAAGGCAACTGATAGTGGGTGTCATGAAACTGCGAGCTATTTAATTTACCACAACTTGTGCTTTTAACTCCTAGGAAGACAGAGTTGTGGGATTTTCAGCCTCTAATGTCAAAATAATTTGAGTAGCCTTGACTAGGTCAGTGTGTGTGTAAAATTTGCACACCACCCTTCACCTGTTGATCTCAAGGCAGTTCACAACATAAAATTGCAATACACACAACACTTATGATTTATAACGAAATTATGATATAAAAATGTCCATGGTTCAGATGCATCTCCAACTCGCTTTGAAACATCTTGAGGAGATACATCCTTAATGGAAAATGTTCTAAAGGGATGAGACACTGTATATGGATTTTAATGACACTGTATTATCAGTCATTGGAAGCCATATGTGGCCTCCCAACAAGGGGCTGCTGGTCTCATGTTTTCAAACCAACTTACCCATCTGATCGAGGAGCAGCTCATAAAGGCAGCTGATGGTCAACCTGGCCTGGTTGCTCACATCTTCCATCGTATCTGTGATACAGATTCCAAACTGTGCCACGTGGTGTCCCAAGGCAGGAAGCTCAGTAGACTTCTGCAGGGACAGAAGACAACAGAGATCTCCACCCATATTTTGTGGTCTGCTTCTCCCCTTGTTTCAACTGAGCTCTACTCTTCACATCCTCAGTCCAGTATATCTGAAAGAGCGTCTCCACCCCCATCATTCTACCCGGACACTGAGGTCCAGCGCCGAGGGCCTTCTGGTGGTTCCCTCACTGCGAGAAGCCAAGTTACAGGGAACCAGGCAGAGGGCCTTCTTGGTAGTGGCACCCGCCCTGTGGAACGCCCTCCCACCAGATGTCAAAGAGAACAACAACTACCAGACTTTTAGAAGACATCTGAAGGCAGCCCTGTTTAGGGAAGCTTTTAATGTTTGATGCATTACTGTATTTTAATATTTTGTTGGAAGCCGCCCAGAGTGGCTGGGGAAGCCCAGCCAGATGGTGGGGTATAAATAAATAATAATAATAATAATAATTATTATTATTACCCTAGCCTGTGAGGAAGACAGGTCCTTAGCAGGAATCCTTGCTGTGGACACATTCCCATGAACATGGAGAAGGGGAAATGACAGGTTGGATCCGCTTCGCCTAGTACTTATAATAATATAATAATCATTTTATTACTTGTACCCCACCCATCTGTCTGGGTTGCCCCAGCCACTCTGGACAGCTTCGAACAAATATAAAAGCATAATAAAACATCAAACTCATATCTCCTAATCGGGGCTGCCGTATTGAGCCAGGTTCTGGGGGTACTCACGTTGAAATCTGGCAGCAGAAGAGCATGTCGCAACACAGTGGTGCTGCAGAGGACAGACCTATACCTCTCTTGGGGATCGTTGGAATGAATCCAGAAGTTGATGTGCTGAGGAAGCAAGCAGCAGCTCAGAATGACTGCAACACCTGGCCTGAGACTTACACACCACACATTGACAACTGTGTCCCCACAAACATCTCTTCTTCCTCTCTGCCCTGTCATTTGATCCTGAAAAATTATAAATGGACTCTGCATTCGTCAAGCTGATGCTGGTTTGTTGCATCCCTTAAGCCAGCCAGGTCCAAAGTCCATTTCGGGGGCTAATCCAGCACGCTGGTCAGTTTAACCCAGCCCCTAAAAAAAGCGCAACAACTTTGGGGTAAAATCATAAAGGTTGACAACTTTGGTCAGCCCTTTGGTCGGCTCTCATGGCCCTTCACTTCATCAAATCTGGCCCTCTTTGAAAAAAGTTTGGACACCACTGCGACTTGAGCCATGTTGCTATACTGTTGCCTGGCGGGTGATGCTGCTGACTCAAATAATGCCTACTACAATGAAAACTATATTCCCATGAGATGTATTTACATGAAACATTGTTTATTGTGTTCTCGTTCTCTCTTTCTCTGGGATTTATGTGAACAATGAACAGCTGGCTATAAATACATTAAGCAAATATTCATAAATGCTTTCCCTGCCAGATTCTCCATCGTATAAGTGGCAAGATAAAGTGCCACTCTCTTCCCTTTAACCCACTCACCTTCAAAATAAACAGCAGGTGGCTTGTAGTTGGAACCTCAGACAGCAAGCCCTTCAGCATGATCTCCATTGTGTCTGCAGACGACTGGTAGAGAGCCTGAAGGGAAAGAGAGCCAAAGGCTAGTGCAGGGTTTTGCAAACTTGGGTTTTCAGCTGTTTTTGGACTACAGCCCCCATCATCCCTAGCTAGCAGGACCAGTTGTCAGGGATTCTGGGAACTGTATCCAAAAAACAGCTGGAGACCCAAGTTTGGCAAACCCTGGGCTCATTTGTAGAGCAGGAGTGGGGAACCTGTGTCCCTCTAGATGTTGCTGAACTTCAACTCCCATCATTCCCAGCCTGCATGAACAATGGCGAGGAACGTTGGGAGTTGTAGTCCAACAAAGATGATCTGGAGGACCATAGGTTAGCCACTCCTGGTGTAGAGGCTGAATTCCTTTGCCCACTAACAAATAAGATGACAATCAGACTGCCACTTCCTGAGGAGTGCCCATGTTAAGTCTGTTGCAGGGGAAACAACAGAGTCCTGTGGCTTTTGTGGACCAGAGTTCCACTTCATCAGATACTTGAAAGGTTGTCCTCAGTTGGCAGGTAAGAACATAAGATGCGTTCTGATGGAGAAGACCAAAGGTCCACCTAGTCTGGCATCCTCTTCCCAACCAGATGCCTATGGGACACCCACAAGAAGGACCTTAGTGTAGCATTGTTCCTCCCAGAAACTGGTACTCAGAGGCGCACTGGCTTCAGCAGTGGAGGTATAACCCAGATCAGGGGTCAGCAAAATTTTTCAGCAGGGGACCAGTCCACTGTCCCTCAGACCTTGTGGGGGGCCAGACTATATATTTTTTTGGGGGATGAACAAATTCCTGTGCCCCACAAATAACCCAGAGACACATTTTAAATAAAAGCACACATTCTACTCATGTAAAAACACACTGGTTCCCGGATCGTCCGCAGGCCAGATTTAGAAGGCGATTGGGCCAAATCCAGGCTCCGGGCCTTAGTTTGCCTACCCAGTGGGCTCAAATGTCATGAGACGCAAAAAATGAGAAGTCTGCAGCAGTTCAAGTGGAAAAATATATGCAGATAGGCTACAGAAAACCGTGTAGCTCAGTAACAAGATGGAATGTGTGATGCAGCCAAACAACTCCCCATCCTTATTTTTCTGATACTTACACCTGCCTGCTGTAGCCCTGAGGATGGACTGTCTCTCAGCAATATGAGCAAAACTAAAGGGACGGTGCACCACAGAGCCAGAAAGAGAATATTCTCTTTCCCCAGTATTTATAAGAAACCCTGAATTTACCTGGCTGTGAGGATTTTCCAAATCTGTTTCCATGTTGAAAATGCCATGGAGAGCCAGCCGCAAGATACCAGACAGTTGCTCAGGATCAAATGGGGGCTTCATTTTGCTGGCAGGACCAAAGGAAAAGCAACTGGTTATTATGCTGGTTGAGAGGAGGGGCTGTGAAATAGAGAAAAATGCAAATTCTGTTCTCCCTTTAAAAGTGGGGGGGGCACCTCTTTCCTCCATGGAGTCTTTTCCTCCATGTTCTCCTAAATAAGCCAACAATGTCATGTAGATGCTGCACATGCCTGGAAATGGCAAGTTTCTGCCCTCTCACCAGAGATCATGATGCTCTGTCTGCAAATCCCACTGAGAAGCAGAGAACTGTAGAGTTGGAAGGGACCCTGAGGATCCTCTAGTCCAGGGGTAGCCAACCTTTTTATACCTACCGCCCACTAATGCATCTTTCTGGATGCTAAAATTTCCTTACCGCCCACCAGTGCTCGATGGAAGCAAGATTCAGCTTGTGCCGTAGAACCCCCTACTGCCCACCTAGAATCCTGAAACACCCACTAGTGGGCAGTAGGGACCAGGTTGACAACCCCTGGTCTAGTCCTTGAATGCAGGAATATGCAGCTATCCAATACAGGGATCGAACCTGCAACCTTGGCATTATCAGCACAGCGCTCTAACCAGCTGAGCTATGTCCAAGAAAAAGGTATGTGGGGGGACTTCCGGGTTGGCGCCTCTGGCAATGGCGGATTTCCTCCGATCGGGAGGAATCCGCTCCGTGGAAAAAAGGGTCTGAACCGCCACGGCGAGGCGGAGATCCATTAAAAACCACAAGCGGGAGAAGCCTGTGGACGTGGGATTCGGTTGGCACCTTTTGCGCCCCCCTACTCGCGGGGAGACCCAGTTTCGGGGATCCGGAGCGACGTGGGGTGAGCGGCGTGGTGCCTTGAATCGACTGCTTCTTTCACGGAGTGAAGCCGCATGGCTGTTGCCGGAGAGCGCTGACTTTTTCCTGTGGACAATTGGACTCTAAACAACGACCCGTGAGTAGAACGGAAAATTGGATTAAGAAATTTCTTCTAATTTAGCGCTGAAGTGGGAAGGTCTAAACAGGAAGTCAGCCTTCCACTTTTTGTAGATAGATTAAAGCAAAGACACGGCAAGCTAGAGTTAAGAAAATTGTCTGTAAAGGATCAATTTTCATCATCTAAAATTACTGAACCCCCCTTGGAAGCAGGAGAAGAGGGGGGATTTTTTCTGGACTGTTTAAACCTGCAGAAGAGAGTGTAAAGAAAAGTAATTTTCCACCGTCTTGAACCTGGGAGCGGGGTGTCAGGACAGACGTCCTCGGGAAGTTCATTGACTATAGACAAACGTTTTTGACAGACAGTTAAAAGAAGAGAAACATAGTGACTCCATTGTTCCCCTTCGCATCTAAAAGGAACAAAATATTGACAAAATATCTGAAAAAGGAAACTTTGTTGTTAGATCTGCTATATATAAAAAAAAGAGATGGATACAAATAGAAGCTTTTCCCCTAGAGGGAGCTTGTGAAACTGTTATTAAATCTGAACTAGGGAGCTTTGCAGCTGCAATAGATTAAGATCGTGGGATCAGACTTTGACCTTGCACAAGAATGTACTCGGAGGCTCTGGTGCGTGCTTTCTGTAAGACAAGTGCTTTATTGGAACAGTTACATGAGAAGACGGATTTGATGACTGTTGCGATCGGAAATTTTGGACAGGTAGTGGGTATCTATATAGAACCCACTCAGGAATTAATCCAGGAGTGTGCTCTGACAGATCAGATGAGGGAGGAGGTTGTGGCTGGACCTCGGGAGGCAGAGATGGAGGGAACTGTGGCCCAGCAGCAACATGAGTTGTTGGATCTGACGAATGAACCTGGAAAAAGCCAGATTTGGAGAGATAGAGTCTTGCTTGGCTTGGAAATGGGGGGCTGGATAGACCCCCCTATGCAGGGATGTTTTGACTTTTCAAGTCTAGCTTTGGGCCGGGAGGAGTTCGGAGTTGTGGGGGTCCTTAACTTTGGAGGGACTTTGAAACATGCTTTTAAATACCACATGGAGTTTAGTGTTGACTATGGAAAAGGGGCTGATCTGTCGAGAAGGGACAAAAATATTGCCAAGCTGGAGTCTCCACGAGTGAAAGGAGCAGAAGACAAAGTAAAGTACAGGTATAAATATGAAGAAGATCTGCAGAAGGGACATGGAAGAGACTTAAGGGCCTCGGACATAAGGTTACCAGGTTAATGAACTAGATGGATGGGATAGAAAGGACTGACAAAACCCGAGACCAGGAGGAAGAGACGTTGGATGAAGATTGGAAGAAAGTTTATTTTACTTAGGAATGTTTTGTAAAATTAATGAGTATTAGAAAAATGTTGGAATGAAATTATTTGGCTTTAGCAGAAATGTTAAAAAGAATTATGTAAGAATATGCTACGGTTATGAGAAATTGGTATAAATAAGATTTAAGTTTTAAGTTTTAGGGTTTTTTATGGTAAGATAAGTTTAAAATAGATTAAGGTAATTTAATGACAGAATATTATGAAAAATGGAAAGGATTTGCTGTGATAATCAACAACTAGAATACAAAAAAGGGAGGTGTGAGGAGGTCGATGAAATAAGGTAATGAAAGTTAAGGATTTGGAATACTGGATCTGTTTTTAAATATATATTTTTTTGGCTTATTTTTGCTTTTTGACTTTGATGTGTTATGTGTTTTGTTTTTGTTTTTTGACTTTGACTTTTATCGATTTGTATTGTTTAATTGCTATTTGTTCTTTCTTTGTTTTTTCCTTCTTTTTCTCTTTGTTTTGTTTGTAATTTTAAAATTCTCAATAAATATCATTTAAAAAAAAAAAGAAAAGAAAAAGGTATGTGGGGTTTTCTCCTTAATGAGAACTATATGCTGAGCACCACTTTCCTGGCTGAGGATCCTATGGATTGGAAGTGCCTGAAGTTTTCTCTGCCTGTCTCCTGCCCTGAGATAAGTTGCTGTGGTGTCATGGGCTGGGGAAGGAGGCAGTTTGCAGAACCCGGATAAGCACAGTCCTGCTTTCAAGCATTCTAAATGAGGCACCCATGTTGCAGGCGCCAAAAACCGACATCCCTAAGCAGCATTCTAAATCAACAGGATTTGTCTAGATTGGGAATATGAGCTATAGGAGAAAACTTTAGAGTTGCAAAGAAGAATTTAGAGTAGCGCCCTTGGAAGAAAGTAAGAGGAGCAGACAAAACAAAGGGCTTGGGTTTAAGAAAAAATAATTTAATCTAGTGCACATTTGTAGTTTAAAGATTATCATCCAAGAGGAGTCTGGAGCATGACCATAACAAAGCAAGAAAAGGCATGGGAAAATCTGAACTGAATATCATCAGTATAACAGTGATGGTACAAACCAAAAGAAGTCACAAGGGACACTGACTGAAAGAGGAAGCAATGAAGAGAAGCACATAGCCACATCAGTACCATATATTTAATGCACATTTAAAACACATGGGTTTCCCCAAACAGTAGTTTACCCCTCACAGAGCTACAATTCCCAGCACCCTTAACAACCAGAAACCCATTTGGTTTTTAAAACAAACAGGAGGGAATAATAGAAGTTTGTGTGAAATGTAGTTTGAGGTGGAGCTGAGGATTTCTGGGTTTATTCCGGCAGTGGTGTGGGAGGTGAGAAATGCAACTGGGGAAAAAACCCCCTTCCCCAATGATGTAGTTGAGAAATACCAGTGCTAGAGCCAGTCTGGATGTCATTGTCATAGGTTGACTTGGTACCTGAGGTTGTAGACCGTGAGCATTGAGCAGGACAGGAGGAACGATGGCACAGAGTGAACAGGCAGTGTCTCCATCACCATCTGGGAGTGAGTGGTACATGTAGGACGAAAGGGGATAGTCATTGCTGTGTAACACTTTCCTCCCAGGTTCTATTACTCAGCTGCAGTGGTGTAGCAGGGGTTGCCAGCGCCTGGGGCCATGCAGAGGGCAACAAATGGAATACACATGCACATTCAACTGCCTAATGGTATCTGCGCCACCCAGGAGATTATAGCCACAGAGATAAGAAAATAAGAGTTGTTCCATTGTCTGGAGAGGTCACTTCCTGGTTTGCATGGAGAAACTGTTTTCAATGGAGACCAGTGATGGAAGTAAACAGCTGCATCGAAGCAGCACCGGGTGTTGAAATTTTGCACCCAATAACAATCTTGCACCCGGGGCAACTGCCGCTATGGTTTCCTCATGCTACACCACTGCTCAGCTGTATTTGTCGCTTTTCCCCATCTAGTCGTCTTCCCCAAACCTCCAAGCCGACATTACACCTTCAGGATATCATTGTTATTATTATTATTATTTACAATAGATCTGGCCATCCTGTTCTAATATGGCTGCACACTTCTCTCCTTTCTGCCACAGCCACATCTCCTCCCTTCCCCTGGGTTCTTCTGTACTCCTCAACATTGAGTCCACCCCCCCCATGCTTAAGCTGCCCATCTGCCCCACAGGATTCCTGGTGCCAGATATCTCACTTACCAGAAGTGCTTCCACCAATTCATTCTTTGTGTATGGGAGATCCAAGGTGTCCTTGCCACTTTTCTGCGCAGCCATGCAACTAGCAGAAAGGGCACGGAGGAAGCTAATTTTCTCCTCATTGTTGTCCAGGATACTCTGGAAAATATTATTCATTCAAGCTGCCCCTACTCCTATGTGGGAACGGCAACAAAGTCTTGCAGCGCAGAGTGACACTGTCCAGCATTCCCACCACCCCACTCCATTCCATTCCCCTTCTCCCATTTTCCATTTCCTCCACCCACAAATCTCCATCATCATTCCATGGCCACTGAGCATGCTGTATCCTTATTGGGCTGGTTTTTTTTGAGTAGGGGGATCCCCTTAGGGCAGGCTTCCTCAAACTCAGCCCTCCAGATGTTTTGAGACTACAATTCCCATCATCCCTGACCACTGGTCCTGCTAGCTAGGGATCATGGGAGTTGTAGGTCAAAAACATCTGGAGGGCCGAGTTTGAGGAAGCCTGCCTTAGGGTGTGTGTGTTTTTGTAAAACCTTTTTTTTGTACTTTGGCAAATGTTGGGGCTAACTTCTTTGTGGATGATGCTGTTTTGGCTATGTAAACTATGGCAATTGCAGCCTGAACCAGGAGCTGCTGGCATGGTAAGCAACAGCTGCCACCTGACCACCCAACAGCTGAGTTGCTGTTACTCAATTCTGACCAAACTAAGCTTCCTAAAGCAAAATATACACCAGGAGGCTTAGTTTGGTCAGAATCCAGTATAAATGAGCCACCGTAGCCACTAGAGCAGAGCTTTCCAAAGTTTTCATGTTGGCGACACACCTTTTAGACATGCATCATTTTATGACACAGTAATTCAGTTTCACTAGCAAACCGGAGCTTAAACTAACCCCTTTCCAGCCCCAGGAGGAGTGTGGGGAGCGTTCGCACGACACACCTGCTCACTGCAGCTGACAAACCAATGTGTTGCGATACACAACTTGGAAAGCTCTATGCTGGAGGGCTGTGAAAATGTGTGCCATGGGCTTTTTAGACTTGTCTACCCATGTACTACCTGAAACCAAAGGGGTGCTTTGGTTGCCAGATGCGATTCCCCCCCCCCTCAGTTCTCCTCCCCCCTCACTATAAAACCTGTCCTTTGATACATTGCATTTCCACAATATATAATGAGAAGCAGAGCCTGCAATAAAATATTGCACTGTACTCTCACCTCCTAATGGGAGTGCAAACTGGAACGTGTCCAGAGGAGGGCAACCAAAATGGTCAAAGGCCTGGAAACGATGCCTTATGAGGAACGGCTAAGGGAGCTGGGCATGTTTAGCCTGGAGAAGAGGAAGTTAAGGGGTGATATGATAGCCATGTTCAAATATAGAAAAGGATGTCACATAGAGGAGGGAGAAAGGTTGTTTTCTGCTGCTCCAGAGAAGCGGACACGGAGCAATGGATCCAAACTACAAGAAATAAGATTCCACCTAAACATTAGGAAGAACTTCCTGACAGTAAGAGCTGTTTGACAGTGGAATTTGCTGCCAAGGAGTGTGGTGGAGTCTCCTTCTTTGGAGGTCTTTAAGCAGAGGCTTGACAACCATATGTCAGGAGTGCTCTGATGGTGTTTCCTGCTTGGCAGGGGGTTGGACTCGATGGCCCTTGTGGTCTCTTCCAACTCTATGATTCTATGATTCCTAATGGAGCCAGCCATGCGTTCTCCAGCAAGCTGTTCTGTCTCCACCTTGAGTTACTGCCCTCCCCACCTTGCCAAGCTCTCGGCATTCCTGGGTTACTGGGCATAACCTGAAATTCTCAGAGTCCCCCTGAGAATGTGTAGACACCCCCTTCCTTTTTTTAGCGGCTCCATTTCAGCTGCAGTGTTGTTGGCACTGAGCTCCTGGAGTCACTATCAGAGAGAGTAGCAATATGTCTGGACAGCGCATCCTTGTTTCAATTTTTTGCTTAGCTACATTTTATGCAGCCCTCAAGACTCAACTTCAACTTCCACCAGTCCCAGCAAGCATAGTCAATGGCCAGGAAATATAGTTCAGCAACATTTGGGGGGACCAAAGCTTCCCAATATCTGTCTTAGGTTTTATGCTTCACCACTTTCACAGTTTCTTAAGGGTTCTGGGATATTTCTGATGCAAGGGATGGGTTGATGGGAAATGAAAACAGTATTTTATCCTGGTGGTCTTTCTTACTGGTAAGTTTTTATTAACTCCATGAAGTTGTCACCCTTAAGAAATTCCCAGGATTCTTTGGGAGAAAGCCACGATTGTTAAAGTGGTTTAAGAGTACTGCTCTTTAGTGCTCAAATGGAGCTAACAGGAATTTGGGTTTTCCCCAGATTGCTATTTTTTCTGATATATCACTGAGACTCCTTAAAAGGAGACTCCTTAAAGGGAGACTCCTTAAAGGGAGTGAAAGGCGGGATATCAAATCCAAACTCTTCATATATATATATATATATATATATATATATATATATATATATGAAATCAATAATTGCAGTCACCTGTCTATGACAGTTGTGTACATTTTACAATTTTGTGTGTGTTCTGTAAGCTGCCCAGAGTGGCTGGGGAAAGCCAGCCAGGCGGGTGGGATATACATAATAAAATCATCATCATCATTCAGTGCATGGTGTGGGAGTGACCATGTGCTCAGGATCCTGCAAACACAAGTTTTGCTTCAAAAGCAGGAAGGAAGGAAGGAAGGAAGGAAGGAAGGAAGGAAGGAAGGAAGGAAGGGGAAATTTGTACCTGTTCTTCACAATTAGGTGTTTCCATCATATTAACGATGATGTCAAGATCTGATAAGGTCCCCATCTCTGAATAGATCGAGGGCATCGACTGGATCGTAGATTCCAAGGTACTGAATGACGAAACTACAGCAAAAGATATGGTAGAAGCAGATTAGTGGGCCTTTGTAGTGGGTACTCCTGGAGTACAAGAACCTCTTTCTTTTTTTGCTGCCCAGGGCAGTCATTTTAGGCTGGCACCCACAGCACTCATGTCAAAACAGCACTGGAAAACCAGTATTTCCATACTTCATCAAAAAGGGGTGCAGCCAGGGCCGGATTTAGGTTTGATGAGGCCCTTTATATATCCAGCTGTTCTTTGTCAACAACAAATTGTTGCTGTTTTTTTATTTTCATTCATGTTTTTCTTTTTCTTTTCTTTTTACCACTTTTTAAATAAATTCTTGTAATAAATGAAGAAGAAGAAGAAGAAGAAGAAGAAGTATAGATATTTAATTTCTCCTTGCCCATTGGGAAAACAACCCTTCCTTGAACAGGACCATTTGGTGCCATCATTGCAATGGAAAAACCCCTTGCAACCAGGCCCCACCCCTCTGCCTCAGTCTTTGTGACTGACCCAATTCACCAGATTCTTGGCTTTTGTCTGAACAACCCACTTTAACCCCCCCCGGCACCTCCTTACCTATAGTACCCCCAATTGTACTTGTGCTCTCTGGGGTGGTGCTCACAAGTACTAGTGAGTTGTGGGTTGTCAGGGCACGGACATCGAGCCGATCAACGTTGGGTTGCTTCTTCTCCATTACTGGGTCTTGCTTCTCCTGTAGTGGTTTAAAGCTTTGGGGGCTGGTCTTGCAGTTCCCACAGCAGTCCCAGAGCAGTCTTCTGTTTCCCCCATCCCCTACCGAAACATCCCTGTGTGCTCTGCAAAGGCGAAACCTCCAGGATTTGGAAGGCCCTTTCTTCTGATCCTTGGATTCAGGGCCCACAGCTTGCATCCTGTGGTAGGCCGTGCATGGCCTGCCCTTGGGAAGGGTCTCCAAGGAAACATCAGGATCTCTCTCGGGAGCACTTACACTTTCCTCCTCCGCTGGAGCAGCATTGGTGTTCCTACTTGAAAGGAGGGCCCGCAGTCTTCCCAACCTTGAACAGAGTGGGGGAAAGCTGAGGAACGGGGCTTGTGACGCCACCTTATTTTACTGAGCTTAGTCTACCTTAGCCCTCTAGGATGGGGAACCGGTGGCCCTTCATAAGATGTTGGACCACCAGCTCCATCCAGTACACAGACTGAGACCATTCCTGCCTGCAGACTATCTCGCCAGAGTGGACTACTGCAACACACTCTACGTGGGGCTACCTTTGAAAGTGACCTGGAAACTCCAATTAATCCAGAATGCAGCAGCTAGACTGGTGACTGGGAGTGACCGGCGAGACCATATAACACCGGCCCTGAGAGACCTGCATTGGCTCCCAGTACAGTGGTACCTCAGGTTAAGTACTTAATTCATTCCGGGGGTCCGTTCTTAACCTGAAACTGTTCTTAACCTGAAGCACCACTTTAGCCTATGGGGCCTCCTGCTGCCGCTGCGCTGCCGGAGCACAATTTCTGTTCTGATCCTGAAGCAAAGTTCTTAACCTGAAGCACTATTTCTGGGTTAGCGGAGTCTGTGACCTGAAGCATATGTAACCTGAAATGTATGTAACCCGTGTAACTAGTGGTACCTCTGGTTGCAAACTTAATTTGTTCCGAAGGTCCGTTCTTAACATGAAACTGTTCTTAATCTGAGGCGCGCTTTCGCTAATGGGGCCTCCCGCTGTCGCCACGCTGCTGCCACACAACTTCCACTTGCATCCCGGGGAAAAGTTCGCCTCCAGGTGCACCTACTTCCAGGTTAGCGGAGCTTGTTACCCGAAGCATTCACAAGGAGGACGGTACATAACCAGAGGTATTACTGTACAGTGGTACCTCTGGTTGTGAACAGGATCCATTCCAGAGCCCTGTTCGCAACCTGAGCAGAACGCAACCCACGTCTGCACGGGTCACGATTCGCCGCTTCTGTGCATGACATCATTTTGAGCGTCTGTGCATGTGCAAGCAGCGAAACCCAGAAGTAACCCTTTCCGGTACTTCCGGGTCGCAGCGGGACGCAACCTGAGAATGCTCAACCTGAAGCAAACGCAACACGCGGTATGACTGTACTTAAACCGTTGAAGGTAGGTCTGTCTTTTGAAAATAAACACTGCCATGGCTGGGGAGGAAGGAATTCCCTAGAACTGTTCTGAACTAAAGCAGGCCTGGCTCATGGTATTTGGTTGTCTGAGGGAGTTTGGCAAAAGCCAGTTGGACTAAGCAGCTGAATCTGAGGGCAGCAGATTAGTGTAGGGGATGCATAATATGTATGCCTCTCACGCAGCAACTGGGGAATGGCAGGGAGGCTGCCGTGGCTGCTCCCCGGCACCTGCCGCCTAAGGCAATTTCCGCACTCTGCCCAATGGTAGGACTGTTCCAAATGGATATTGTTAGAACCAGAGCACAGAGCTGCTAAGAGAGCCTACTTACATTTCCGAATATCTAATTCCCCTCGTCACATTCAGTCTCTTCAGGAAGTGTTGTCCGGAGGCTTCTTAATCACCTGGGCGAGGTCTAGAAAACAAAAGTATTTTCAGACTGAACAGATCTCTGCCACCAGCCAAATCAGGAACAAATGCAACCCCCATGTTCCCCCTATATGTGATCCGACATGAACACACAATCCCCATGTACATCATTTCAAACTGATTTTTTAGTGTGGCATCAACTACACTTTACAACTCTCTGCCTATTGATATCTGGCAGGTGTCTTTAATTCCTCTTTCTCTCTCTTTTAACCCGTTTCCTATTCTTTTCTTCTTTTTCTTTATCTCCTCCCCTTTTTGTGTTTTTATTATAATCTAAATAGAAGTCTTAGTTTAGTTAAAAAAGGGGAAAGATATTAAGCTTTGTATTTTTCTCTATAAGCAATAATTTATTTATTTAAGATACCTGGCAGTTGTCTTCACTATACTCTTTCCGGGGCTTACTTAACATTTTCTTATTTAGGCAAACCGATCCAGACATTTAGTAGTTTCATGTGTTTTAATTTGTTTTTAGCTCATTGTTGATTTTAATGAGTTGTTGAATGTTTTTTCTTATAAGGCTATTTTTAGCCGCTTTTAATCGACAAATTTACTTTTCTGTAAACCGCTTAGAGGTTTTATTACGATCAAGAAGTATGTAATTATTTTTCCCAAATAAACAATTTCCTACTGATGTGACAAGTCAGTCCAAAGCACACACATGTTCTGTGCGTTAGGATCATTGGAAGTTGTCTCAGTTATCCCCCTTGTTCTTCAACCTAATCTGTTCCTCTAGGCCACTGGCATGGCCAAACTTGGGACTACAATTCCCATCATCCCTAGCTAACAGGACCAGTGGTCAGGGATGATGGGAATTGTAGTCCCAAAATATCTGGAGGGCCAAGTTTGGCCATGTCTGCTCTACTGGCTCCTCAATAGGAGCTCAGCTTTGGGGAGAGTTCAGTATCAGCAGGTGATAAGACCTTCTTTACAGTTTGCGGGGTTTTCTAGATATGCACCACCTCAGTCTCCTGTCCTATTAGTACACCATAGTGCGAGACTCAAAATATAGCAGTTATGGGGGGGGGGGAGAAATGCCAACAAAATGGGAGAAAAAAAGCATCAAGCACTTACTCTCATAAAAGACCTCTGGTTATCTGACAGGTGAGCCAGCAGGGGGAAATGTCACAATGGAGGACATGTGACAGTTACCTTAGCAACCTGGGCATTGTTTTTCTTAATATTACCCTGGCCTTCTTTTTATTCCTTAAGCCTGCTATGTATTGCGTCTGCGTTTTCTTTCTGTTTGGCCTTGATTTGCACCTGCACCTGCTATGCCTAGGCACCTGGGATTCTCACCCCCTCCCATTCATACCTGGGGCCCCATTACGTGCTCCTTCTGGCAATGTGCATAAAGGATTTAAACCAGCTCAAAGGCAGCTGCTACGCTGCTCATCCACGCTATGGTTTCCTTATGTGTGTTACTGGAGTAGATGGGGAATGTGCCTTTAGGCACGGGGAGCTGTAGGAAAAACAAACAGATCTGCGTGTCGTGGATGCACGTATCAATTAATGCAATTGCTGTTGCTGTTTGTGCTTTCAATCCTGGCCTCTTTAGCAAAGGAAATATTTTTTATGAACGTATTTAATGCTCAGCTTTTTTCCCCCCTGATGGCTAAGGAAAGGCATCCTTACAAGCAGACACGTATTGTAACAAAAATCCCGGGTGTCCACTTCTGTGTCAGCAAAATGCTTTTTGTGGGGGGTGTTGCTGATTTTTCAGCAGACACATGTGGGGTGTTTGTTTGTGAAGAAATTGTGTTTTCCACTGGGTGACTTCCTCAGTGACTTCCCCTGATTTTCTCTTTCAAAGGGTTAAGCCTCCTCTGCCATCAGTTCTCTGTTCTAATTTCCCCTTTCTTGAAGCAGCTTTTCTATGAGAAAAGCACTTTGGGGGTTTGTTTTGACTTTTTAACCACTCGTTTTGCTTGCTTGCTTCCTACATCGTATGTGCTTCATTTTATGCCTGCACCGTTTGTGACTGGACTGGCCAAATGTTTGACTATAGACTACACAAATATTGTGTCCTTCTAGGTCAGGGATGGGGAATTTATGGGTCTCCAGATGTTGTTGGACTACAACTCCCATCATTCCTGCCCCATTAGCTTTGTTGATTGAGAGTGAAGACAGGGAGTCCAACAACATCAGGTTCCCCATCATTGTGCAAGGTGTTTGAGGATCCTTCTTTTTTTAACCGTCAAGGAAATCAGCAAAGTAGGATGTTCGTGAAGCTTCTACTCAACTGCTATGTATATGTTGGTGTTTCACGATCAAAAGTTGTGCCTGCTTGCTTTAATCTTTTCTGTTTGGCAGAGGGGAAGTGGAATAAAGAGCACAGGCATGCAAAAAACGTCATGTTTCTCCAGAAACCTATCTCCTATGCTTGTGCAAGGAAGCTGAGACTCAAAAGTTCACCTCCTGCTCCCACCAGAAAGAAAATGGGATTTGAACATTCAAATGTGAACATTCATATATCAAACCCTTCAAGTGTCCCTATTTTCCAGATACAGTCCTGGATTTACAGAAGCTGTCCCAGTTTCTGATCTGATGACAGGATGTCCCGCTTTTCCTTAGGAAGTCCCCATTTTCATCGGAGAAATGTTGGAGGGTATGGAGTTATGCAACCCCCGAGCCAAGGAGATAAATAACTATACAACCTTTGGAAGACATCTGAAGGCAGCCCTGTATAGGGAAGTTTGAAAAAAAATGTTTCATGTTACTATGTTGGAAGCTGCCCAGAGTGGCTGGGGCAACCCAGTCAGATGGACAGGGTAAAAAGAATAAAATGAAGACACAACAATAACAAAAATAATAGTAGGTAAAGAAGATCGCACACTGGTGGAGGGAAGTACTGGGCTGCGGGGGAGGGAGGTGAAGGGATTAATTGAAACTGTTAAAGAGTGGTATAGGATTTAAGAGATTTAAATTTTCATAAAGATTCTATAAGGAAAGCAGAAAGCAGCAAGAAATATCAAGTAAAGGTATCGGAGAGGAGATCAGTGTAAATGAAAACATGAGACTTAAGGTTTTCTTACATATGATTTTATTTTGGAGTTGTCTGCTTATTTTGGAGTTGTTTGTTGTAAAGAATGTATATTATGTGAATAAAATAATTAAGGATAATAATAATAATAATAAAATGAAGATGATAAAACAGGACATCCCTATTTTCATCGGAGAAATGTTGGAGGGTATGATATATATGAATGGTGCTTTTATGTTTTTAATGCTGTAATGTAGTTCTGCTTTTGTTTTCAAATGTGTTGTAAGTCACTTGGAGACGTCTGCGTATCAAACAAGCAACAATGACATTACAACACTACAATCACAAACAAACATACACTGACTAGCATCAACTATTAGGCCTCAGCTTCTGGCTGGCAAGGCAATCGCAATACATTTTGCTGCCTGAGGCAAAGAACAAAATGGCGCCCTCCCCTTCCACTTCTAGAATCCAACTGGCAGTAGAATCTTGCTTCTACACTGGGATGAGATGCTGCCCTGCCCTGGGGGCAGTAGACTAGGCTGGAAGGCACAAGGGAAACAGAGGGCTACTGGATGTTCTGCCCTGAGTGTCTGCTGTCTGAGGAAGCTGCCTCACTCTGCCTACTGGTAGTGCTGGCCCTACAAGACAACCAGAGGGGAAAATGATAACCATTTCTTCTAAAACATATATCCTAGGTTTTGCAAAGTGAAGAAGAAGATTTGGGCCTTCGTACTCCCTTTCTGCGGAGGGCTGTAAAAACAGGGTTATGTTAAGAAAGGATTTAAAGAAAATGTACCAAAATTATTATTGCTGTTGATTTATAAAAAAAGTGTAGTCTGCTTTTTGCCCCAAAGGCCCCAAAGTGATTTCTGCCATAAAATTCTGCAATCCTTAAAGCCAAACACAATTTGAAACATAGCTGTACAAACCAAGCAATATGAAAATCCCAGAATACTGGGAACTTTGGGAACTTTGGATGTACAGAAATACCTACGATTCCCTATGTATATGCAATAAAAACTATGACATTTTGGTTGTTCTTTTGAAGGAGATTGAAGGATGGCCTTGAATGGTATTCCATTTCCACACACTGTTGCCAGCAGATGCAAATATTAAAAAATAAAATAAAATACAGAATTTCTAACACCAAAGTAACAGGTTATCTTCTTGTCCCCTATTGAGCAAATGCAACAACTGTGATAAAAATACATCTCAAGACACAAACCGAGCTTCAGTAATAGCAGAGCAGCAATTTTATACTTCCATGCTAGCTAATAGCTCCTGACAAGGAATATGAAAATATACTACCCTGTGGATATTTCCCTATCAGTGCAAAATGTTACCAGCAATTGGCCCAGGCCCTGCTGAGGATAAAAGCCCCCTTTTATTAAATTGGCATGCTTCCACCATGTTAATGCTGTGTTATTTTCCCCCCCACCTAGTATTTTGGAAATGTTGTTTGATAGACACTAGTTTGACAAGTATCTGTAGTTATACAGACTGTTCATAGAGTGAAGGCACAAACCCCAATAACTCGCTGGAATAAATGCTTTCATTAATTTAAATGAGGGTGATCGGATGTGGAAAACGGCAGCACTCCTGCAACTTTAATAGCTGTGCAGGAGAGGGGATTTCAGCAAGTGTCTGTGGTGTGGGATTGCCTCTTCTGCAATATTAAAGGTGCAAAAGCCTCCCCCCCCCCCGGCCACATTAATTTCAACAGAATTAACTGCTAAGGAAGTGTTCAGGAATATTTTAATGTTCTCTCTCACTGCTGGTGTCAGTAGTTTTGTTAGTCCTCATTTAATCTGTGATAGCACGTGATTTCACAAATAGTTTTTGCATTTAGAAATAGTTTTAAATTATTTCACCAGATGGAGTTGCTAGCTTTCGAACCCTCCCTTGAATAGCAGTTTAAATTACAATGATTAGCAAGTCATAATGTTTAGGCCCATGCCATTAAAAGCTTCACTTGCTGATTTCTGCCTTTCCAACCCCATGAAGGGGATGGGAGCAGACCAGCTGGCAATGATACAGCCTAGCGCTTGTAAAAATTAATCTTAAGGCATTTTGTGTAAGAAGCCGTTAAATAAATATCAGCTGGTAAAGGGATCTGCAGGTGTGGAGCAATAACAGAAAGAGAAAGAGGACTTTTCCTGCTAACCTGTTTATTGAACAGTCATTCTGGTTTGCTTGCTCAAAGCTTTTGAGGACGTTAGGCTATGTCTGGTCTTTATTGAGCATTCATTCTGATTTATTTACAGGGAGGGTATAATGACAATGAGCATTCCACCTGAATTGTTTGCCACGGCAGTTATAAACCTTCCCATTACTCATTTGTTCATCCTACACAACAGAGCACTTTAATCCACTTTAATTGCGCAAACCTAAATTTCCTGGATGTGTTTCCATTCCTTCTGCAAAATACTGTCTGGAGGCAACCAGAAAGAGAGGGCAGAATCTGTGAAGATGCGGAACACAACAAGAGATACAAAGAGGCAGAGGAACACAAAGACTTAGCAGGGAAATATAGAAAAGCACAAATGTTGCCAGCTGCCCTTTGCAAGGAGATGTGCATCTATCCACAAATAAAAACAGAAGTAGTAAAATACATGAAATGTACGAATAACTTTTGGGCGGAAGGTTCTAGAAGGTTTGCTGTTCCAAGAGACATGAGAGTCAGTGTTTTGGGTGGTCTAAATATACTGTATCAGGACTGGGCACAATTGTATCACTGCTGCTGCTGCTGCTACTAGTGCTAGAGTGTGGTCTGAAGGCATGGGAGTCTGGTACTGGCTAGTGCAGGGGTCTGCAAACTAAGGCCTGCGGGCTGGATCAGGCTGGATCAGGCGCACCTGGGTCATAAATCAGGCCTGCGCCCCGCGCTGCGAAGCCAGAACCTGTCGTGAAGCCAAGACTTCCGGTGATGGCGACAGGAGGGAGAGGCCAAGCAGCGGCAGCTCTGCCACTCAATCACCGCACCTGGTTTACCTCAGCGGCGTTTGATTGGCAGAGACGTCCCCACGCCACGCTGAGGTAAACTAGGCGTGGCATATGATTAGCAGAGCCACTGCCGCTCGGCCTCTTCCTGCCGTTGCAAGGAAGCAAGGCAGCGCTCTGGCTCCTCCCACCTTGCCACCTCTGGAAGTCTGCTTTCCCTTCCCTGCCAGCTTCCACCTGCACCGCCAGGAGACTGCCAGGAGACGCTGCGTCTCAGAGCATAGCCGCACCCTGCCCTGCCATTGGATGCATAAGAGCCTAAGGACGCACATACTCGCAAGTTAGCTGCGATCGTTTCAAGGCTGCTTGTTCAGTGCCTGAAGAACTGCTCAAGCCCACTGAGATGAAATGCGCTACGGATCGCGCCCCGGGAAAGGTAAGCATAGCGGCTGGCCCCACTCTCCTCTTCTTCCAGCTCTGCCCCCTATGCCAATTCTCCGGCCTGCCACAAGGTCTGAGGGATAGTGGACCAACCTGTGGCTAAAAGAATTTGCTGACCCCTGGGCTAGTGCTTGGAAGGTGATCGTATGGAAACCACATGTGGTGCTTCCTATTTTGCCACCTGAGGCGAATATGCCACCGCACTGCCTCCCTTACTTGCACTGTGGTGCATGTGAAGTAATGCCAGTGGCTTCCAAAGAGATCTTGTGAGATCTCACCAACGTCTTACAAGATCTCTTGTGTTCTGTGAAATCTCATGAGATTTCAGTGAGATTTTGGTGAGCTCTTTGCTCATGCAGGAGCCACCTCTTGGCTTCCTTGCCATCTTGAGTTCCACAGAGGAAAAAAGGCAGGCTGCGAGTGTGTGAAAATATAGACAAATTATTTCCATATATAACTGACAAATTTTCCTTAGTGCAAGCCTCATTGCAACCATCCCTCTGATCAATCACTGTTTACTCCTGCTTTATATGTGGATTACTGAGGTGCAAAGAGAAGAACTTGTCCAAGCTGGATCTACGGCAACAGGGGACCAGAATTAAGACAGGTGACTACCAGAGATCTTCACAGTTGTGGCACTCCAGGTGTAGAACCAGGGTAGCCAGTAGCATAGCGTGGGAAGGGCCAAAGGAGCGGTTGTCCTGGGTGCAAAATTGTTAGGGGTGCAAATTTTTAACAACTGGTGCTACCTCAGTACAGTTGTGCACTTCCATCTCTGGGCTCCACTGAAAATAGCTTCTCCATATGAACCAGGAAGTGACCTCTCCAGATGACAGAATGACTTCTTTTCTTATCTCTGTGGCTGTGATTTCCTGGGTGATGCAGATGCCATTAGACAGTTGAATATGCATGTGTTCTCCATCTGTTCCCCTTTCTCCATGTGGCCCCGGGCACTGGCAATCCATGCTATGCCATTGAGTCATAGAGGCAAAGGACAGAGTTCCTGCACCTTTAAGTGTGGTGTAGCGATTTTAGCCGGCAATTTTGTTGTGCAAGCTACACCTGCTGAAATCCCCACTTCTACACAGCTATTAAAGGTGCAGGAGCCCCATATAATGTAGCTCTTTCTGGGCCAAGCCCAAATTCTGCTTTCCCAATGCAAATATAGAAAAGCATAGCATTCTTGATGCAGTTATGATGAGTCTGCTTCTGTGGCCATGCCGCTTATCAACTTAATTTTTTTATAGCACTGGGCTCTTGTGTGGGACCAAGAGGAAGGTCAGGGTGGAGAGAACCTTGACACAATCTGGTGGTCATGGGTGAGTTTTAAAACCAGGACAGAACTTGGTGGGTCAAGAGTGAAGTAATGATGGAACCTGGTAGTCCTGGATAAGGCGAAATAGAAACCTGTTTGGTTACAGGTGAAGAGCCAAGGCAGAATATCAAATTCACTTGCTTTTCAGACATCCTGCTACTTATCTGATCAAATACAGCTGGAGTGAGGAATCTATAGCCCACCCAATGTTGACAGACTCACATCAGCCCCAGGCAGCACAGGACATGTTGTGGGGTGGTGGACACTGGAGTCCATCATCTGAGGCCCAAAAGTTATCCAACCTGGAAATACAGTTTAATGAGTACAACCATTAAAATACTGGCTGATTGGCATCCCTATGATGACCTGTAAGGAAAAGTCTCCTGTTTTAAAGTCACCTCAGTCACTTTAGCGAGATGTTATCCTTCCTGTCTGCACATTGCAGAATACATAGCTTATTGTCACTTGGCATTTGGAATCAAGGAACATCTTTTTCTGATGCAGTTAGTGTCAAATGTAAAGATAAAACTGATGTTTATCAGAGACGAGGCCCAGAGAGGACAATTTGAATCAAACGAAAGCCAGAGAAGATTAGCAAGCAGAAAAACAGAGAGCGAGAGGGAGAGAGCACTATGTCAGATATGCTTTATTCACAGGAAGAATAAATCAGAGTTAATGGATCTTGGAGATTTTGTGATGTGCTGTTTGTAAGAAAATATTATTCTTCCTGCGCTGTTTAAAACACGAGCTATTCCTCGTTTTGATTGATTAAATGTGTGTGTGTGTAATACTAATATATCTATTGAAAGCAGTGAAAACGGGTAAGCATGTATATGTCAAATAATATTAAAGCAGCTACTGTGACTGGAGGATGCGGGGAGATGGCTGAAGCTTTTGTTGCTGGTGGTGGGGTGGGGTGCGGGCAAACAAATGGTCAGTGGTAGCAATGGTGAGGAGGGATGCAAACCTGCTCAGAGACGGGAAGCCCGCTGAAGGCCATCACACCCAAATCCCCATGTCCCCCCACCCCCAAGGACAAACCCTTAGAACCACTCCAAAGATCTTTAGTGGCTTGCAGCTGCACATGCAAAGCGACTTCACTGAAAAAGTGGAAGTGGTCTAAAATGTAGGCACTCCAGGGATGGTGTGATGGATACCTGTGATGGTCTATTCCAGGCATGTCCAAAGTCCATTTTGGGAGCCAAATCTTGCCCCCTGGCCGGTTTTATTTGGCCCCGTGGCAGTTTTTATTGGTGTCAAATCATAAAAAAGCTCAACAACTTCCACCCTAGCAACCCTAAAAAGCTCAACAGCTTCAATCCTAAAAAACGGTCAGCAACTTCAATGGTTCACTTCATCAAATCTGGCCCTCTTTGAAGAAAGTTTGGGCACCCCTGGTATTCACATGCACACACACACACACACACACCCCATCACTGCATGGGTGCTCTGCATGTCAGAACCAGCACCAACGGAATGGGGTTGGGGAGGAAGATAGCCTCATACCCCCCATACCAGCAAATTGAATGCACACAACACATTTAAGAACATCTCCTCAGGGAATAGCTCAGTCAGCAGAGCAGGAGGGGGGTGGGGTTGAGCCCCACCTTGGGCAAAACATTCCTGCGTTGCAGGTAGGGTTGCCACCTGTCTTGTATTACTCAGGATTGCCTTGTATAATGCAGAATTCTTCTGTATTTCAATGTAAAATGCTACATTCTGTATTGATACAGTTTTGCCCTGCACTTCAGATCTCAGCCAAGTTAGGGATCCTCTCCAAATACCTGTGTTTGAAAGGGTGTGACAAAGGTCATGTATTTTATCTCCGGGTAGCCCAGCACAGACAGATTTACAAATTCACGTGGACGTGTGTGCATGAGTGACAAATGCCAGATGGCCCATCTTGTTGGGCTGAAATGGATTGTAATGGATTGCTTTGAAATCAGTTCAGCACCGGATGGAGAAAAACAATCGCCCCCCGCCCTGTATTTTGACAGAACAAAGGTGGCAGCCCTAGTTGCGGGGGGCGGTGGCGGTCTAGAGGACCTTGGGGGGTCCCTTCCAACCATTCTACGATTCTCAAAACAAAGGGACGGGAACTGCGCAACCTTAACCCCAGTCTACTCAGAAGTAAGACCTGTTGAGTGCCCTGGGGTAAGCGGGGTTAGAATCCACCAGCAGCATAAGGAGGCAGCCGGTGCTTCCACCAAACAGGGATGCGCGCTGGCGGGCGCGAGAGAAATCCATTTCCCAGGGATCATCCGGGAAAGGGAGAGAGAGAGAGAAGAGGGCGGCTGCCCCGCCGAGCAGCAGCGGGCGAGGAGGGAAGCAGGCGCCGCGGCTGCCGCAGGTCCCTCCTCCGCCTATGGCTGCTCTCCTTCTCTCGGCGAGGGGAGGGCGGAGCCTCGGCGCTTAGCCTCTCCGGGGGAAATTGCTCCGAGGAGCCGCGGCCGCCGCTGTTGCTGCTGCTGCAACGTCGAGTCTTTCCGAGGCGCGCGCGCGCGCGGGTGTTTCCTGCGCGGGGCGGGCCGGGGGCGGCTCCGGGCGCGCAAAAGGCGCGGGGCGGAGAAGGCGCGCGGGGCTCTGCCCGTCACGGCCGCTTCCCTCCGCCCCTTTCCCGGCCAGCCCAGGAGCGGAGCGTCCGCGCGGCCTCCGGACGGTCGCTGGCTCGGCGAGGCTTCTCCTCCTCTCGGGCCGGGCTCCGTGGCCCTCGCTGCTCCGCCTCCGCCATGTCCGCAGCCGCGGGCGGCGGCGGCGGGGCGGGCACTCCCAAGGCGCTGCCTTCGTCGGGACCCAAGTCTCTGCGGGAGATGCCGCACCCGCTGGCCGCCTCCAGCAGCGAGGAGGCGGGCGCCGAGCTGACGCCCAGCCCGGACTTGCAGCTGCCGCGCAGCATCGCCGACAAGGTAGCGGCCGCCGGTGGGGCCTGCGCGGGGCAAGGGCGAGGGCTGGGCTCGGTTCTTCTCCTGGCTTCCGGGCGTGCGTGGTCGATCTGGGTCGTGTGAATGCGTTTCTTTGCCGTGCCTGGACAGCTGGGTCGCTCAGAGCTACAAGAGAGTAAGCTGCAGTGTAGGAAACGTGCAAAAAGCAAGGGGGCATGTGTGCAAGAGGGACTTCAGCGTGGGAGCCAACTCCTTGGGGCTGAGGACCCTTCTCCTCCCCCAAAAATATTTGAGTCCCCCCCCCCAAGTTGATGGGCATTGCCATTCAAATGATGTCCATGCACCACGTCATGTGATCAATGGTGTAAGGCGGGGCTTACCTGAGTCCCCTCAATATTTTATTCAAGTTGGCACCCCTGGACTTCAGCCTTCCACCAACATCTTGCCCCCTTCGCTAAGTTGGTGAAATGGTGGGAATCTTTTTATATAAAAAAAAGGCCTCTTCCAATCCTTTTTTGCCTGTTGTCCTCTCCCTTTGTGTTTGTGTGTAAGCAACCCATCTGAGTATATTTTGGCTCCGACACAGCCAAGGCAAGAATGGGAAAACAACAAAGCAACTTCTGTTTTGGGCTCGTAATAAGGACACAGTAATTTGTGATGGTGTGTTGACTCATCCGTGTTGAAAGTGCGTGGAGGACACTTGTGCGGAGGTTGGTTTTGCAGTGCTGTCACAAATGCAGGCTGTGTTGCAAGCGTGGGGCGCAGTGAAGCAATCCCTGGCTCCGTGCCAGGCTCTTTTCCTATCTGCCAGTTTGGTGTGTATTGGTTTGTGCACCTGACCTTGATGACCCGAATGGGTTGGCTTCCTTTTCTGGAGTTGCCTCTGTTCCACCTTTAAGACAAGTCCTCCCTGGGGGAGTTGGCAGTATATTTAAGAACAATCCAACACTACTGCCAGTTAGGTTTGTCCACCAGAAGCCATTACCTGTTGGGAAAGGTTCTCAGAAACTGCATCGCTTACCTCTTCGATTCCCAACTTAGGACAATTGAAGAAGTGCAGAGATGATGAAGGCCTGTATTTGCTGGCACTTTGGGATATTCTTAGCTGACCTTAAATGGCATGTGAATGTCTTGGAAGTTGGTTCTCAGAGCCCCAAATGGTAGATTGACTAAAGAGCTTGGTACAGATGCCCAGGCATTAAGCAAGTTCCTGTCCTCATTTTAGACATAGGTGTCTTCTTGGATGTACGTACTGTATAGTGAATACTCAAGACAAACTAAGGCCCAAGGGCTGGATCGGCCCAATCGCCTTCTAAATCCAGCCCACGGACTGTCTGGGAATCAGCGTGTTTTCACATGAGTAGAATGTGTCCTTTTATTTTAAATGCATCTCTGGGTTATTTGTGGGGTCTGCCTGATGTTTTTACATGAGTAGATGTGTGCTTTTATTTAAAATGCATCTCTGGGTTATTTGTGGGGCATAGGAATTCGCTCATCTCTTCCCCCCCCCCAAATATACAGTGGTACCTCGGGTTACATACGCTTCAGGTTACATACGCTTCAGGTTAATAATAATAATATTATTATATAATATATAATATAATAATATATTCAGGTTAAGAACTTTGCTTCAGGATGAGAACAGAAATTGTGCTCCGGTGGCGCGGCAGCAGCAGGAGGCCCCATTAGCTAAAGTGGTGCTTCAGGTTAAGAACAGTTTCAGGTTAAGAACGGACCTCCAGAACGAATTAAGTACTTAACCTGAGATACCACTGTAGTCCGGCCCCCCACAAGGTGTGAGGGACAGTGGACCGGCCCCCTGCTGAAAAAGTTTGCTGACCTCTGCTCAAGATACTATAGTCTGAGGCTCTGACAACATCTTATAGCTGGCATGAGAGAAGATTCTGCCCCAGTTAAGCATAGCTTGAGCTGTGTAAAACTGTATAACTTGAGCTGCAAAATATTGGTGCCTTAAGCAACCAGAGGCATAGCAGTGGTCTGAATTTATTTATTTATTTACAAGTTTATTTACAAGCTTTTTGAGCAACCCCCTCCACAGAGCAGCTTACAAATTCCTGGAAGTAAGTCAAGAGCATTGGCCTTGCTCCCTTTCCAAAAGCCACTGCACTTTTCCTCCCCTGTGTTCTGAGTACCTCACTTCAGCTGGGGCTTCCTATGCTGCTCCTGAGATTCGTAGGGCAGAAGGCAGGGGAAGAGGGACTGTATATGAAGCTGGAGCTGGTGACATGCAGAGCCACCACTGGACGAGTTGCAAGTAAGAAGGCAGGCAGGTTCTTTTGCCCCTGTGCACCAGTCTCCAGTGCTTCCTTCCTTCCTGAGTACCACAGTTGGTTGCTGCGTTGTGACCCGAAAAGAGATAAGTGCAAGCAAGCAGCCTAGCTTCATAGCTTTTTTCCCCAGGTGTTGCTATCAAGAGAGGTCATGTGTTTGCAGGCTGCACGGGAAAGTCTGTGGCTTGCCTTGAGAAATCTGGCAGGTGCAACCGTTCAACAAATGTATTGGTTTTGAGGTTTTGGTTTCTCAGGACGCATCGGAAGGGACTCCGCAAAATACGCTAGAGGAGAGCCACTTTAACTTGTGTGTGGTCCACGCACCAACCCAAAACTCTGCAGGTCTGTTTTGGTTTTAACAGCTGCACACGGGGGCAGTGTAGTAATTAACCACCTTGAGAGCTTTACACAAGCGGCAGTTCCGCATGGTACAACATCATGTAATTGGCTTCCCATGAGGTATCAATCTTGTACCAGGTGTGTGAACAAACAATAGGCCCCCGTTCCTTATACCTGGGCTACATGATGATGGAAGGATTGAGTTACCCTAGGCTGCATTGCTTTGTTGACAGCAAGCCAGTGGATTTCAAGCCGCCTACTTTCAGGGACCCATTTCATCCTTGCCTTCCAAAGGACTCTTGTGAGACAGCTCCGGTCAGGATCCCTGCTTGTTCCTTTTTGGTCATGAAGGGTCAATTTAAGTTCCACAGCCTGCTTTTTCTTAGTGGTGTGGGAGCTGCTGCTGCTGCTGCTGCTGCATGAATTGTCCCATCTGTGCCTCTCGGATAACGTTGGAAGTGCTGCATCAGATAAGTTGCTGATGTGCAAGGTGAGAATTGGTCATGGGTGGGCAAACTAAGGCCCAGGGGCCAGATCCTGCCCAATCGCCTTCTAAATCAGCATGTTTTTACATGAGTAGAATGTGCCCTTTTATTTAAAATGCATCTCTGGGTTATTTGTGGGGCCTGCCTGGTGTTTTTACATGAGTGGAATGTGTGCTTTTATTTAAAATGCATCTCTGGGTTATTTGTGGGGCATAGGAATTTGTTCATATTTTTTTTTCAAAATATAGTCCAGCCCCCAAAAGGTCTGAGGGACAGTGGACCGGCCCCCTGTTGAAAAAGTTTGCAGACCCCCAGTATTGGCCTTTTCCTGATCTGGAGCTTTCAGCTTTAACCGGCACAGGAAGGTTGCACCGGCAGTGTTCAAAATTAGCCAGATGCCAGGCACATTTTGCACCTGGCTATTGGCCACTTGCAACCAAGTGAAGATTCCTGGGTGCCAGGATGGCACCTGATATCTCAACCATCTGGAGGTGCATTCTTGGCGATCATCGGATCTGGGTAGTTTTCACATGCTAATACTCCATCCTGTAGAATTCTATCAGTTATATTTTATCTGCACAATTCAGAATGGATTTCTGGAACCAAAATGCTATTTCTGTGCAGCCTGAGCAGGAGCAGTCAACATTAAGAAAAAGAGGTCGGAAGAGGCCAATATATAATGTGGACTGTCCCTGGACCAAGTGACTTTTCTTCTTTTAAGTTCTCAAAGTTCTCAGCCTAGCTCTGAACTAGCCAGATGTTTAACTGAGAATCAATCACAGTCAGTCCATCATTTTAAAAATAAGACTTTAGAGCTGTCTTGCCCCAAAATGGCAACAAGACATTCCGTTTTGGTGACTGCAACCTTGGTTTAAGGAGCCATTTTGCACCTAGATTGTATATCTGAGTTCTTGACACTTTACTAGCCCCAGACTTATTGGGTCACTGCTGTACCTTGTGCTGAGACAAGGGACAACAGGCAATTGAACTGAGCGAGGGGTTTGGGGTCAAACCTGGCCAGAAGCTCCATAGCCCACTCCCCATGGAGAGGTTATTTAGGGAAATATACTTTGCATGTCTTTAGCAGCCATTAACTGCTGCTGAACCAGAGCTGAACCTTGATATCAAAATAGATCTTTATAAAGGCTCCAACTGTGGCTTGAAGTAAACCCTGCTCTCCCCCTATCTTGAAGACACACTGACATCTTGACTGTGTTTGACAACAATTTAGCAGTTTTTGCAAGCATGCTTAATATAGAGAGACAGCAGCTATCCAGTTAGGCCTGCTTGTAAAAAGGTCTGTTCAAGCCCTCTTCCCGGGATTTGGACCTGAATGCTGTGCCTCTCTTTCTTGGAATGTGTGGACTGCGGAAGCTTCATTGAGATCTGTTGTTATGGCCCATACCTGCTGAGAAGCAGAGTTGGGTAGGGATTTTTTGTTTGGTCTTCACAATGCATTTTGGAACATGGCACCTTCATTGTTTAGAGGTTGGCATTAGAAGAATCCTTGTGTAGCAGCCAAGCAACATTCATGTGCTGCCACCCAGTTTCTCTACACTTGGTTGGTATGTGACTGTGAGTGTTCCTTGAAGGCATCGGTCCTACATAATCAGCACCAGCTTCGTACTGCTGGGAATCTGGGTGGTGGAAGCTTGATGTTGACCTTGTCTCAGATCTTGTTACCATAGATATGCTTTAGCCTGAAGAGCATATCATGTATAGCAGGGATGGGGAACCTCTTCCAGCCAGGGAGATGAATTCTTTCATGCCCAAGAGGCAAGAAGTGGGTGGAGCAATGGACATAACTCTTATTTTTCTACAGCAGGCTACATTTCAGCCGCTGGGAACTGGGTACATTGACCTTATTATGTCTGCACTTTATCAGCTGTTCTGCCTCCAAGGCCCCATTTAAAGGACTGGTAATAATAATAATAATAATAATAATAATAATAATAATTTATTATTTATGCCCCACCCATCTGGCTGAGTTTCCCCAGCCAGTCTGGGCGGCTCCCAATCAAGTGTTAAAAACAATACAGCATTAAATATTAAAAACTTCCCTAAACAGGGCTGCCTTCAGATGTCTTTTAAAGATAAGATAGCTGCTTATTTCCTTCACATTTGAAGGAGGGCGTTCCACATGGCGGCGCCACTAGAGAAGGCTCTGACAGTCCTCATTGCAGAGTGAGGTTACAGGAACCAGACACTCTGGTTCCCTGTAACCTCACTTCTTGCAATGAGGGAACTGCCAGAAGGCCCTTGGAGCTGGACCTCAGTGTCTGAGCAGAACGATGGGGGGTGGAGATGCTCCTTCAGGTATACAGGACTGAGGCCGTTTAGTGCTTTAAAGGTCAGCACCAACACTTTGAATTGTGCTCAGAAACGTACTGGGAGCCAATGCAGATCTCTCAGGACCAGTGTTATGTGGTCCTGGCAGCCACTCCCAGTCACCAAATGTTTCAAAGCCCCAAATGTTTGAGACTAGGTTACCTGAAAGTCTGCTGCCTTCCCTATGTACCTATCTGAACCTTAAGGTCCTCTTTAGTGGCCCTACTCGGAGTCCTCCAAGTTAATAAAGAGAGGTGGGTGAACCTCCAAGGACAGAGCCTTTTGGGTAGTGGCATCTCAGTTATGCAACAGGCTTTTCAGAAAGCTTTGCCTCGATGGTGATTTGGTGCCAGGGTTTTTTTTTTGTTTTTGTTTTGGTTCACCTAGCTGTTTTAAATAAGCTCTGTATTCTGACCCTGTTTTTCTTTTTAAAAATCTGTTTGTAACTTTTGTAACCTGTGATGGTGTTTACATATATGTATTTTCTTTAACTGTTTGACATTTTTGTGTCTTTTACTTATTTATTATAATTCACCCAGGGAATTTTATGTTATGAGGCTGCATAGAAAGATGTAAAATGGCACATGACATGAAGTGGCTGGTGGGAGTCCTGACGGTTAGGATTGAGGAACCCTTCACCCCTGTTGTTTCTGTCTTGGAAACTGCAAATAATATTCATGGGACAATGAAGTTGCCATTATTAGGCTAGGGTTATCTCTAAGTGTGTTAAAAGTGTAGTTTTTCCCCAAGAGACCTCCTAATAGTCATGATGACCTACAAAACAAAGGTGTCTGGCTTGAAGGAACCCTCAGCCAACCATTTGCTAACTTCTGGTAAAGTCTCTGTCCTGTGGAAACTGATAAGGTAAAGGTAAAGGGACCCCTGACCATTAGGTCCAGTCATGGCCGACTCTGGGGTTGTGGCGCTCATCTCGCTTTATTGGCCGAGGGAGCCTGTGCACAGCTTCCGGGTCATGTGGCCAGCATGACTAAGCCGCTTCTGGCGAACCAAAGCAGCGCACGGAAACGCCGTTTACCTTCCCGCTGGAGCGGTACCTATTTATCTACTTGCACTTTGTGCTTTCGAACTGCTAGGTTGGCAGGAGCAGGGACCGAGCAACGGGAGCTCACCCCGTTGCGGGGATTTGAACCGCCGACCTTCTGATCGGCAAGTCCTAGGCTCTGTGGTTTAACCCACAGTGCCACCCGTGTCCCATGGAAACTGGTAGGGAGGAGCAATTTGTTCTGGAGTAACTTGGTGTGTACAAGGGATACGTATACAACAGCACTGAGATACCTGCCATCTCTTGCACATGTCAAGTGTACAGTTTGTGTACATATGCTCCCATCCTTTCAATGGCTGATTTTGAAACAAGTAGTTTCTGTTTCAGTCGGTGTAGCACAGTGGCATTTAGCAACTCATGCATGAACTGGGAGGTCCCCAGTTCAAATGCATTTCCATCAAACTTGCGAGCTATTCTTCAGCAAGCTGTTCTGTTGGCCTTCACCCATAATAAGGGCAAAAATACTGGTGCACCTTACTGAATTGTTCCAAGGAGCCATGAGACCGTGTCTGTGAAATGCTCTGACATACCGTATTTTTTGCTCTATAAGACTCACTTTTCCCCTCCTAAAAAGTAAGGGGAAATGTGTGTGCGTCTTATGGAGCGAATGCAGGCTGCGCAGCTATCCCAGAAGCCAGAACAGCAAGAGGGATTGCTGCTTTCACTGTGCAGTGATCCCTCTTGCTGTTCTGGCTTCTGAGATTCAGAATATTTTTTTCTTGTTTTCCTCCTCCAAAAACTAGGTGTGTCTTGTGGTCTGGTGTGTCTTATAGAGTGAAAAATACGGTATCTAATGCAGCCCTTTCCAGACTTCAGTGTCTGTATGTTTGCACCACTTGAATTTTGCTGGGAGCCTTGGCGCATCTCTTAATTAGCTTCTTTCTCCAGTGGCGGCATCCTCATCAAAACCAGCACAGCATTAGGAAAGTCTTGTACCCCCTAGGACAGAGTGCTGAGAAGGGCTCTCTGGACTGGTGTATAGTAGAGAAAAAATTGTAGACAGCGCCAGCATAATGTGAAAAATCACACGCCCTCGGTCCTTTGCTAGCCGCTCTGTTGGATAAAATTGAACCTTGTCAAAATGGCCTTGAATCTCCATTAGCAAAAAGAATGAAGTGCAGGACAAAATACTGAAACAAATTATTTTTAACTGATCTGCAGCTTTTCTACAGACTTTTCTACAATTCCATGAGCTGCTTGTTTGAAACCTCTGACTGAAGGCAGTCTGCAAATGCTGAGTTGTACTGGCCCTTCTTGCATCTCTACTCCTAATCATGCGAAAGGGAAGCAAGATTGCACTATCGTGCTAAACAGGCAGCAGTGGGGTTTGCAGAGTGCAGAATGTCTGGGCGCAGCCAGGACCCACAGTCCCCACTTCCTCTTCATACACTTAGTATAAGCATGAAGGCAACTTGCGAAATGGGCTTGTGTCTTGTGGTGAGCCGCTACTCACAGCCCTAGTGTCTGGCTTACCAAGAGACTTGCTGTAGCTAACCACGTACTCATAAGAACTTGCAGCAACTGCAAGGCATGATGCTGAATGGAAACATCTTTAAGGTTTTTATTTCATCCTTTGCTTTCTAAGTGTACATTCCCTGTCAAAAAAAACCACACCAAAACGCCACATTTAACCTTTCTGGTGAAGGTGTTTGTGGGAGTTTAATCTCCCTGGACTTGTGTGTCAGCAGTACAGTGGTACCTCAGGTTAAGTACCTAATTCGTTCCGGAGGTCTGTTCTTAACCTGAAACTGTTCTTAACCTGAAGCACCACTTAAGCTAATGGGGTCTCCTGCTGCTGCCGTGCCACTGGAGCCCAATTTCTGTTCTTATCCTGAAGCAAAGTTCTTAACCTGAAGCACTATTTCTGGATTAGTGGAGTGTGTAACCTGAAGCGTATGTAACATGAAGCGTATGTAACCTTGAGGTACCATTGTATGTTGTTTATTGAAGAGTTTATATCTACTTTTGTAATGTCATGAGGCCTTGTATTTACATGCTGGCCTGGTAGTCATAGGCTAGGTATAGGTGAAGGGGATGATGGAGGAGGAGGAGGAGGAGGAGTGGAGCAATCTCTCTTCCTCTTCTGCACCCAGCATAGACACTGGGCTATAACAGGCAGGAAGGCCCAGCCCTGAACATCCAGTGTGGAAAGGGTTTCATCCCTCCATGCAGCAGGCTAGTGATCTGGGGGATGTGGGGAAGAAGTATTAGAAACTAGGATAGAAAAGCTATTTGCCACATGGCTCCTGCGACCTTGGTTATAGGCACAGAAACAGAAAGTCTAGTCGCCATTTTGTCATTTTACAGATGTGACATATGCAGCGGTGTGGGAAGTGGTGCAGCAACCCTACTTGGGAGTCAGGTAGAGAGGCATTTCTCCTCCTGCACCCTCAGCATCAGCAGCTGCAATTTTATTCTTGAGTCTCAGTCGCCATACATGACAAGAAGGCTTCTCGAAGTGTTGACGTTCTGGCAATCCCCAGTCGCAAAATGCACCTGACGCCTGGCTAATTTCCAACACTGGAGCAGTTGAATACAGTTTGGGCTTATTTACAAGTCTGTCCTAAACTGTATAAAATTAATGCCCTTCTTTTACACAGGTATTAAGATGCCCGCAGACTTGACAACCACTTAAATATTGTGATTGCTATATTTCTAATCAAATGCACAAAATTGCTGCACATTTAGCTGAATAAGCACTCTGGCTAATTCTCCCACTCACTTTTATACAGGCTATCAGTTGTTACTAATGATAACAATATATCATCTAGTAGCAGTCAGTTTCCCTTGGAATGCCAGTTGGCCAATGAGAGGGCAAGTACTGCTGTGCTCAAGTCCTGCTTATGGGTTTTCCAAGGGGTATATGGTTGACCGCTATTAAAATAGAATGCTGGACTAGATGGGTCTTTGGTCTGATTCAGCAGGGCTGTTACATTCTTGCAGGCTAGAATTTTACATGTGAAATTAAAATACTACCTACTCCTTCAGATTTCTTTTGTGTAGTGGGCATTTTGACAATTGATGATCCAATAGCTATTGCATCAACTTCCAAGGCTCCGTACGGTTGTCTGTGATGTGAGAATAGGAGCCAGATACAAAGCAGCGACTGGCTTGTGCCTTAGGCAAAGTGATAATTCATGTGCTGTCAAGGTTGGCTGCTTAGCTTTTATCAGGTTGAATTACTTCCCTGTCCCTTTAAAACGTTACAGTAGCTTCCTCCATATTGATATTGGCTAAAGAGGATAAAGTTGATTAACTGCAGATTGTTCTTGGGTGCATTCCAGTGGAAGATCTATAATTTTAAAAGCCGTAGGGATATCTTAAGGGTTTTCCCCTGACTTGTGGAATAAAAGCATTGAAGTGGGCCTGTTAGAAGAAAATGTATCTTTTTATGTAAGTGCAGTGGCACTACATAATTTCATTTTTTTTTAATATTTCAAAACTTGAGGCTACCTTTGAAGAATGGTCTTCTGAGATGCTTCAGAATGGTGGTTGTGTGCATCATAGTCATTACACTGGTTTAGATGAACACCCTAACTGGTCTTGTCCGCTTCAGTCCTGGTGTTAAAGCAGGCTTCCTCAACCTCCAACCTTCCTCCTTCCATATGTTTTTGGCCTACCACTCTCATGATCCCTAGCTAGCAGGACCAGTGGTCAGAGATGATGGGAATTGTAGTCTCAAAACATCTGGAGGGCCGAGGTTGAGGAAGCATGCGTTAAAGAATTATGAAGAACTTTTGGCTTCCCAAATAGGAGTAAGCTTGAATCTCCACGAGTCTCCATTTTATTGCAGTGCAGTGGATGATACTGGAATGTGGCGTGATTTCAGGCTTCAAAACTGTTCCCGTTCCATATGGTAATGGATTTATATATTGGGTGGATTATTTCCCATATTGGCACCAGGAGCCCTGCTTGGATGGTGGAGAGACAAGCATAGAGAGTACTCACATCATCTGAACTAGTTGTGATCTGTAAACTCTTGTTGCATCATGAGATTCAGCCGTAGAGGCATAATTCTACAGAAGCCACCAGTCTGCAGAGGTGATTTATGAATCTGGGCTGAACATGAACCTCATGAAGCTTTATGAACGAGTGATGATATTTTAGCCTAACCTAATCTTGCGGATATGTTGGAATAAATTAAGAACCATGTGGCGCATGTTTTCTCCTTAAACTTCTAGGGATATTATGATTGGCAAGTGAAATCTGCTCATCTGCTCATCAATTCATTCACTGCCATACCAATTTTTTTTAATGACCATTGCCTGTCACAGCTTGTCTCACTTTAACCAAATGGCTAATACAGCTTTGCTTCCCTTCCCACTACTTGGATTTGGGAGACCATTAGTCCATCATGGGAGAGAAAGATGTGAGGTGCTTTCACTGGACATTTTTAAGTGCAAATTGTTGTGTAATAGGCTTAGGAAAATCTTGACGGAGCTTAAATTATGTCGTGGAACCGCTTGGCACATTCTTCTGCTTCACTTCATTCATAATGTTTCAATAAAGTCATGCTGGTTTTTACATCCTGTTCCTTAAATAATTCGCTTAGACGTTTCATTGATTGCAGCGGAGCTTGATTTCTAATTGTGTTATTAGAGTTAACAGTTTTCACCCATAACAACGGAATTCAGAATCACCTGGTAGAAATGACTGATAAGGGAAGCCAGGACAGAAATGTCTTCACAGACACAAAATCAACTTACAATTCACTGTCCCAAGATAAGATAAGGTAAAGGTAAAGGACCCCTGGATGGTTAAGTCCAGTCAAAGGTGGCTTTGGGGTTGAGGCGCTCATCTCGCTTTCAGGTCGAGGGAGCCGGCGTTTGTCCACAGGCAGCTTTCCGGGTCATGTGAACACCGTGACGGAAAACCAGAGCGCATGGAAATGCCTTTTACCTTCCCGCCACAGCGGTACCTATTTATCTACTAGCACTGGTGTACTTTTGAACTGCTAGGTTGGCAGGAGCTGGGACCGAGCAATGGGAGCTCACCCCATTGTGTCCCAAGATAACAATGATACTGACTGTGAAATTGGACAGTTTTTTAAAAAGTAGACTAATTCATGACATGGAGCCTATTTGTTCAGAGGTAGTTCACATCTTAAGCTCAAATGCTGAGGACAAACGGGGAAGGTTGCTTTTTTATAATCTGGGAGCTTTCCGGGGAAAATCTGCATAATAAGAATAACTTTACTTAAGCCTATTGCAGTCTTACTGTTCTTGGGGGCAAAATAAACTAACACTCTTAGTAGAGATATCTCGTGCTTGAAAGGGATTTCCCAAGATGGTGCACATATTCAGATTTCCAGAGGCTAACTGCTGATGTCACCCATTGGGCGAAACAGTCCATTGGAACTTTCCCTCCTCCATGGTAGACTCATAGAGTTGGAAGGGACCAATGCAGGAATCTTTCATCCAATGTGGGGCTCGATCCCACAATCCTGAGATTAAGAGTCTCACGCCCTACTGACTGAGCCAACTTAGAAAGAGGAGTGGCTTCTCATTTCCTGTTGCACTTTTTTAAAGAAGATGGCAGGGAGGTACTGCTAGTGTTTCATGCACAACCCCCTGCTGAGGTCCAGCACCGAGGGCCTTTTGGCGGTTCCCTCATTGCGAGACGTGAGGTTACAGGGAAACAGGCAGAGGGCCTTCTCGGTAGTGGCGCCCGCCCTGTGGAACGCCCTCCCATCAGATGTCAAGGAAATAAACAACTACAGTCATACCTCGGGTTACAGACACTTCAGGTTGCGTGTTTTCGGGATACGGACGCGCCAAAACATGGAAGTACCGGAACGGGTTACTTCTGGGTTTTGGCGCATTTGCAGAAGCACTAAATCGCGCTTTGCTCATGAGCAGAAGCGCCGAATCACAACCCGCGCATGCGCAGATGTGGTGCTGCGGGTTGCAAACGTGCCTCCCACACAGATCATGTTCGCAACCTGAGCATCCACTGTATCTGACTTTTAGAAGACATCTGAAGGCAGTCCTGTTTAGGGAAGTTTTTAATGTCTGATATTTTATTGCATTATCATTATCATTAATTCTGTTGGGAACCGCCTAGAGTGGCTGAGGAAACCCAGCCAGATGGACGGGGTATAAATAATAAATTATTATTATTTATTTTGGGCTCCTCAATGCTGGGGAGCAGCAGGCAGATGGATGGATGGCAGTCCTGCCTGAGGAGGAATCCAACTGATAAAATAATATCTGTCACCCAGGCCATCATTTTTAAAAGTAGCAGCTATCAACACAAGGTTTAAGTGGTAGAATAGAAATGGGTGCAGTGAAGAGAATCTCGCACATTTGTGACTGATGTTCTTCTTTGCCACTTAAATCCAAAGCAATATGCCAGGTGGCATGACGGCGGCCTCTGCCTGGTATTTAATGAGGGTCAAGTCTGCCTGTGTCGTTGAAGGATTGTATGTGATGGATGCAAACGTTTTAACACTGCGGCAGAATCCTCTTTCTATTAATAAAAGGATTTCAGGGTAACACTGCAATCCCTCTCCCCCTCCCCCGTGCTTGTTTTGGAGAAATGGGCTTTTTCTTCTTCTTCTCAGCTGCTAACCTCTGGGATAACTTACGTAATGTGGCCAGTCGAGGGCTGACAAATCCTACACATGAGCCAGAAAAGGCAGGGGTGGTAGTACTCGAATAAGGGAGCATATGAGCTATATGTGATGTAAAAAGGGTTATTCAAACTTGCAGTTAATATAGGAGCTGAGGGAAGAAGCTGAACATCAGTTCTGTAGTTTGTGGTACCAAATTATTTTTGATGCATGCAGCACCGAGGCAAGGCAACAATTTGTGATCTTTTGGAACTGTTTATGTTTGTGTTGCTATATTTCAAACATTGAAAATCCGGACAGAAAAGTTGTTGAGCTTATTTTGGCAAAGCTCTTGAGCAGGAGCCAGCAAGCTTTTTCAGCAGGGGGCCGGGACCTTGTGGGGGGGCCGCACTATATTTTACATTTTTTAAAAAAATGAATGAATTCCTATGCCCCACAAATAACCCAGAGATGCATTTTAAATAAAAGGGCACATTCTACTCATGTAAAAACACGCTGATTTCCAGACCGTCTGCGAGCCGGATTTAGAAGGCGATTGGGCCGGATCCGGCCCCCGGGCCTTAGCTTGCCTACCCATGTTTTTGAGTGACATCGCAAAAAAGAGAGAGGGACGTTTTTAAACTATTTCTAAGGAAAGTCAGCACTGCTGACATGGGCTGGCATATGTCTGGAATTTCCCAGACACTGCAGTATTCCGGATATGTCCAGGAAATTCTGGACGTAGGGCGACCCTGTGCCTATATTGTATGCAAAACTAGTGAATCTGTCTCCTCTTGGCCAGGTACAAACTAAGGTGCTATTTGTGTGCAGTGCTAACCCATGATTTAGTAGTACATAGAGAATCCTCAGTGAGCCTGAACATAGCATTGGGCTTGCATGCTGCTCCCCTGCTTCGCGTGTGCCTGCCCAGGAGGAAGACGTTACCAGAGTTTAGTTCTACTTTCTAAAGAATCCTGGTGTCCTAATAATTAACAGCACCCTTAACAAACCACAGTTCCCAGGTTTTTGAGAGGGGAGTCATGACTGTTAAAGTGGTATAAAGGTAAAGGGACCCCTGAACATTAGGTCCAGTCGTGGATGACTCTGGGGTTGCGGTGCTCATCTCGCTTTACTGGCCGAGGGAGCCGGCGCACAGGGTCATGTGGCCAGCATGACTAAGCCGCTTCTGGCGAACCAGAGCAGTGCACAGAAACGCTGTTTACCTTCCCGCCAGAGCGGTACCTATTCATCTACTTGCACTTTGACGTGCTTTCGAACTGCTAGGTTGGCAATAGCAGGGACCGAGCAATGGGAGCTCACCTCGTTACGGGGATTCGAACCGCCGACCTTCTGGTGGGATGCGGGTGGCGCTGTGGGTAAAAGCCTCAGTGCCTAGGACTTGCCGATCAAAAGGTCGGTGCTTCGAATCCCTGCGGTGGGGTGCGCTCCCGTTGCTCGGTCCCAGCGCCTGCCAACCTAGCAGTTTGAAAGCACCCCCCGGGTGCAAGTAGATAAATAGGGACCGCTTACTGGCGGGAAGGTAAACGGTGTTTCCGTGTGCTGCGCTGGCTCGCCAGATGCAGCTTTGTCACGCTAGCCACGTGACCCGGAAGTGTCTCTGGACAGCGCTGGCCCCCGGCCTCTTAAATGAGATGGGTGCACAACCCTAGAGTTGGACACGACTGGCCCGTACGGGCAGGGGGTTACCTAGGCTCTGTGGTTTAACCCACAGCGCCACCTGCGTCTCTAAAGTGGTATAGGAGTTCTTTAAATGTAGGGCTTTTTCTCAGCCGGAACTGAGTTCCGGCACCACTCAGTTGGGGCCATTGCCATTATAAGAGAACAAGGGAGGTGAGTTCTGGCACCTCTTTTTCTAGAAAAATAGCACTGTTTAAATGTATGGTGTTGACGTGACCACAGTGAGAAATTGGGGTAAGTTTTGTTGTTTAAAACTTAATAGAAGATGCTCTCTTATGAAACAGTTATTTCTGTGCTTGGAGTTATGTTAAAAACATTGCACTTGGCATATGACAAATAGCCTTTCCGCTCCTTCTGAACTTGCAGTCTTGCCTTCTGGGGGTTATAGGTAGCTAGAGAGTTTGAAGTAGAGGATTTCTCATCCTACTGGTTACCTCCCACTTCTACTCTTCCATAATGGTTGCGAGGAAGGAGGGAAGATTAGATGCTAAGAGACACAGTGCACATTGGGGCTAAGCAGATGCAAAAAATCCAGCTGGCATTTCTTCTTCAAATGTCTCGAATATGGAGAGTTGTATGCTTTTTCAGCTGCCAAATGAAAAAAGACAATTGTGTAACTAAGTTGGGATATTCTAATAAACTCAGAAAAAATCCAGGGCCTGTGCTGGGAGATATATATATATATATATATATATATATATATATATATATATATGTATGTATGTATACACACACTTCTCAAAAGAAAGTGTTGGGAGGATTTTCTAGATTAGCAGAGGCACTCAACATTCCAAAGGCCCAGATAAGGATTCTGAAATGCAAGCAGTAGCTGGCACAAAATGTTGCAGTGTGGAGCGTTCCTAGAATCATAGATTTGGAAGGGCCCAGAAGGGTCATCTAGAGCAGTGTTCCCCAACCTTGGATCTTCAGCTGTTTTGGACTACAACTCCCATCATCCCTAGCTAGCAAGACCAGTGGTCAGGAAGGCTGGGAATTGTAGTATGAAAACAGCTGGAGACCCAGGGTTGGTAAACAATGATCTAGAGCAGGCATGGCCCAACTTGGCCCTCCAGATGATTTGGGACTACAACTCCCATCATACCTAGCTAACAGGACCAGTGGTCAGGGATGATGGGAATTGTAGTCCCAAAAATATCTGGAGGGCCAAGTTTGGCTATGCCTGATCTACAGAAAAAGCCTCCTAGAGGAAAAATCTCTTCAAAAGCTTAGTTTAGTCAGAATCAAGTATACACTTCCAGAGTTAATGTGAAATACATTACTTCTGATAAATGAGACTGCTAGAGGGCCGTGAAAATTTGTGTCCCGGGCTTTTTAGATTCGTCTACCCATGTACTAAGGGACGCGGGTGGCGCTGTGGTCTAAACCACTGAGCCTCTTGGTCTTGCTGATCAGGAGGTCGGCGGTTCGAATCCCCGTGATGGGGTGAGCTCCTGTTGCTCGGTCCCAGCTCCTTCCAACCTAGCAGTTCGAAAGCTTGTCAAGTGCAAGTAGATAAATAGGTACCGCTCCGGCGGGAAGGTAAATGGCATTTCCGTGTGCTGCTCTGGTTTTGCCAGAAGCGGCTTAGTCATGCTGGCCACATGACCCGTCAAAACTGTCTGCAGACAAAAGCCGGCTCTCTTGGCCTGTAAAGCGAGATGAGTGCCGCAACCCCAGAGTCATTCGCGACTGGACTTAACTGTCAGGGGTCCTTTACCTTTACCCATGTACTATCTGAATCCAAAGGGGCACATTGGTTTCCAGATGTGAACTTTTTTCCCAGCTCTCCTATCCCAGTATGGAAAGCTTTTATAAATGAAGAGTCCTTGCAGTTTTTCTTTTCTTTTCAGGCTGCTGGTAGGCCATACATGATTTGATTGTGTGGGAAGGTGGAATAGTTCGAGGTTTTTTTTAAAGCAACCCAACAATGAATACCTTATGGACTAGAAACCCTTTTGGCCTTTCTTGCCTAGCTGTACTAAAAATGAAGCTTGTTTATGCTTAAGAATTAATAGCACATGTATACAACACAGCAGCACATCTGCATCATTCATAAATTCTCAGATGAGCTGGCATTTATAGAAGAGAAATACAGGGAAATAAAAGTCAGAAAAGACCAGTTGAACTCCTTCCCATTCCTGTTGCCACAACACTCCATGTTCTGATAACAAATACTTTCATGCATCTCTATCTTGTCTCGTTTTCTGTAAACAACTTGTGTTTTTTTAGATAATTCTATCTTTTGTAAGAGCCAGGAGAAAATTGTAGGTATGTGTTTTGAGACCTGAAGAATAATCCTTTTGTACTCCCCATGCAGTTCTATGTAGTTATGCCATTTATTACAGTCATACCTCGGGTTACAGACGCTTCAGGTTGCGCACCGTGCTGAACCCAGAAGTACCAGAACGAGTTACTTCCGGGTTTTGGCGCTCGCGCATGCACAAGAACACTGAATAGCAACCCGAGCGTGCGCAGACACGGCGCTGCGGGTGGCGAATGTGCCTCCCACATGGATCACGTTCGCAACCCAAGTATCCACTGTACTTAGAAAACACCCAAATTCTACAAGCAGGTCCAAGAATTCATTAATATTAAAGAAAAAACACCACCTTCAGTTGACTGCTAAGAAGTGTTGGGTGAAATCTCAATCATGAATGTTTGTCCAAAATGGGGTGGTAATGCTACACTCTTACAGAATGTGCTAAATTAATATAGAGAGCACTGCGACTCCAGTAGCAGACCAAGTATGACTTTCTCCTACTTTGGGGGGGGGGGAAGGTGCAGCCCCCCCCCCAAGTTACTGGTACTGAAATAAACTTACTAACAGTGCAATTCAATGCAAGATGCATAATTCTATAACTAACCTTCACTTGATGAAATATAGCCATTTAAAATGTCAGTTGTGCATTTTGATTCAGCAGGTTTTAAAATTAGAATTCAAAATTTGCAGGACTTCAAGTTCACAAATGGAAAAGTTTGAATGACATGGCAGCTTCTGATCAAGTGTTTCCTGCAGTTCAGGGCATTATTTTTGTGGAAAACCAAGCATGAGGGTAGTTTGTGGCAGAGAAAAACTGCACACTCCTTAATAGGGAGAGCATGAAGACAAGGACACAGCCTATAAGTACATGAGTGATAAGCATCTGCTGTCCTCAAAGTTTATCTTGTGGTTTATTGTTTAGCAAAGACCATCTTTTTGTGGGTGTGTGTTCCAAGAATACATAACTTGGTGAGGCTTTTTCTCTCGTCCTCATTTGAACCTTGGGTAGCTTAATTTAAATAACAACTGGCTTCAGACTCTTTCTGGATTTTTTGCTGTAAACATACTTCAAATCGCAAGCAGGATTTGAAATAGGAGCAGCGGTAGAAGGTTATATATGAAACAGAAGAATGCGTCTTCGGAGAAATGTTTATTAGAATGCAGCATGTATATGGGATGGGATTAAGAACATCTCAGAGGGAAAGGCAGGAAGCCAAAAGTTTAAAGAGACCCCTATACCAAATTTGGAATCGGGAATCTATACCATATTTTTTGCTCTATAAGACTCACTTTTTCCCTCCTAAAAAGTAAGGGGAAATGTGTGTGCGTCTTATGGAGTGAATGCAGGCTGCACAGCTATCCCAGAAGCCAGAACAGCGAGAGGGATTGCAGCTTTCACTTTCACAGCGATCCCTCTTGCTGTTCTGGCTTCTGAGATTCAGAATATTTTTTTCTTGTTTTCCTCTTCCAAAAACTAGGTGTGTCTTGTGGTCTGGTGCGTCTTATAGAGCGAAAAATAAAGTTTAATAAAAAATTGACTACTGAGTACTAGGTCTTTCAGCGCATCCCTAAGCTTGTTTATTCAGAAGGCCTGTGCTCAAAGGGGCTTACTCTCTCGTAAGTGTGTTTTGCTCTGGAGCTGTTGTGTCTCAAAGAACTTGTGCTTCTGAACTTCTAGAACATAAAGGTTTTGCTGTGGGGTGGAACCTGGGAGTTCCTGTCGCAGAAGAGTGAACTGCAGAAACTGTTGTGGGTGATATTGATAAAGATGCCAAAGATGTCGAGGTTCACCACTTAACTTGTACACAAGTAGGTAGCACAGAGGAGAGACACCATGATTTAACATCTTGCAATGAACCTGCAGGAGGGGTAGTTAACTTGGTACCCTCCAGATCAGGGCTGGATTTAGGTTTGATGAGACCCTAAGCTACTGAAGCCCTTTATATGTCCAGCTGTCCTTTGACAACAACAAATTGTCACTTTTTGTGTGTGTGTTGAATATATGCTATATGGAAATTTATGGACCTAATAGGTATCTAAAGCCATTTGCCCATGTTGCCATGCAACCAGTCCATGCAGAATGTCGGCACCCTATATATAGAAATGAGCAAACCAGTGATATTTTAGGAAGCAGGCTGGCAGACAGGGCCCATTACTTACATCAAAGGAGCCCACACAACACAAAACACTGTTGCTCTATGTAGATTTTATTTTATTTGTTTTTTATCTTAGATTTTGGAAATGTACATCCACTTGTTTTTTTCCTTTAATTTTTTGGGGGGGCCCCAAGAGAGTGGGGCCCTAAGCTATAGCTTGTTTAGCCAGCTTATATGTAAATCCGGCACTGCTCCAGATGTTACTGGACTACAACTCCCATCACGCCCCACCCCATTTGCCATGGTGATTGAGACTGATGGGAGTCGGAGTTCAGCAACATAGGACGTGCACGATATTGGCTGCCTTTGCTCTTCAGTATGAAAGATCTGACACACACACTCAGAGTACTTCAGAGAGGGTGCTGCTTGCCTTCGTGACTATAAAATGCATTTTCGGATGTGTCCAGGGAATACTGAAGTGCTTTCTCAAAAATGCTGGCTTCAATTCAGCAAACAGAGCTTGAAAGACTTAATGCTAGGTTTGTGGAATTTAAGAATGCGCGGCAGCAAATACTACAGCAGGACTTGGTAAAGTATACTGCATTCTGAAAATCCAGATTCTTTTCCCAGCTATGGTGGAAGGCCATAAAAAAGGGGCTGCAAGAACTGAGTACCTAAAAAACCTGGAAGCGGAAAATCGCAACCCGCGGACGTGGGTTGCATTTGCTTCTGGATGCGAACGGGGCTCCGGAAAGGATTCCGTATGCATCCAGAGGTACCACTGTATTGCATAGTGTAGTGGTTCAAAGCAGGCAGTACATAGTTTGACTCTTCTCCAATATGTTTTTTTTAAAAATAATATTTATTAATTTTCCAACCGTTTAAACACAACAAAACAGAAAACAAACAAACAAACATAAGACTAACAAAACAAGACACAAACCATTTAAAACAGAAAACAATTTCAATATCTTAACTTTCATTCCCTTATTTCCACGACCTCCTCACACCTCCCTTTTTGTATTCCACTTCTGTTAATTATTTCAGCAATTCCTTTCCATCTTCCTCTGTTTTCTATCCTATAATTATCTTAACATATTCTAACCTTATTTTTCCCTTTAATACTCTATTAATCTAGTTATACTTAATTCCTTATAGCATTTCTACTAAAGCCATATAACTTCATTCCAACATTTTTCTAACATTCATTATTTTTACAGTATTTCTATAAATAGTCTTAAACTTTTTCCAGTCTTCTTCCACCGATTCTTCTCCCTGGTCTCGGATTTCTGCCAGTCGTTTCCGCCAATTCCATATAGTCCATCAACTTCATCTGCCATTCTTCCCGAATAGATAAATCTTGTGTCTTCCAGTACTTCACAATGAGTATTCTTGCTGCTATTGTTGCATACGTGAAAAAAGTTCTATCCTTCTTTAACACCAATTGGCCGACCATGCCCAGGAGAAAGGCCTCTGGTTTCTTCAAGGGGGTATAATTAAATACCTTTTTCATTTCATTATGAATCATCTCCCAAAGTGTCTTAATCCTTGGGCATGTCCACCAAAGGTGAACTCTAATCCTCAAATTCGTCTGTTTTTCTTTAAGTTCATTCATAGTAAGCGTCAACTTATGTTCATCAGATTGCCTCTGTAGGGCTGGGGCTCTCTTTCTCTCCAGTTGTGTTACTTTACATTCAACAACAACAGCTTTTTCCCCGGCTTCCTCCGCAGTTTGCTGTATCAAAGTAGGTTCCTGTATCAATTTCTGGGTGGTTTCTGTATTGGTATTATTTATACTTTCTGTAATTAAGTTAATTTTAGTAGTTGAAACATCCACTTTCGCATTTATCGTGTCCATTTTCCTGTTAAGCTGATCCAATGAGTCATTTATCTTATATAATGCAGCCACTAAAGCCTCTTCTGTCGACATTCCTCTTGGTTTTAAATATACTGGTACAAAGGCAGCAACAGAAGGAGCAGGGGAGCCTGATGGTGGACCTCTCCTGGATTGTTGCCAAGTCCTCCCAGACCTTAATGTTTTGTCAGCAGTTGACTGGTCTGTTTTTCCTCTTCCATTTACCATAACACTTAAAAAGATTCAAGGTCAGCCCCAGAGTCTCACGGTTTTTAACTTGCAGCTGGAAATTTCCCTAGCCCAGCTCTTGTAACGCAACCGGTTTCAAAGGCTTCCACTAGGGGGAAACAGTTTCTATTTGTAATAGTCAATAATATCCTCTTTTAAACAATCCAAAATTAGTTTCAAATTAGTTTCAATTTTCAGTTACTTTTACTCCTTTTTAAAGCAGCCGGAGACAGTAGAAACAATGTATTTCTCTTATTTAACTAGCTGTCAATGAACGTTCTAAACGCTGTCAATGAACATTCCAAAAGACGTCAGTCCTACTAGCAGCCCGTTTCCAGGGTCAGAGCGGCGGTGTTTTAAATCTCTTCGCTCTCTCCCGCAGGCATACTCAATCCACAACTTCCCCCTTTCTTCTCCTGCCTCCAAGAGGGGGTTTAATGTTCTTTACCGATGGAAATTTAATCTTTTACGAAAGACTTTCCAGGACTCCAGCTTGCAACTTCATTGCCTCAGTCTATTTACAAAAGGGGAAGGCGGACTTCCTGTTTTGAACCTCTCCGTTATGATACCAAATTAAACATTTAGAAATCCAATTCTTCCGCTTCAGCTCTACTCACGGATAATTACTTTAAAGTCAAATTGTCCACAGGAAAAGGTCAGCGCTTTCCGGCAACAGCTATGCGGCTTCGCTCCGTGGAAGAAGCAGACGATTCGATGCACAGCGCCGCTCACAGGCTTCTCCCGCCTGTGATTTTAACGGGTCTCCGCCTTTGCCGTGGCGGCCAGACCCAGATTTCCACGGAGCAGATTCCTCTCCAGACTCTTCTCCAATATGAACTCACTTGCCTCAGTCTGTTGTGGGGAGTCATTGTAAGGATCACAACAGAGTCGTATTTCATAGAATCATAGAATTGTGGAGTTGGAAGGGACCTTGAGGGTCATCTAGTCCAACCCCCTGCAATGCAGGAATTATTTGCCCCATGTGAGGCTAGAACCCACAACCCTGGGATTAGGAGCCTCATTCTCTACAGCGCTGAACAATGAAGCATATACATGCTAAGTATTGCTAGTCAAGCATGGGGGGTTCAGCAAAATGAATTTTTTTGAACCACTTACCCAGTCTGCCTTTGTGGGTGATGCTTTTAAAAATCAGAAATAGATTCTTTCTGCTGCTGGTTTCCATCCTCCTCCTCCTTCACACCTGCCATTTTGCTTTTTTTCCAGGACCTCAGTCTGCCCAATGGTACTCCTGTAGACACTTCAAGCCCAGCCTCTTCTTCCTCACTTCTGAACAGACTGCAGCTGGATGATGACTTGGATGGGGAGATGAGAGACCTCTTTGTCACTGTTGATGACCCCAAGAAACATGTCTGTACGATGGAGACTTATATCACGTACAGGGTCACAACCAAGGTAAAACAATGTAGCTTTCTCCCTGTGCATTGTGGCTTTCAGTTCTGTTCCCTGTTTTGTTTCAGGTCAAGACTAGTTTTCTAGACTAGTAAAGGTAAAGGGTAAAGGGACCCCTGACTGTTAGGTCCAGTCGCGGACGACTCTGGGGTTGCAGCGCTCATCTCGCTTTATTGGCCAAGAGAGCTGGCGTACAGCTTCCGGGTCATGTGGCCAGCATGACTAAGCTGCTTATGGCGAACCAGAGCAGCGCATGGAAATGCTGTTTACCTTCCTGCCGGAGAGGTACCTATTTATCTACTTGCACTTTGATGTGCTTTCGAACTGCTAGGTTGACAGGAGCAGGGACCGAGCAATGGGAGCTCACCTCGTTGCGGGGATTCGAACCGCTGACCTTCTGATCGGCTAGCCCTAGGCTCTGTGGTTTAACCCACAGTGCCATCCGCATCCCACTTCTTCTAGACTAGTAGCTGGAAGCTTTTGTGCATGGATGAGACCTCACTGAGTAGAGACATTCTTCTTCTGTAGCAGAATGTTCAGGCACTAGTAGGGCTGGGCAATATATCAATATATTGTGCAAAACCAGTTTGGTGTCCATATTGTGGTGTCAGTTTCATGATTTTTGATGTGGCAATATATTGCAAATCCTGATGCATGTGTGTGTGTGTGCTATGCAAAAATCACAATGTGGGAAAAATCAGCCAATGCCATATAGCTCAATCCTTATTTCAGACATGATATATCAGTATATCACAGTGTTTAGCTGGTGATATATCATGATGCTGAAAACCAGATATCGCTCAGCCCTAATACATATTTATATGACGAACAGATGTAAAGAGCCTTGAATGGAGGCATTTTCCTAGAGAACATTTTTTCAGTGGCCCATCTTTAATGTTTGAAGTGCCTTTAAGCATATGAGTTAAGTAGCTTTTCTGCTTGTAACCTTGCTATTGCTGAAGCAATTTCTATCTCATGGAATACAAACTGCAAATAGGCAGCATTATACTGTTCTGTAGCATTACCAAGGATAAGTGGGTTGTCTGACATGAACTGCTAAGCAGCATGGTTGAGATGTACTGCTAAATCTAGTGCTTCCTGCAGGATATTTCTCTTTTCCCTCTGTATTGATCGCCTTATGAAACCCACCCCATTCAAGGTTATTTTGCACAACTGGCTTTACACAGTAAGCTCACACTTTTTCATATTTTTTTTTTCTTTTCCTTTTCTTTTATTAAAGTTTTTCTTTTCTTTTATTAAAGTTTTCTTGGTTTACAAAGGTACGTGCAATGTCTCTTTTTTCAAGTTACATTAGGGTTACATTAGGAAGAAAAAGAAGGGACGCGGGTGTTGCTGTGGGTTAAACCACAGAGTCTAGGAGCTGCCAATTAGAAGGTCGGCGGTTCGAATCTCCGCAACGGGGTGAGCTCCTGTTGCTCGGTCCCTGCTCCTGCCAACCTAGCAGTTCGAAAGCACGTCAAAGTGCCAGTAAATAAATAGGTACCGCTCCAGCGGGAAGGTAAACTGTGCACTGCTCTGGTTCACCAGAAGTGGCTTAGTCACGCTGGCCACATGAGCTAGAAGCTGTACGCCGGCTCGCTCGGCCAATAAAGCGAGATGAGCGCCGCAACCCCAGAGTTGGTCATGACTGGACCTAATGGTCAGGGGTCCCTTTATCTTAACCTAGGAAGAAAAAAGGGGAGAAGAGGTGGAGGGGGCCATGGTGGGTGGGGGTGGGGTCGGGAGGCGATATTTCTATTTAGCTTAATGTATGTGTGGGTTTTTGTGTCAGCGTCGTTTGTGCAGGTTTTCTTTGCTATTCGCTTGTGTTGCTTTGGTGCTGAGAGAAATTGGTTTTGGCCTAGGGTGCGGTTGCTTGTGTGTGATTAGCTGTGCTGAACTTTGTTTTCGTGTGTGCGTGGGGTGGGTGGGTGTTTTTGAATCAGGTTAGCTGTATTGATTCATATGCTGTTGGAGCTCACACCTTATTTGTGGTTCATAGAATCATAGAATTGTTGGAAGGGATATTGGGGGGGGGTCATTTGGCCAACCCCCCGCAATGCAGAAATCTCAGCTAAAGCATCCGTGGCAGATGGCCACCCGACCTCTGCTTTAAAACCTCCAAGGAAGGAGAGTCCACCACCTCCTGAGGGAGACCGTTCCACTGTCAAACAGCTCTTACTGTCAGAAAGTTTTTTCTTATGTTTAATTGGAATCTCCTTTCTTGTTCATATGCCTTACTTGAGACTGGGGCCGTGTGTGTGTGTGTTTGTGTGTGCACACGCGCACAGTGATGTTGTGTGTAGCTCACATCTACTTCCAAATACTTTGTGACAGGCCTCTCCTCTCACCCATTCAAGTTAGGATGATTTAGCACATTGCATCAAAGGAAGCTGTCATGCCCACTTTATGGCTTAATATCTGTATTGTATGCCTTTAGCTGTCATGGCTTCTCTGGAAAATCCAATGTTTAAAGTGACAAGTGTTAAAAAATTCTGTTAGATCTCCAGATTTCTGCCTAGTTTCAAGGAATCCCTGGGGAGAGCTTTAGTCATCTGCTTTATTAAACCCACTTGGCTTTCTCATAGTTCTGAGAACTTGCTTTGTATTGTGCGGTTAATAACATTTGCAGAGCTGTTTTTCTTGCTGAAGATAGTTCTTTGACTTCTAAGTTCCACAGTTTTCTTGACTCACTAGCTTAGAGAGTTTTCTCTCATAGGCACTGGCTATGGGTGTCTATGGTTGAGAGCACACAACTTATTTCACTCTCTCCCCCCTTCTTGCCACAAGAATGTAAGAATTTTCCAGGTCGGGCTGCCATTGCTGGTGTTCGAAGGTCTTGCATTCATTTGTAGTTTGTGCAATGCGATTCTCCCTCTTCATGAATATTTCTATTGCTTGTATACTTCTGGGTGAAATGAGTACCAGTGCCTTGTATTGGATAATGCCTCTAAACTCACAAGCAATGTATGCTTGTTTTTTGATGGTGTTGTGTGCATAAGCAAGAGAGAGTAGAGAATCTTGGCATTCACCTCAGAAATATTCCCATATAAATTTTTCCATTCATTTTGAACAATTCCTCCCAGTTTGATGGTAGAACAATGGGGGAGCAGGTTTGCTGCCATCTATCCTGAAAAACTGCAATCTCCACTATGGGTGAAATAGTTTGATTTCAGTTGTATCCAACTAAGTTTTACTCAGTAGAGTCCCCCTGAAATTAAAGGACCTAAGTTAGTCATGTCTTTTAGTTTTAATGGGTTAAGTCCAAATGTGACTGATGTTGGATAGAACCATTGGTACAGAAACAAGATTTGTGATTCGAGGAACCGTCCCCCGCTTGGGTATAATAAAGACACGTGGACACAGTATATTAGGTTAATGGGCTAGAAAAGGCCACAACTTTATTGATTACAGCATGTGAGAGGTATTGGCTTAGGCATTGGATGACAGCAAATTTTGACTCCACCCACTCGGAGAGGGGTGAGTCTGACGAGGGTTAACCACCAGTAGGGGGAGCCTGTTGATGCAAATACAACTATAAGCTCACCCCTGATGTCACCGGGGGTCGTGCCATGGCCCCCAGCCACGCAGGGCATCGGACAGGATCCACGATCGCCGGATTCCTTTAACAGAATACCCATAAGTGAAGGGGTAGGCGATGGCCACACCCTGCCCTTCCGTACACCAACAACACATCCGGCAGCACAGTGGAGGGGAGAGCTGGCGCGGCAGCATTTGAGTGGCTAGACCACACCCCCTAGCCGACACCTGATTGGTGCCATTCCAGGGGGCGCGGCGCGCCAACGACGAAGGACTCGGATCCCGATCACAATCCCTCCCCTCCGGGAGGAGGAGAGGCTTAACATGAAGAGACGGTGGTGTGGGGTTGTTGTTTTTTGTTTCGTTTTTTTTCCAATGTGCTGGCTCTTGTTTTCCCCAGCAAAGCACAAATTTAGTGTCTGACATAGAGATGCTAAGAGGGGATGCAAGGAGGGGAATTCCCATTGAGCAGGGGAAGTTCTTGTGCTAAAACGATACAGCTTCGTTGGGATACAACCTTAAGTGTTAATTTTCCAGAACAAAGAAAGGGAACACATCCATCAAAGATACAAAAAATCCATAGGCTCAGTTACTATGTTAATGTTATCTTTTACCTTTTCCACTCCTCAAGGAATGTTCCATTCAAATAACTAAAAGTTGACATATCCATCACACACTTGTCCAATAAGTCCTTCCCTTCCCTTCCCTTCCCTTCCCTTCCCTTCCCTTCCCTTCCCTTCCCCTTCCCCTTCCCCTTCCCCTTCCCCTTCCCTCCTCTTTATTTTCTGTCCCTTAGTTTTTATGTTTTTAAAAAAATGCTTGATATTTGCTGTTAACTTTTGTATATTGCTTCCCCCCAAGCTTTAATAAAAAGAGCTTTCAAAATAGGGGCACTTGTCCAAGTTCAATTTTGAGTTGATTCCCAGGTTGGGCATCTTAAATTGCCAGAGGCATATGAAAATAAAATTTGTTTCTTTGCTAATGCTTGAATGGCTCGACTTGAGGTATGGCTGATACATTTGGCTTCAAGCCAGTAAAGAAGTCAACGTTTGGTAAAAGAAAATTAATAATAATATGGAGAATGCAAAGACTAGGGACTTAAGCATATATATTTTTTACTTGCCCTGTCTGATTTCTCTTGCTCGCTTTCCCCCTTTCGTTTCATTTTTATTCTTAGACCACACGTGCAGAGTTTGACTTGCCAGAGTATTCCATGCGCCGAAGATACCAGGATTTTGACTGGCTCAGGAATAAACTGGAGGAATCTCAACCCACTCATCTCATTCCCGTAGGTAGTAAGTCTGAGCCACTATTTGGTGGAATAAATAATGCACTTATAAGAAGTGCACATTTCTGCTTTTTCAGCAGTAATGGATTCGAGGTGTGTTTAAAACACTTACCTCAATTATTTTGTGGGGGAAATGCAAAATAGAACTCCAAAACATTCCTGTCTGAACTAATTTATACTTCATATATTCTGACATTATAGGTCTGCATTACAGCTGCTTACTTGCACTGTTTTCTGATATTTGAAACTGTATTCTGTGGCTAAACTTGACTTCATCAATGAGAACAAAAACAGGATTATTATTTTCAAAAGCACTAATAGCTAATTTTTACACTAATATCATAATGTGTGTAGGTTATACATCCATTATGACATTTATGTGGTGGTATCTTTAAATTTTTAAAAACCTCTTTATTTTTCAGAAGTATTGTGTGTAGCATTTAATAAAAACAGAAAGCAGTGCACAATAACAGATAAAAAATTACTGTAGCAGCATGTTAGATCAACAGTACCTTTTCTGATGTAGAACCCTCACTCACTTCCTGTGGGCTAAGATTCAAAGACCTGCCCCACCACAAAAAATGTTTCTCAGTTCTTCCCGAATTGTCTGCTGGTGTGATGCTCCCAAAAATATGTTTGGGAGGGACTTGCACAGGTAACAAGCCACTAGAAGCTACTTGGCCCAACACTTTTGGGTTGTGTGTGTTTGTGCTCCATGTTTGCCTAATTTGGGTTCAGTGGTTGATATCAAACATTCATTGTACCCACAGGAGACCCATTGAATTCAGTGGACCTAAAATACTTAAGCCCATTGACTTAAGTGGGTTTATTCTGCATATTATTTCATTAGATCTCTCTAACAACGTTACTCAGAATGCATTTGGAGTCAGCAAAGCTTCAAAAATCCGTCTTTCAAAAAAGCTTCCTCTGAATGGGTGAACACTACTTTGACTTCCCTTCAGAAACAATTACTGCTTAAAATTATTTTTAGGTGAAAAGGTGCAAGTCAGCAGTTTCTTCTGTCCCAGTGATGTCTTGTAGCATCTGTGCTGTGATCTCCAACTCTCTTGGTACACTGATGGACTATGAAAATACTGTTACAAAATATTTGCTTCGGTTTTTTAAAAACTTCTGTTTACTATTGTAGTGGAAGAAAAACTTGAATGTGCACGTTATCTGAAACATCAAAGCTTGGTGATAGAGATTTTCTTGTCCCCCTAAACTCCTAAGATTTTTTCCTGTTCCCTTCCAGCCTCTCCCAGAGAAATTTGTGGTCAAAGGAGTTGTTGATCGCTTTTCAGAAGAATTTGTTGAGACTAGGAGGAAGGCCTTGGATAAATTTTTGAAAAGGATTGCTGATCATCCTGTGCTTTCTTTTAACGAACACTTTCATGTGTTTCTTACTGCCAAAGTAAGTAAAGCGAACCCATGCAGAACTGTGTTTCAATGGATGTGTTTAGAGGAGGGAGCCTTTGTTTAGAATCTGATGAAAGATTGCTTATCAATGTTAAACATGCTTTTAAATAGCACCATCAAATTCATCTGATAACCACTCATGTTATACAGCTACTTTGGGTGCCAGTATTTGACAGTTACTGTATTTTTCTGTGTATAAGACTAGGTTTTCCCCCTAAAAAATAATGTCAAAAATTAGGGAGCATCTTATGCACGGATACATCCCCCATTTTCTTAAATCTGAGTCCCCCAAAATAGGGGGCGTCTTATACATGGGACATCTTATAGATGGAAAAATATGGTATATCTTTTTCAGTATGCCTTAAGCTTAGCATTTGAAAGAGCACAATAGAATCTAGCACCTTCACTATACAGCTTTAAAGGTAAAGGACCCCTGACAGTTAAGTCCAGTTGTGAATGACTCTGGGGTTGCGGCGCTCATCTCGCTTTACTGGTCGAGGGAGCCGACGTTTGTCCGCAGTTTTTCCGGGTCATGTGGCCAGCATGACTAAGCCGCTTCTGGTGAAACCAGAGCAGCGCACAGAAATGCCATTTACCTTCCCACCAGAGCGGTACCTATTTATCTACTTGCACTTAGATGTGCTTTCAAACTGCTAGGTTGGCAGGAGCAGGGACCGAGCAATGGGAGCTCACCCCGTTGCGGGGATTCAAACCGCCAACCTTCCAACCAGCAAGCCCAAGGCTCTGTGGTTTACACCACAGCGTCACCCGTGTCCCTATTTTACACCTTTTACGTCCCTATTATACACCTTTAGGCACAAGGCAAAACGTTCCTTTTCAACCAGGCCTTTGTTTGATTTGATTGAAATCCTATGCCCTTTTAAAATGTGGGGTTTATTTTTTTTGGGGGGGGGAGGTTTATTCAGTTGTTGCTTTTATTTTGATTATGGATTTTGTGGTTTTATATTTTGTTTTTATTCTGTGAACCGCCCTGAGACCTCCGGGTATAGGGCAGTATATAAATGCAAACAAACAAACAGCTGGGACAGAGATTGCATACAGGGGAAACTGAGAGGTTTGCTTTCAAGAAAGAGAGAAGAGTGAGCTGTGGGTGGGTGGGAGAAGCAAACAGAAATAAGATATCCTACTGTGAGCAGACCAAAGGCTTGTCTACTCTAGAATTCGGTTTCCCTCAATGATTAAACAGATTTATTTGAGAAGCCCACAAGAAAGTCATCTAACGTGGCAGCCGCCCCCACATGTTGTGGTAGGGAGTCACAAAGTTTCTCTTCCTCCTTCCCTCACCTGTTATAAATATCTACTTTGCGTAATGTTACTGCAGTGGTGTGACGTCTGCTGCTTGCATTCTGGTTGTTGTTATACAAGGGACGCGGGTGGCGCTGTGGGTTAAACCACAGAGCCTAGGACTTGCCGATCAGAAGGTCGGCGGTTCGAATCCCCGTGATGGGGTGAGCTCCTGTTGCTCGGTCCCTGCTCCTGCCAACCTAGCAGTTCGAAAGCACGTCAAAGTGCAAGTAGATAAATAGGTACCGCTCCGGCGGGAAGGTAAACAGTGTTTCCGTCCACTGCTCTAGTTCGCCAGAAGCGGCTTAGTCATGCTGGCCACATGACCCGGAAGCTGTACGCCGGCTCCCTTGGCCAATAAAGCAAGATGAGCGCCGCAACCCCAGAGTCGGCCATGACTGGACCTAATGGTCAGGGGTCCATTTACCTTTACTAATGCAGATGAGGCCTAAGTTCGGCACAGCCCTAAGAGTGTAACTTCTGCAGTTGTTTTTATTTCGGAATAAACAAGAAACAACTCTTAATGGGAGTTTTGGAGCATTAACACAGGTTGTAAGGGCCTGTAACTCTGTGCGGTCCTCAGAATAGAATAGACTGAAACTCTACTTTCCCCAAGTTCGTTGTTGAACAGATATACAGTGGTACCTCAGAAGTCGAACGGAATCAGTTCCGGAAGTCTGTTCGACTTCCAGAATGTCCAGAAACCGAGGCACGGCTTCCGATTGGCTGCAGGAAGCCGCATTGGATGTTCGCGTTACAAAGAACGTTCGCAAACTGGAACACTCAATTCCAGGTTTGCTGCGGTGTTCAGGAGCCAAAATGTTTGATTCCCAAGGCATTGGGCTTCCAAGGTACGACTGTATTTGGAAGACATAAACATGATCTAAAAGCTAATTGGCTGCTCTTGTCGCCCATAGGATCTTCATGCTTATAAAAAGCAGGGAATGGCCTTGCTTTCTAAGATGGGAGAATCGGTAAAATATGTCACGGGAAGCTATAAACTCAGAAGTCGACCGGTGGAGTTTGCTGCCATTGGTGACTACCTAGATACTTTTTCTCTGAAGCTTGGAACCATTGACAGAATAGCACAGCGAATTATCAAGGAGGAAGTAGGTGAGTAGTATGTGCAGCTTTTCTTTATAACTCTAATTCTTGCTCCGCTAGCAAAGTCTGGATTCCAGCGGTGGGGGAACATGCGGCCCCCTCGAAAATGCTTGGACTCCCAGTTCCCATCAGCTGAGCCAAAGTGGCTGGTGGTCAAGCATAATGGGGATTATAGCCTGGCTATGTCTGGGAAGCCATAGGTTCCCATCCCCAGTATACACATTTTCAGAATATGTGTTGCATATGGAATCAAAAATATAATTACTTCTGTTGCTCATAGCTCAAATCCTGTCGTGAGTTCATCATACTATAATATTTCATTTAGTAGTCCGAAAAAGATGTCCATCATAACCACACTATCTATTAAATCATAACCACACTATTGTGTTTATGATTTAATAGATAGTGCAGCAGAAAGTAAGAAACAACAACTTCATGGAAAACGGGGAAGTTGATAATCTGAGAAGAGATGAAATTGTTTTTAGATTGTATATGTTTAAAATGTTGAAACTTAATAAAATATAATTGAAAAAGGGGAATTAATGTATTGAGTGTGCGTTCAGAATGGCTAAATTCCTTTGTCGTTCTTTGTCTTCCTGCATCTTAAGTTGTAACAAGATGCTTACAGCAATTACCCAAAGGTCCTAGACCTTCCTTTGTAGGTTCTGACACTTTTATTATTGGTATTTTCCTTATCACGAGAAGTTTCTGATCTGAAAGTTAGGCTTGGTGACTTTAAAAACAAACACACAAAGCCTCTGGCGCTTTCTCGAAACCCAGAAACCAGAACTTTCCTGCCTTTTATTTTCATAGCATCGTTCTCTTGCAGAATACCTTGTGGAGCTCCGAGAGTATGGTCCTGTTTACTCAACCTGGAGTGGGTTAGAGAAAGAGCTGTCGGAGCCTCTTGAAGGAGTATCTGCCTGCATTGGGAATTGCTGTACGGCACTCGAGGAACTGAGCGAAGACATGACCGAAGACTTTCTTCCTGTCCTAAGAGAGTATATGCTGTACTCGGAGTCCATGAAGGTAACATGGGATTGTGGCAGGCAGATGTTTGCATCTAGGAAAACACCTTTCCCAGAAATGCCAGCATGTGGACATTTTGTGGGCATAAAACTACTGCATCCCCTTCGGGAGATCTCTGTGTGGCCTCTTCTACCTGCTGCTGTCATTTTGACACAAAATGGTTCCAGAAATTATATACCATATTTTCCGGCGTATAAGACGACCCCCCCAACTTTTCCAGTTAAAATATAGAGTTTGGGATATACGCACCGTATAAGACTGCCCCTCTTCCAACGCACACCAAATAAAAAATTAAAAAGCTAATCTCCAGTCCGGCTCGGAAATCTGCTCCATTTCCCAGTGGCTGGGGGCTTCTGGGGCCAATTTTCAAGCGTATTTCTGGTTCATCTAGAGAGCTTGGTGTCCTGTGATTTAATTTGCTGTCTTTTTATCCTTTGGTGGGGAGTTGTTGCAGGAGCTGCTGTTGTAGCCGGCATATAAGACGACCCCCAACTTTTGAGAAGATTTTCCTGGGTTAAAAAGTAGTCTTATATGCCAGAAAATATAGATAAAGTACCCTAAGCTTTTAAAATCATGGAGCTCACGCAGATGTAACGCTAGCTTCCTGCTAATCTTGGTTAGCAAAGTCAGAACTATTCCCAGAAACGATGTGCTTCCTTCCCTGGAACAAGTGTCACCGTCTCTATTTTAATATGGCAGACATTTGACTTCATCTTTCTGGCTATTGAATGGTTCAGCCAGTTAGGACCATGTAACACGGATACTGAAAGAACTCCTCTGGTTGCCACTTTACTACTGGGTTAAATTGAAGGTATAACTGACAACTTTTAGAAACTCCATCCAGAACAGCGTGTTGGGGAAGGGGAGGCAGGAATGTCCTGTCTGGCAAGCTGATTGCCGTTGTGTGATGTTGGATTCCACCAGTGTTCTTAACTTAGGGTTCCTTGCAACATAGCCTCTGAAATTGATTTCATCCTGCAGTTCTCCAGATCCTGACTTACTGCCACGCTTTGCTAGCCCTAACCATGATGAATCTGGGTGCAACCACATTATGTAGTAGTAATGTTAGTGCCAGTGAACCCTTAGCTGTGATTGAGGGTAGAAGATGTAATAATCTTTTTTCCAGGTGTGGGATGGAATGCAGGTTGCAGGTACTGCCTGTCAATTCTGGCTAAGCATGGTTAGCAGGGGGGCAGTGTGTAGTCCCCATAGATGACAAGTGAGTTCGCTAGCATACCACATACTTGAAAATCCTTACCTCCAGGGTATACCTGTGTGTGTGTGTGTGTGTGTGCGCGCGCGTGTGTATCCATGGTGGTGCTAGCTGTCTGCAGGATTTTAAATAGGTGTAACCAGTGTTAGAAGCTGAGATAGGAAATCTAGAAGCTAAATGGCACCTTAAACCTAGGTTATGGGTGCAACAACGGAATGTCTGGGTGTGCTTTTTTTAATAACAAGAATACAAAGCTGAAAACAAATGAACTGCAGCTAAAAGATGATGTTCATTTTTCACATGGTCTAGTCCTTCCCCTGCCTAGGTAAAGGTAAAGGGACCCCTGACCATTAGGTCCAGTCGTGACCAACTCTGGGGTTGCGGCACTCCTCTCGCTTTATTGGCCGAGGGAGCCGGCGTACAGCTTCCGGGTCATGTGGCCAGCATGACTAAGCCGCTTCTGGCGAACCAGAGCAGTGCACAGAAACGCCGTTTACCTTCCCGCCAGAGCGGTCCCTATTTATCTACTTGCACTTTGACATGCTTTCGAACTGCTAGGTGGGCAGGATCTGGGACTGAACAACGGGAGCTCACCCCATTGCAGGGATTCAAACTGCCGACTTTCTGATCGGCAAGTCCTAGGCTCTGTGGTTTAACCCACAGCACCACCTGCGCACCCATATGTTATTAAGAGGGTCTCTTCTCCAGTCTTCAGAGAGTAGCTGGAAGTAGGAAGGCACAAAAAGGTCCTCCTTTCCTTCCACTCTGCAGCTTTAATCTGAAATCTTAGGCGCATTACTGTGCCCAGAGCTCGAAAACTGCTTGCACTAATGAAATTCCCTGTCGCAAAACACGCCTAGAACAATGGGAGTTTCAAACACTGGGTGTAACAGGCCGCTTCCAGGTGTTATGGGGACGGATTAGCCATGAAGATGGGACATTACCTTCTTCTGCAAGCCTGCATATCCCCTTGCCTTGTAATTGATAAATAATTCTTCTCTTCTTACCATCATGATGCAGGCTTCACTTCTTTGAGAAGTTGCATGTGGCCCCTGTATGAAAGGGGTTGCCCAAATGTGTCTCTCTGATGCACCGATTATGATGTATAAGCTGTGGGAAGGGCCTCGGGGCCTGCTATGTATCATTTTCATGCTGACTTGCTATTACAAGAAAAGAAAAGCAGGAGTAGGAACTGTTGAGATGATATAAAGCATTCTGGACACAGTTAGTACAAACAGTTCCCCGTGGAATGTTTTGATATTAGGTAAATGGAGTTAACGGTTGGTTGGGCTTTTTGGGGGGGTGTGTGTGTGTGTGTGTGTGTGTGTGTGTGTATATATATATATATATATATATATATGCCTGAGGAGCTGAAAGTATGCAGATGAATTCTCATGTGGGTGCAGAGCAGTCAGCTACCGCCTCCTGTCCCTTGAGAAATTACAACTTTGTGCAGCTTTAAGAAATCCCCTACCACTGTATTAATGCATCGGCTTCAATGCTCTGCTTGTAGAACAACATATAATGAATAATATGTAACCATGCTTTTTTCTTTTTCTTTTTTGCAGAGCTTTTTAATTTTCTGTATTCTTTACTGTAAGAAATGGCTAAAGTCCTTGGCCCAGGTCAAAACACAAACTCCGTTTTTAAACGGAGAACTTTTTGCCTCCCTGATATTTTATGCAACTTAAAAAGAGAGAGAAGAAACTAGGAAGTACTGTGAATGTGTTTTAAAAATATAAAAAGAAAGGAAGGTTTGCTTAAGCGCAGGTTGCATCCGGGGGAAGGCCTCATCTGCACTATGCATTTAAAGCAGTATCAAAGCACTTTTAAACAGTCGTGGCTTCCCCCAAAGAACTCTGGGAAATGCAGCATATTAATCACCAGTAACTTTGAGTATATATCAGCCAGTCCCCTTTAATCTTATCTTGGAGGATAACTTTTGAAGAGAACCTGTGAATTTTTTTGCATATGACTTGAGATGGACTTGAGCATGTTCCTTTTCCGTTAATGGGGTGGAATATTGAGCTAGCATTCAGTGGTACGGGATGGGGTGGGAGACAATAAATTAAGCCATATACAGGCGTTCTGCCCTCATGCCGTTACCATAGTCTGAGGGAAAGTGCAGGGATGTGTTTGCTTGCTCCTGCCCTCGCCAGCCTTCCCTCCTTGGAGGAGAATTCTGAAGTGTAGACTTCCTGTGTGGTCAAAGTTCTAAACTGAGGAACATACATTCATAGAACAGCATCCCTGCTCCAGACCTTTCCACATCCAAGCGTGGATGGCAGTGGGACTGACTGGGTGATGAGGACATAAAATATGGGGGGCAGAGCCAGTGAGACCCATCTCCCCTATATGCGTAATCACACGAGGGCAGCCCTGTGTAGGACTCTAGAGAAGGCAACATCAATCCTCTTTCTCCAGAAACTGACATAATCATTCTTCACCTTTTCTTTCTGTCGGCAAACAAATATGTATTGTCCCAGACCTGTCTGTTTGCTAGCCATGTGCCTTTCGAATGCAATATATTAATGATTAAACCGTAAGTTTGAATCTCCACATATTCTGCAGGCAGATTTCTTTTAGCCGAAGGCAGCTGGTTTATTAGCATTTTTACATACCTGCACCAAAGCAGAAATACCTGTTCCATTGGAAGGGCTTATCTACCTCTCTAATAACTATAGGGAAAAGTTGCACATCACTGTGATTCTCCCAGAGCAAATAAAGCTGTGCCTTTTAAACTGCAGAAAGCATGCATGATGCAGGTGTCACACATCATAAGTTATTGGATCACATCAGCAGATAAGTGCGTATATTTTAGCTGTTGAATGGATCACAAAATTGGTAGGTGCTATTATGGCCAGGTTTAAAGAAACTTCAGCACTAGATTTACCTACCTGCCTTCCTTTTCAGTGTCAGATTTGCACACAGAACAGCTAAAAACATCCCCTGTAGTTAATGTATCTGATCAGAATGGTCCCATCATTTGAACAAAGACTTTGGCATCACTGGAGTACTGAAAAGTTGTGTTTGGGTTAGGGATGTCATTGTCAGATGGGATGTCAAAAAAGGGCTGTGAAATAGCTGCCCTTTATTTGTTGCGCTGCAATTTGCTGGCTCGCATGAATGAAAAGGTGCTTCTTTAAAACGGTTTCCTTCTGCTGCCATTATATAAATGGTTTCCAATGAAATTTATTGCTGAAAAGCATAACTGGGTGAAATGGGTTTTGATGGGCAAATAACAAGTTGTTCCGCACATTTGCTGAAGCCTCTCCTGCCCACAAGCCAATAAAACCAAACATTGTAACCGCAAAGTCTCTTGGAACCATTTCAGTGATAGCTGCTAGACAGGGCTGCCTGTATATGCGATCTGATTCATATGTTGCTTGCTAGATCTTACCCTTACCAGATCTTTAGAGTTTTGAGGTAGGTAGCAAACCTGAGAGCACCAGCCATTCAGAATTGCTTTCAGGAGATGTGCTTGATATCTCAAAGCTAAGTATTTAGTTTGGGGGATAGGTAGCTTTAAATAGAGTGCCTTGCTGTAATCAAATGTTTTGCAGGTACTAATACAGTTTGTAGTGGGTGGGGGGGGCAGTAGTTAATTTTTACAACAGATTTACACTGCTACGAGAGCAAGGATTTGCTTGAGGCTGAAAATGATTGTAGCTTGTAAATTTCTGAGCTGCATTCTGTAGTCCTGCCAAATTTGTTTTGCCCGGATGAAATGATTTCTGATCTCTGTCCTGCTGTTCTTGAAAGGAGCTTAAAATGCGTGAGCTTCATAGCTGAGCAATGACTTTGAACTTTTTCACAACCAAGCCACTGTGATGCAAACACTATCCAAGATTCCCTATCCCTTCTGAAGGGTGATGATGATGATGATCATGCACTAAAATAAGGATTGTTTCACTGACTCAAATAGTCGTGATCCTTCCAGTCTACCTCTGCAATCTGGAAGACCCATAATAATAATAATAATTTTTATTTATACCCTGCCCATCTGGCTGGGTTTCTCCAGCCACTCTGGGCAGCTTCCAACAAAATATTAAAAATACAATAAAACATCAAACATTAAAAACTTCCATAAACTGGGCTGCCTTCAGATGTCTTCTAAAAGTCAGATACAGTGGACCCTCTGGATACAGACTTAATTTGTTCTGGGGGTCCTTACATACCCTGAAAAGTCCACAACATGAGGCGCCGCTTCTGCGCATGCATGCACGGCGAAACCCGGAAGTATACACTTCCAGGGTTGCTGCATTTGCCTCCCGAAAGTTATGTTACCCGAAGGTAACGTAACCCAAGGGTCCACTGTGGTTGTTTATTTCCTTGACATCTGATGGGAGGGCATTCCCTAGGGTGGGCGCCACTACTGAGAGGGTCCTCTGCCTGTTTCCCTTAGTGAAGGAACTGTCAGAAGGCCCTCGGAGTTGGACCTCAGTGTCCGGGCTGAATGATGGGGGTGGAGACGTTCCTCCAGGTATACTGGGCTGCGGCTGTTTAGGGCTTTAAAGGTCAGCACCCACACTTTGAATTGTGCTCAGAAATGTGCTGGGAGCCAATGTAGGTCTTTCAGGACTGGTGTCATATGGTCTTGGTGGCCACTCCCAGTCACCAGTCTAGCTGCTGCATTCTGGATTAGTTGTAGTTTCCGGGTCACCTTCAAAGGTAGCTCCACGTAGAGCACATTGCAATAGTCCAAGCAGGAGATAGCCAGGGCATGTACCACTCTGGGAAGACACTGCTCAAGCAGGTAGGGTCGAAACACTAGGAGAATGCTCTCCTCATTGCTGGCTACTGAACTTGCCCCCCAGCAGCCAGGAAATGAACCTGGACCTTCATTTCTGACCTTCTAGAACAGTGGTTCTCAATGGGTGATCTGCGGACCCCAGATCTTGCTGAACTATAACCCCCAACCAGCTTGGCCAATGGGAGTTGTGATTCAGCAACAGCTGGAGGGCCATAGGTTTCCCATAGCTGGTCTAATGCAAGAAGACCATCCAACTGCCATCACCCTTCCTAGCCAATAGACTTCCACTGCTGACACCTAAGTAGTACTGGTTTCAAGTGGATTACAGCTGGCTTGGGGTAACAAGCTCAAGTTCATATGAAGTGTGTGTGTGTGTGTGTGTGTACATAACCCTTGCATCTCCTCTGATTGCATCCTGTCTCTTTCCTCCTCCCCTTAAGAATGTGTTGAAGAAAAGAGATCAAGTTCAAGCAGAATATGAAGCCAAACTGGAAGCTGTGGTCTTAAAAAGAGAAGACCGCCCCAAGGTTAGTCCTCTTTGGAACTGCTCTTGGACAGCTAAGTTTCCCACTCCATTGTCTTCAGCAAGATTAAAAAGCTTTTGTGGAATGTTGAAAAGTGCAGTAAATACTGGATTCTTGGACTTGATCTTTGGTGAGGAAAAGATCATTTGTTTGGGTAGGAGAGGTCCTCGGGACACAAGGAAACAAAACAGCTCAGTACCACAAACAATTGAATATCCCAGGTTGGCCAATTGGTGGTCTGATGATTTTAATTGTGACAAGGGGTAATAAAATATATACGCAGATTTGATCAATAATTATTGATATTCATTGCTTGTGTAAATTATACTTTCCCATCAACCAGCTTTGGTTTATCTCACAGCATGTGTTGGCTGGCTTTTGGGCAGGTATGAGGAACCTTTGGCCTTCTGAATTTTGGACTGGAGCACCTATCACCCTTGACCGTTGGCCATGGTGGCTGGGGCAGACAGGTGTTGGAAATCAACAACATCTGGAGGACCATAGGTTTTCCATTCCTGGTCTCAATTTAAGGTTTTATGAAAGAACCTATGTTAAGGTTCTTTCACATAGATTGAATTGAGCTATCCATTAGTGGGGTAACTACGTTTGTCACTATATTTCTGGAGAATAGAAGCTGTTACCTTAGTGTTGGTGCTTGAATGCACATTGATTCCTTAACTGATGAATAAGCAGCAGAGGCCTTATCCACCGTGCCACCAATATTTAAAAGCTTTAAAAATTAGTAATTATACTAATTCACTTTGAAGTTAATCTTTTTCTTTTCATCTTAGGCACAGCCTCCTTTAATTAATGCAATTTTATTTGAAAGCAGTGACAACTAATAGGTTTGCTTTGCCAGTTAGAGCCTTTCCACTTCGTCTTCTGTTTAAGCTAATAGAACAATTAACAATTTAAGCTCTGGATTTATCTCATCTGTGCTCCACTGCTCTTCAAATGTATTCAGGACAGTGTGTATTAGGAACTGTGTTTTAACCTTGGAACAGTCCTGTGAAGTAAGTTAGAGTAGACTGAAAGGCTGGTCCAAGGCTAGCCAGTGAATTCTGTAGCTGTGTTGGGGGAAATCTGAAGCCAGGTGAGTCTGGTCCAAATTCATTGCATTGTGTAGCCACAACATCACTGGCTATACAAAGATCTCTTGTTGTCTCCCTAGCTGAAAGCTGAAAGGAAATATGGCTTTGGAATAATAATAATAATAATAATAATGATGATGATGATGATGATAATATTATTTATTTACACCTAGCCCCTCTGGTTGGGTTGCCCCAGCCATTCTGGGCAGTTTCCAACACAGAGACACATAATAAAACCTCAAACATCAAAAACTGGCTGTGTTCATATGTCTTCTAAAGGTGGTGTAGTTCTTTATTTCCTTGACACAAAGGGTGTTCCACAGGATGGGTGCCACTACCGAGAAGGCCCTCTGCCTGGTTCCCTGTAATTTCGTTTCTCACAGTGAGGGAACCACCAGAAGGCCCTTGGCGCTGGACCTCACTGTCCGGGTTGAACAATGTGGGTGGAGATGCTCCTTCAGGTATACAGGGCCGAGGCTGTTTGAGGCTTTAAACTTCAGCATTGACACTTTGAATTGTGCTCAGAAATATACTGGGAGCCAGTGTAGATTCTTGGGAATAAAAACGTTAGCCCTTGACACTTGTCCAAGATGCCGGTCCACCCATGCTACTCCATAACTGCCAGCATTAACACCCTATTCGGGTGTTAAGTGTCATGTGACTATAATCACATGATGCAGGATACCAAGGCATATCTGCCCTGCGTGCACTCCTGTACCTAACCCCCCCCAGCTACTCCTGCATTAGGCGGTGGGTCTGCAGCATGGCAATCTCCCAGATGCAACATTGACACTGCCTATGAGCCACAACCCTAAAGACTCCTTTGCATTGCAGCTCACAGGGACAGCCTAGGCATTTTCACCCAGCTACCCTGGTACAGGTGTACCCCCAGTGCATGGGTGGCATTGGGGAGTGGCTGATGCAAGGGGTGCATTCAGACCCCCATCGCTCCCGTCTCAAATGATTGTTTCCCGAAGCTGAACACCCAAGGGCTTAAGTCTGGGAAAGCAAATACGGTGCCTTCTTTTTCTTTAAAAAAATAAATAATAATTGATACTTTTTCAAAGAAATACAAAAATACATACCCATTACATAGTATCTTCTTTATAATATACTGAGATAAAACAGCTACTTAGTCTAAAAGAGAACCAAGTAGGAAGAAAAGACAAGGAAAAGAGAAATGTAAAGAAAGAGAAAACGAGAGGAAAAGAAATAAAAAACTAAAGAAGGGTAACATAATAATAGTAAAATAATAAATAATAATAATGTTGACATGCACAAATGAAAATAACACAAAGGAACAAGGGGAGGGAGTGGAGGGAAGTCAGGGGATTCGACGAATCCCAAAATATGGATTAATATTAAGAGTGAATATAGATGTTTTAATTGTTTTATTTTGTGTTTTCCTTTTCAGTGTAATGATTGTTTGTTGAGAAAATTAATAAAATAATAATAAAATAATAAAAGGACTTCTGGTCCAAGAAAATCCCTTAACTTGTGTCTGCAACAGCATTGGGGGATTCCTTTTTCTCGCTCTCTCCCCAGGTGCCCACTGAGGTCGAAAAATGTCAGGACCGCGTGGAATGCTTCAATGCAGACCTGAAGGCAGATATGGACCGGTGGCAGAACAACAAGCGCCAAGACTTTCGGCAGCTGTTGATGGGAATGGCAGACAAAAACATCCAATATTACGAGAAGGTAATCTCTAAGGTTGTCGCTGTTATGTAGTGAAAAGACTGTGGAACCTCCCGATAACGAGAGTTTAGCAGAGCTGGATGCTTTAGAGGCGCGCGCTTCTTGCTTACCACCATCGAGTTTTAGCTTTTTCACACTGTCACTATTTATGTGGAATGTTCTCGTACCGGGATGGGGGACTAAATGGAGGGGCAAAATGTAGCTCTCCAGGCCACTCTGACCTCTTTCCTCAGGCCACATCCCTCGCCAGCCTTGCTCCATATCCTCCTCGAGTGTTTTTGCCTGGCTGGAATCTGTCTCTGAATTCTCATAACACTTTCTGATTAGCATGTACCACCATCCTAAAGGTTGTCTAAAATGCGACTGCCATCAACCGAATGCAACCTACTAATATGCCCTGGGCTCCCCAATCCCTCTCACCACCAAGGAAACATAATAAATGCATAGATGAATAACCTGTCCATGTGACACTGACACAAAAGCCATAATGCATAAAGTGCAAAAAGAGAGAGAGAAATCATCGCTCCCCCTTCTTTCTCCCACCTATCTCTCCCCACAACCTCAAAATGCCCATGATAGCAGCATCTCACACCGAATGTAACTGACCTGTAGATAGGACTCTATGAACTGTAAACAGAGACGGTATATGTACCTTCGTCACCCAGGAAAATTGTGTCAGTGAAAACAGTTTTGAAAAAAAATAAAAATAAAATAAAATTGCAGCTGCTGGGTTGGTAAGCAGCGCTGCGCAATGGTGCATGTTTCACTGGTCTTGAAAGAGCAGCATTCCCTGCCAGTGAGCTACTAGGCCCAGTTCAAGGTGCAGAGGGATACAAAGCTCTCAGAGGTTTGAGGCCCAGGAAGTGGTGTGTTGTCAGTGGACTGAGGGGACTAGGCTATTCCCTGATGGGGGCCTCCTTCCCAAAGCCCAGGAAGCTTCTGCCCAGCTTAGGAAGGAAGGTGCAATGCTCACGAGTGTGACTTCAGGACGCCCCTATCCATCACGCTTGCAAGGTGGTGCCTCTGGCCCCCTCTGTTCCCCTGTGAAACTTTTCACCGCAGGCCCCTGGGTACCTAAAAGAGCACCTCTCTCAACCTCAGTGTCCTTTCTTTAGGGGCTTCTGGGAGTGGCTGGTTTTAAATGGAAGCACTGATGGGTTTGCCGTTCTGTGTCTTTGTTTCAAACAGTGCCTTACGGCGTGGGAATCTATTATACCACTTTTGCAAGACAAGCCTGAGACCAAATAAGAAACCGCATCTTTCCCCACCCTTTTCCTCCCTGCACCACGGACTTCTGACCAAGTGACGGTACCACTAAACATACTGGAGATACACTATGCACGACTTGGTGTCAGATTTGGGTTTTCCTAACCCACCCCCTGGAGGAACAACTACCTGTGCTGAACCTCGGGACTGATCCAACTTGAAAAAAGTTTGAAATTGTACATTTTTTGTGCCACCTTTTTATTAAACCATCCGAGTTGGCCTTGAATGCTCCTACTCACGATCCTTGGCTGACGGCAAAGAAACTACAGGGACTTTTCTCCTTTTGGACCGCTTTATATTGAATGAAGTTGATACAAGGAACACTACAATAATAATAATGATGGTGATGATAATTACAATGATAATAATAAAGAACTCTTTAAAATGCAAGGTGCCAACACATCGTTATTGTCCTTCCTTTTTCTTGTTAGTTTAGTAAGGAGTGGTTGACCATGAAATTGCAGGTGTTCACTCTTCAAATTCTGTTGGATTTCTCCCCCCTCCTCCCACCCTCCATATGTGGAAAGGGAATTTGGCTGACAGAAGACGCTTGCTGGATCCTCAAAGGTCTCTTTGAATTAACTTGGGCTTTGTGGATGGGAAGGTCAGGTCTACAGGGCAAAAGTTGGTATGGTCTTGGTACAATGCACAGGAAACCTGCAGAATATTTCAGAGGTGGTCTTTTGGCTATGGCATGTAGGCAGTTAGGATCCAGAGCCTTTGAGCCATTTACTGGGGATGGGGGAAGTTGTGTGGGGTGTTGTGTGCCTCCCAAAGTCTGTACATGAAACTATTAATCTTTTCTTAATAATAATAATAATAAAATCGAACCTTTTCTGCATTTTTTGAATGCTAGTGTTTGCCATGTGATGGATGTTGTTTCATAGTGACACCCAAGTCTCACCAAATTTATCCTTCTCACCTTGGGCTTTCATTAAAAAGAAACAAACAAACAAACAAAACAGCCAGTGAAACTGTTCTTAAACGTGTCCGAGGGGAGTGTAGCTGAAGAGAGACCTCTCACAACAAGCGACCGTTTTCTTTCCCCTGCCTTTCATTAGGATGACTGTGTATGTACCATTATGTGTGGAGACCTAGTATTGTGGCTGGGAGATTGAGCTATGAACTGACAAACCTTTGGTTCAAATTTCATGTCTGCCATGAACTTTCTAGCCGCTACCTCTCAGTACAGTGGTACCTCTGGTTACAAACTTAATTCGTTCCAGGGGGCCGTTCTTAACCTGAAACCATTCTTAACCTGAGGTACCACTTTAGCTAATGAGGCCTCCTGCTGCCGCCTCCACGCGATTTCTGTTCTCATCCTGAGGTAAGGTTCATAACCTGAGGTACTACTTCTGGGTTAGCGGAGTCTGTAGCCCGAAGTGTTTGTAACCTCAGGTGTTTGTAACCCGAGGTACCATTGTATCCCTCATTTTTAATAAGTGGATAATACTAAATTATTTTTTTACTTGTGCTATTTATTTATTTTTTAAATCCCCGGCACTTGCCATCTGTTCCAATAAACACTCAATGGATGCAACCGAGACTCTGTTTTGAAAATAGATGTTAGCAATTAATACTTAGAAACAGTCTTTTTATTAGCAGCAGCTAGTTTGGGGAAAGGAATTGCTACCTCTCTGTAGATACGTGTACAATAGTTTGGAGTTATTTCTCATTTGGATTAGCAAAGGTTCCAGAACTGGTGGTGTTCAAAAGTATCAAGCAATACTTTGATTTTGTGTCAACTTGTGGGATCAAGAATATATAGAAACATGGAAATTGCCAGCATGTAACTTAATACCTTGGAAGGAATAAGAAGTATGGGCTGTGTCTAACTGGGTTTATGATAGAGACATGATCATTGGGAGGGATGCTTAGAGGCCATCCATTCCAACCCCACTTAATCCAGGATCTGCAATATAATATCCCTGACACATGGCTGTCCAGCTTTTGCTTAGACACTTCCAGTGACTTGCCACCTTCCAAGGCAGTCTACCAGCTCTCAATCTCTTTTGATCTCCCAAAACATCGCCTTCCAATTTTGACACCATGGAGAATCCGCAAGCTCTAAAATAAATGAGAGATTGTGCACTGGATTGTCTGTTTCCAAGATCACAACTAACTGGAATCTGTGGGTGAAAGAAAGAAAAATGTTTTCTGAAACACAGACATAACAAGTCTAATTTTTATTGAATGGATAAGGTGTTTTGCTTTGAGTTCCCATTCTGTCATAAAGGCTCACGTAACAAATTGAATGTCTTAAGATTTTCTCCATGCAGAAATTGGATGTTAAGAGGACATGCGCGCACTTCAATAGATTGTATTGTTGATGAGAAAACGAAACTTAGATTGTAATGTTGGCTGTGTTCACTTCTGAAAGCAAACATCTTAATGCTTGCTCTCTCGGTTTCAATATCCTCCTGTATGATTTTTTTTTTTTTAAAGCGCCTGTTGCAGGCAGCAGGGCACAATTGGCAAGATGCTAGGAGCTCCTCTCTTTGCAGTTGGAGTAGAAGCTGTTGTTTATCAGGCTGAAGGGGCAAAGCTTTGAACAGAGGCAATGGTACAGTTTGCATTGTGTATTGAAAAGTGCTCTTGCTACAGTCCATATGGATTGGGTTTCATGTTTAGAAGAAGGTCGTGGCCATTTTAAGTACATGTAGCACGGAGGCTTGGCTACTGATCTGTGCTTGAGAGTGTGTGTGTGTGTGTGTGTGTGTGTGTGAAGAGTTAACATACCTCCGACTCTCACTACCCAGCAGTGGTGTAACATGGGTTGCTAGTGCCCGGGGCAAGGCAAGTATCTTTGGCACTGCCCGATAGGCTGGAACAAAGGGGCAATACCTCAGTGACCTACCCTAGTGGCAGTTGAGGCACCCTGTGAGTGTTGAGCATGGTGGAGTGTGGGATAGGGGATGGGTCAGGAGCGGATATCTTTATAAAACCCATGCAGAAGACGTTCTAGCAACCGGCCACCACCCAGATCTGTTCCTCAGTCTGTCCATGTGGACACTGGGAGATTTTTTCTGTGAGTGCAAGGGCACACTATTCTTTATTACTACTACTTTCTTCTTGTTTACTTTTGAAATTTTGCACCCCTAAGAATTTTGCAGGCAGGGCAACTGTCCCTGTGGCCCCATCCATACTACACCACTGCCACCTGGAGAGGTGATCTGTATTGCTGAGTCCAGGTCTCCCTCCTCTGAAGAGAAAGTAAGGTGGTCATGTTTAGTGGGCACAGTAGCCCGTGTGTAGCCCATTGTCGCATTTGACAATCTGGACAGTGAATCCATCTGTGTGTATATGAAACCAAACACACTTATGATTCCAATGCATTCTGAAAGGGTGTCTTGACTTAGATTGTTTTGAAGCTGAGACAGGTAGTGTAAAAAGCCTTAGCTTTTTGTAATTACAGTAAGCACTTCAGATCCTATAACGCTATAGTGGGGTGTCAGTTTTAGATTTACATATTCAGTGCCCCACACATATTATAAATCATTTTAGTTCCACTAGCTGTTTTTGACAATTTTTTTCTTACTCTAAACAATTAAAGGTCTTTTCACAAAGATAACCGCCCTTCCTTTTTTTTTTTTAAAGGCAAACTATTTGCTCTTGCCCAAATATTTTTGTACACGTGGAATCAGAGTGATTCTCCGCCCTCATGGAATCAGTAAACATATAAATGTCAAAACATTTTTCAGACACTTTATGATCAGCGTTAAAAATAGTTGCATTCTTAACATAGTGGCCTCTCCCTTTCCAAACACTAATTTGCACACAGTGCAATTTGGAGCAAAACAGAGAGGTGTTTTAGATGACCATCTTCCTATCATAAGCTAGACTTTTAGGTATACTCAAAAGTTGCTTATTTAAACGTGTATTTAATGTCCAAAATTTAAAAGTTGGGTTCATTGGTGTCCCATTTTAATACGTATCTCTAAGCTTTTTGCAAAGACTCTCTCCAGCTGCAGCTGAGCGTTTCTGAGTCAGCATCAAAGGTAGCCCCTCGTAGAGCACGTTGCAGTAGACCAAGTGGGAGATCACCAGGGCATGTACCACTCTGGCGAGACAGTGAGCAGGCAGGTAGGGGCTTCCGCTTGCGCAATAAGGCTTACCTCTCCTGCTTCTCCTCCCTGCACTTGAGGGGGTTGGGAGAACCCTGCCCCCCCCCCATGATGCACAGGGAGAGGAGAGGGGGGGATGTTTCTGCCTGCTAAGCTGGCATCCTGGAATGTTCAACCTAGTGTGATGTTCAATTCCTTGGAGTCCAGCAACTTCTTAGAGGCACGAGTTCCCCACCCCTGCTGTAGCGACAGACACAATCATGGCACCCAGCAGCATCTCTCTGAATGGGTTTTGAGCCATGCCAGTGTCTGAAAAGAGATGCAAGTTCAAGGTGAAAGAGCAAAACTCTGGAACGGGGAGCCTTGAGGTTCTCCAGGTGTTGCTGGACTCTCACCCCCCCTGACTGTTGGCCATGCTAGCTGAGGCTGATGGGAGCTGTAGTCCACAGCATCTGGAGGGCCACAGTTTGCCCACCCCCTTCCAAAGACTTCTATTTAGGGAAATGATTTGATGCACGGAAGGGAGGATGGGAGATTAGACTGTCTCTGCTGTCAAGTGTTTTCTGCAGTTCATCTGCTAGAGACCCATGTGGAGTGTGTTGCCGGAGTCTGTTTTCGTCTGTGTTTTAGTAACTGTTGGCAGAAGTTAAGCCGATGATGAATAGCATGGGATATGTTCTTGCAGTCTTTCAGTCCCCATCTGTGCTTTTTAAAAGCTAAAGTGAAAGCAGTAGTAAAAAAGGAAGAAAATAAATATTCACGGCCAAAGCAAGGAAAGGATTGCAAACCCAAAGTGGCAGCTTTCGATGAGTCATCAGCAAAACCCAAGCACACCAGCCATCCCAAACATAGACTACGTGTGGATGAATGTGTATGTATTGTGAGCTAAATTTGACCGCCAAAATGGAAGCTGCAGGTGACCTCTTGGTTCTATTCCCCTCCTCTCCCAGCACTTCCAGTTTACATATCAACTAAGCACATGATGAACCCATTTCCCTTCTTGTTCTGGGAGACAGGCAGGATATTTCCAGCAGGAAGGTCTTCTCTGTATGCCCTACTAAGGCTAAAGTCAGCTGTGTTTGTGCATGGTGGGGCTTTCTGAGGGAGCTTCCCTGTGAATTGGGTTCTCCAGGTCTGTCCAGGTGCTAGCATGTGGTCTGCTCACTTTTATCTTTTTTTATATGCCTATGTACAAAATAATAAGTACTGTGCTGTGTTGACTCTGTAGTGGTGTTTTTTTTTAAAGGCAAAATAATTTATAATGCTTGATAAACTCTTTGTGTGTATAAGGATGGTTTCTATGACAAAAAAAGAGGACTAGATCAATAAACGGATTAAATTGCTTTACCAGTAAATACGATGCTTTTGGTGTGTGTTGTGTTTGCTTATAAGATGCCTGAGAATTGAAGGTTTGAATACTTGTGATGACACCCCCCCCACAAACCCTTTTGCCTTTCTGACACCAGGCATCATGGCAGCCAAAGTAGAATGATTTTTACATCCTACTGACTTCTGAATGGAACAGGTGAACTAAAAACCCTGCACCTAGGACCTTGCTTACAGCACCAACATAGATTAGATGGCCAAAGGAGAAGTTGTGGGAACTATAGTTTACCTCTAGAATTCCCAGCACCCTTCACAAACTACAGCTGCCAGGATTCAGTAGGGGGGTAGGTAAGCTTTGTGCTTTAAATGAACAGTGTAGATATGACCTCTTTGTCCTCGTTCCATGTTGTGAGTTCCAGCACCATGTTTACAACCCCTGCCCCCCGAATAGATAAATGGCAATAATCCAAGCTGTAGTGTAACAGAGGCAGAATCATGGTACCCAGGTGACTTTAGACAAGGGTATAATGGAGCAAAGCCCTGCTGAGTTGAAGCACAACGTGATAAATAGTCTGTTGGGGGAAAGAGACCATTAGATAGATAGATATATCTTGCCAAAGTGTATATACTCACTCCTGAGTGGAATTGCTGACTGGCTGGTCCAGTCACTGTTAAGAGGATTATAGAACATTGCTTCTATTCCTCTAGCAAGGAAGTGTGAGCAACTGTTCTCCTCCCTCCTTGGCTCCTGTTGTAAGGACATCTGTAAGAATGTGAAGTCGCACATTGAAGCGTAGACATGCACATGAAGCAGCAGCAGTCTGTGGTCCCTTAAACATTCCAACTCATACTATGAAAGCTAACAACAACAACAATTTTATTATTTATACCCCACCCATCTGACTGGGTTGCCCCAGCCACTCAGGGCATCTTCCAGCAAAATATAAAAACATAATAAAACATCAAACATTAAAAAAACTTCCCTATACAGGGCTGCCTTCAGATTCTTCTAAAAGTTGTGGAGTTCTTTATCTCCTTGACATCTGACAATAGGGTGTTCCACAGGGAGGACGCCACTGCTGAGAAACCCCTCTGCCTGGTAACTTCACTTCTGGCCACGAGGGAACCGCCAGAAGGCCCTCAGAACTGGACTTCAAATGCTACTGCGACTTCAGTGAGATAGATGAATAGAGCTGGAAGGGGTCATTGGAAGCCATATAGTCTAACCCAACTGCTCAGTGTGGGCAATCGAGAGCTTCTGACCTGCTTTTGTTTGAAGGCCTCTAGTGTGGCATGTTCTGCTCTATCTAGAAAGAGGGTAGCAAGACCCTTGTTGCTTACAGAGGGGAGGACATTTGCTTTCAGAGCTGGAGTGATGCAGATGAGGGAATTGGCATTAGCGATGGCAACTGTTTTGGGTGGAAGGAGAATCCTGTTACAGTGACAATGCCACCTCTTCTTCTGTAGCTACCAATTGTCTCACTTGTTGCATCTTGATTTTAACCTGCAGTACCATCCCCTTGAAACGCTATGGAGACCAGTCAATAGATACAGTACCAAACATCTCTCTCCATGCAGGTAATTGCAAGACGCAGGCCATCTTTCAAGCAACCCAACTGCTGGGCCCCTCAAGTCATGCTCTTGATCTGTACGTCTGCTTCTGAAATAGGTACAGCCACTTCCTTCTGCTCTCAGTCCGTCAAAATCTCAAGTGAACCAGATGGTGCCTTTTGCTTCCATGCTATAATACTGCAGGGGAGAGAGAAAGAAGCAAAACACAGGGAGGAATTGATGTGTAAAATCAAAGGGATAGGTGTGCCTGTTCTTAATCCCAAGAACAGGATTGAAATGTACAATTTTCCTGTTTGGAAGTCATATCTTTAAAAAAAAATTATTGCCCAAACCAAAGTAGCATAATCAGTGACCAGATGGCTTATAAAATAAAGTATTAGGGAGAAGTGGGACCTGCAACAAGGTCACACTCACATTATACATTTAAAGCACTAGGATGATACTTTAAACAGACACACTGTGGTTTGTTAAGGGTGCTGAGTGTTGTTTAAAAAGATAAAGGGACCCCTGACCATTAGGTCCAGTCGCGGACGACTCTGGGGTTGCGGCACTCATCTTGTTTTATTGGCCGAGGGAGCAGGCATACAGCTTCCGGGTCATGTGGCCAGCATGACTAAGCCGCTTCTGGCGAACCAGAGCAGTGCTCGGGAGCAGTGTCTATTTATCTACTTGCACTTTGACGTGCTTTCGAAATGCTAGGTTGGCAGGAGCGGGGACTGAGCAACGGGAGCTCACCCTGTCGCAGGGATTCGAACAGCCGACCTTCTGATTGGCAAGTCCTAGGCTCTGTGGTTTAACCCACAGCGCCACCCGTGTCCCTCTGAGAGTTGTTAGGCAACCTCAATTCTCACAGAGTTACAGTTACCAGAGTGGTTCAACAATCAATCCCTCTCCCCAGGGACTGCAGCTTTGTGAAGGGAACTGGACCACCTAACAACCCTCAGCATTTTTTATTTTGGTACTTCTGCAAACTTTTCCCTTATGTGTGGATGGTGTTCTCCAGCTCACAAGAATCTGCTGTGGAGGATGACTTTAACGTTGGCCACGGTGGCTGAGAAAAGGGTAGCAGGTGTCTCCATCTGCTGGCAGATTGAGAAGTAACACCTCATATGCAGCCGGTTGCCTAGCTGTATGCATGAGCGAGAATCGCCTCCAAGAGGTCACGCATAGGCCGGCTGGCAATAAATAAATGTGTGGGGGATCCTCTAGTGGAACCCTTTGCCAGTGTAGGAACTCCACTGCTACAGCATGACTTCTAGGTAACCATGCAACCCATGCTTCAAAAAGAGCTTTTCACTTTTGTGGACTTCCTTGCAAAACTGTGCTGTTTCTCGGAAATTGAACATCCGACGCGGCTTCTGCTTGAGTGCAGGAAGCTCCTGCAGCCAATCGGAAGCGGCGCCTTGGTTTTCGAACGGTTTCGGAAGTCGAATGCACTTCTGGAATGGATTAAGTTTGAGACCCAAGGTACCACTGTACTAGGGAGCTAGTCTGGGACACAAGCTGATGGAGCCTCTGCCAAATTTCAAGAGTAGCCCGCTATACAGGGCAAATGCTCACAATTTAGCAATTTACCCAGCCATTGCCACCTTGTAAAACTCACAAAGGTGCTTAGCAAAGCAGATACTGCTGCTGCTGCTGCTGCTACTACTGTGAGGGTGATCTGGCTGCGACATCTGTCACCCCATTGATCGCCAGGGTTGATTCGGCTGATCTGGCTGGCTAGGCGGGTGTCCCCTTCCTCCCTCACCGCTCCATGTGCGTCCCTCCCGAAGCTGCGCGCTCGGTGGAAGAGGACGACCATCCCAGATAGAAGGAGTGTACTACTACTACTGCTAATAATAATAATAATAATAATAATAATAATAATAATACCACATCCATCTGACTTGGTCACCCCAGCCACTCTGGGTGGCTTCCAACAAATAGAAAAACATACCATATTTTTCACTCTATAAGACGCACCAGACCATAAGACACACCTAGTTTTTGGAGGAGGAAAACAAGAAAAAAAATATTCTGAATCTTAGAAGCCAGAACAACAAGAGGGATCGCTGCGCAGCGAAAGCAGCGATCCCTCTTGCTGTTCTGGCTTCTGGGATAGCTGCGCAGCCTGCATTCGCTCCATAAGATGCACACACATTTCCCCTTACTTTTTAGGAGGGAAAAAGTGAGTCTTACAGAGCAAAAAATACGGTAATAAAACATCAAATATTAAAAGCTTCCCCATACGGGGCTGCCTTCACATGTCTTCTAATGGCTGTATAGTTACTTAACTCCTTGACAGCTGATGGGAGGGCATTCCACAGGGCAGGCGCCACTACTGAGAAGGCCCTCTGCCTGGCTCCCTGTAAGCTCACTTCTCGCAGGGAGGGAACGGCCAGAAGGCCCCTGGAGCTGGACCTCAGATTCCAGCTGAATGATGGGGGGTGGAGGCACTCCTTCAGGTATAAGGGGCCAAGGCTGGGGCTTTAAAGGTCAGCACCAATGCTTTGAATTGTGCTTGGAAACGTACTGGGATCCAATTACAACAGCCTTATAGAGTAGGTTAGTCTGAGAGATAGCAACTGGCCAAAGTTTGGCTAGTAAGCTTCATGTCTGAGTGAGGATTTGAACCTGCCCCTCCCTCCAGTCCTCAGATAGCAGTTGAAGCAGCTCTCCCCGAAATATGTTTCTTGAAGACAACTCACATCAAACCCAACTTGTATGAGACCAATGGCTGGGAATGTTGCGAGCTGGAAGGTACCAAGTTTGGGGCAGTTGCTGGAGCACTCTGTGCCCCTCTCAATATCTCATCACTTCTGATAAAAGAATATTTCAAAGAAGACTGGGAATCTTTTCTAGTCTTTATAAAAAGTTGTTTCCCATACATGAAGGCCACAGCAGGGTTTGAAATGTAAGAAAATAGCAGAACGTATTAAGAAACATGTTGGAGAGGATGAAATTTGATAAGACAGACCCTTAAAACACAATTGTATGCAATTTGGGTTATGAACATTGATGTTGGGCGAGCAGGAAGTTATTAGTTTTGTTGAACTGGAATATAATTGTTGAGTAACAAATGTAACTTTCTATATGGAAAAAAAAATCACTTCTAAAACAGGCAAAACTACCGTATTTTTTGCTCTATAAGACTCACTTTTTCCCTTCTAAAAAGTAAGGGGGAAATGTGTGTACGTCTTATGGAGCGAATGCAGGCTGCGCAGCTATCCCAGAAGCCAGAACAGCAAGAGGGATTGCTGCTTTCACTGCGCAGCGATCCCTCTTGCTGTTCTGGCTTCTGAGATTCAGAATATTTTTTTTCTTGTTTTTCCTCCTCCAAAAACTAGGTGCGTCTTGTGGTCTGGTGCATCTTATAGAGCGAAAAATACGGTAATTGTTTTGAAAACAGCAAGCCTACTGAAAGATACCAATTACACACAGAAACACAGAGCAGACCTAGAATAATAAACAAGAGCTAAAAGTTCAATAAAACCCCTGATCAAATAAAAGAGTTTTTATGAGCCACACACAGATACAAAAACAATCCTCTTGAAAGGGCAGGCTGTCAGAATAGCAGTTTACCTTTTGCCTTGCTTACCTGATAGGGATGAGGCTCAGGCATCCTACGCCACATGACAACAGGAAGCAGAACCCACTGAACCACTCCAAGGTGTTTTGGTAGATCTTGTTATAGACAGCTGAGGTCACAACACCTGTGATCACCAGTGAAAGCTGCAGCAAGACAAACACCTTTCCTAGAAACAAGAGTGGAAGTGGAACACAATAAAATAACACTCAACAACTACTTTCAACAGCTTTGCTTTTTATTTATCACTTTCCAAGCTTTCTAAATTTTTAAAAGATGGCCAAGATGGAGATATATCATGCTGAAAGTGAGTTAAAGAGCCCCTGAGTAATTAAGGGCTTTTAAAAATCGCATTTCTTTTGGCTTCTGAAAAGTGAGCCGGTAAATAATAAACAGCTTATTTCTGCTACCTTGCAGCAGATGGGAGTTCAGAATTTATTGCAGCCCAAAAAGTGGCTGTAAAAGAAACCCGGGCACAGTACCATTATAGATTGGGGGGGGGGGGGGCTTAAATCCTAAAAAATTGATAAATGGTATGATTTTAATTAATTGGGGTATGGGTGAAAGTACAAGCTTCAGAACTGTGCCAGACAAGGAATTCCTGGGCTGGATTATGCAAAATAGCCTGGCTGGCCTTGCAAACAGCAGATCTCTTATCATGATAAAAGGGGTCAATGGACCACCTGAGAGGAATCCTTTGGCCTGGAGAGACAGGTGTTGCCAAGGCTGTGTGTTTGAGGTGACAGGAAAAGAGTGTTTTTGAACAAGGTGTTCTGGGAAGAAGAGAGAGAAAAGACTGGGATCCATCTTGGGCAGGCCAGCTGAAGGCTGGCTGCACTGCTGTGGGGGACAAGCCCCTCTTAAAATGACCATGCTGTAAGACCTGAAACCCATCCATGCAGACTGAAGGTGTAAACAGGTGAACAAGCCATTTCTTTTTTTAAAAAAGCTACGACAGTCTCCACCATGTCTTAATTCTCCAAAGGAACACAGACCTGGGGTGAGTGCCTGGAACCCCCTGGGATCTTGCTATTGTTTGGGAGAGAGTGGGGATGGCACCCAACTTTTGTAACAATACATTTGCTAGTACGTAGTGCTACTTATTAGGGGAGGGGGAGACTCTCTGTTGGTCAGCAGGCAATGGATTTTGTAACCCAATAAAATCTTTAATACAAGCATTTTTTTTTTTTTTAAAGGAACCAAGTCTGGCTTTAGCATCTAGTACCATCAGGCAGCTTGCTTAGAGATCCTTCATTAATTCCGTCTGCTCCAAGTTAGATGCCTGCACCATTAAGTTAATCTATCAATCACCCATGTCATGTACGATGATCATATTTGAAAGATGGAGGCGAGGGAATCTATCCTCCTTAGATCCACTACACAAAATGATAGAAATGTGTCTTGTCTTCATAGCCTTATTCTGAACGAAATAAGTAAACTTTTTTTTTTTTGCATTTAAATGAACAATGCCAAGATGTTCAAAGCAGCAACTTACCATAGGAAGTTCCTTCTATGTGTTTCGACAGCAAAGATCTGATGGTCGGCAAGGGAATGAGGGCAAACAACATCACACCACGGGCTGGAGCAGAAGAGAATGGAACGGAGAGGGTTCATGTAATCATCAGACCAAACTTCCACTGCCTAGCAGTTGAAGTAAGGTAAAGGTAAAGGGACCCCTGACCTTAGGTCCAGTCATGACCGACTCTGGGGTTGTGGCGCTCATCTCGCTTTACTGGCCGACGGAGCCAGCGTACAGCTTCCGGGTCATGTGGCCAGCATGACTAAGCCGCTTCTGGCGAACCAGAGCAGCGCACGGAAACGCCGTTTACCTTCCTGCTGGAGCGGTACCTATTTATCTACTTGCACTTGACGTGCTTTCGAACTGCTAGGTTGGAAGGAGCAGGGACCGAGCAATGGGAGCTCACCCCGTTGCGGGGATTCGAACCGCCGGCCTTCTGATTGGCAAGTCCTAGGCTCTGTGGTTTAACTCACAGCGCCACCTGCGTCCCTGCAGTTGAAGTAGTGCACGTGTTAAAGCTTAAAAAGCACAAGCTAATAATAATAATAATAATAACAACAACAACAACAACAACAACAACAACAACAACAACAACTTTTATTTATACCCCGCCCTCCCTGGCCAGGGCTGGGCTCAGGGAGGCTAACACCAATGAAATCACAGTAAAAAACATAATGGGGGGTGGTGGAACACAAACCAATTTAAAATACAGGTTAAAATGCATTTTAAAATGCAGCCTCATTTTAAAAGTAGTCAATAAATCAAGACCATAAGGGGAAGGAAACATAAGAGTCAGACTGATGACGGAAGCCAGCCGTCACAAATGGCGCTGTTTAGCATTTGAAAAAAGACACAGAGAGCCAGCAATATTTTCAGGACGGTATGAGCAGCTCCTTCGACCACTCTCCTCCGATTTTATTCTCCTTTGTTCTCCCCTGTCGCATGGCCGTTTGCCAGTGTCTCATGTTACCTCATCCGGTCGTGGCTTTTACCCACCCATCGCCATATAAGGTAATTACTGCCCAGAGGGGGAACATAACTCCATATAAGGTTATGCACTTAATACACTGCAAGGCACGGACATGCAGGTCACCGAGGTCAGCAGGCACCATGCAGCAATACAAGCCTCTGCCGTGGCTTTATGACTCCCACAGACTGAGTCCAAACCAAAGGCCAGGCGGATCAGCTCTGTCTTGCAGGCCCTGCGGAAAGATGTCAAGTCCCGCAGGGCCCTAGTCTCTTGTGGCAGAGCGTTCCACCAAGTTGGGGCCAGTACTGAAAAGGCCCTGGCCCTAGTTCAGACCAATCTAACCACCTTGCCATCTGGGACCTCCAAAATGTTGTCATTTGTGGACCTTAAGGTCCTCCGCGGGGCATACCAGGAGGTCCTGTAGGTACGTGGGTCCTAGGCTGCACAAGCTAGAAGCTTCAGATTCGGTTCAGATTCCAGCATGGTGATGAATTAAGGGATCTTCAGGCAGAACATGCCAAGCCTACCCCAAGGCCCATGTGAAATGCTGGGAGAATTGTGCTGGCTTATCCTGCAAAGCCCCTCCTCCTCCTCTGAGGCATAAGAAGCTGGACTTCGAATCTTGGAATTGTAAAGTTGAAAGGGACCACAAGGGTCATCTAGTCCAACCCCCTGCAATGCAGGCATCTTTTGCCCAACGTGGGGCTTGGATTTGATTCAGACACATTCATTTTTTTGCTTCCCAGATATTTCAGCGCCAGGACCGCTGCCAGAAAAAAACAACGCTCCTGCATGGTGGCAAGCTCCACTTGGAGCTGGTGGGCCCATTTGGGAGTTAAGTGCTGTGATTGTTTACAGCTGCATATTCCTGCATCACAAGGGGTTGGATTAGATGATGCTCGGGGTCCCTTCAACTGTACCATTCTATGATTCTAAGGTGTGATTCACCGGTGGGGAGGGGGTTGGTCCACATAGCCAAATTATCATTTAACTGATAATGTCATCAGATGACAGGCATGCCTGTGTGAATAAGCTCTTGCAGGAGCAGCTCTAGTCAGCTCTAGTCAGGTAAATGAATGAATTTTAGGAGTGAATTCATTCATTCATTCACCCCTAGTCAGGTGGTATTCTTTAAATTATTTTAAGAAGGCCTGCAATGTTTTATCATCATAAGTAAAGGTAAAGGGACCCCTGAACATTAGGTCCAGTCCCGGCCGACTCTGGGGTTGCGGTGCTCATCTCGCTTTATTGGCCGAGGGAGCCGGCATACAGCTTCCGCGTCATATAGCCAGCATGACTAAGCCGCTTCTGGCGAACCAGAGCAGTGCACGGAAACGCCGTTTACCTTCCTGCCAGAGTGGTACCTATTTATCTACTTGCACTTTGACGTGCTTTCGAACTGCTAGGTTGGCAGGAGCAGGGACCAAGCAACGGGAGCTCACCCTGTCGCGGGGATTCGAACCGCCGACCTTCTGATCGGCAAGTCCTAGGCTCTGTGGTTTAACCCACAGCGCCACCCACACCCCTTTATCATCATAGTCAAACTAAAAAGTTGGCTTGTACACTATTATTATTATTATTATTAGTAGTAGTAGTAGTAGTAGTAGTAGTAGATGCCCTTCATCTGAAGATATCAGGGTCGTTTTACAACATAAAAATACAAGATGAAAACACAAAATACGTAATAAAAACAGGAATAAAGCCAAAACAAAGCAATAACCCCTTCCCCACCCTGTAAAATCATAGAATTCTGGAGTTGGAAGGATTCTCTGCAATAAAAGCTGAAGATGGCAAGCATCACCTTGTCACTTTTTTTTGTTCTCTCCTACAAAGGACTGCCTCATCTTAAGGCAGGGTCAGGGAACCTGTGGCACTACAGATGTTAATCTGGACTACGCTCCCATCATCCCTGAACATTGCGCACATGTGCATAATCTAAAAAGGAGGTATCCTTGCATTTCCTCACTGGATAGCTCAGTTGGAAGAGCATGAGACTCATGATCTCAGGGACGTGGGTTTGAGCGCCATGTTGGGCACAAGATTCCTGCATTGCAGGGGGTTGGACTAGATGACCCTTGCGGCCCCTTCCAGCTCTACGATTCTATGAAAACATTGTGTGACCTTTTATATATCTGCCACCAGCGCATTCATTTATTAAAGCCTATTTAATTGTGGCTGCAATCCTGCACACACTTTTCTGAGAGTAAGCCCCACTCAGCGGGACCAACACCGGAGTCAACATGCAGACGATTGTGCTGTAAGATCTCTTCCGTCAGGTAAACGCTCTGGGAATCTTGCAAACATTAACTTTCTACCAGGAAATGTCTTCTAACTCTGCTCTGCTTCCCGCATTTGGAACAATAGCCTGTTATTGATTGTAGCCCGGCAAACAGCTGGCAGCCTCCAGATGTTTTGGATTAATGCTCCCACCAACTTGAGCCAGCATGACTAGTAGTAGTCAAGGGTAATGGGAGTTGTAGATCAAAACAGCTGGACAGCACCAGGTCAGGAAAAGCAGATATACACAGTCCCACAGGTGTGCAAAAATGGAACAATACAGGTTGAACTGGAATGGGAGGACAAGGAAGCACCTTTAAGCATTGAGCAACACTTCTGAGGAAGGTATTAATAGCTTTCTGCCAACGTAGTGCAGAATACCAGAATGAGTGCATGGTTTGTGGTTGCTATGCAATACCCTTTGGAAACAGGTTTGGCTCAGCTACACCCACATGTTTTGCTCCGAGATCTTCAGAGAGACATAACAAGCAAGGATATTTTCTTCCACCAAGGCTGACGATGCCCATTATCAGTGCAGCGCAGCCTGTCACCCACGCTACATCACAACTTCCTGCATGCATCAAATGAATGCAACATGTACTCTTTCTCTTTTCACTTTCCCTTTATATTCTTTTATATTATTGTTATTATTTTTTGCTCAGTGTCGGCAAAAAGCTGGAGTTTGCTCCCCAACCTGCAATCTGACCTGGGAAACACTTCCGTGTTGTGAACTGTCCTGAGATCTACGGGTATAGGGCGGTATACAAATTTAATAAATAATATGAATATATATTTTATCGCCTTATTCTGCTGCATACGGGAATTAATGCTGCACCTCCCCACAATGCAGGACAGAATTGGAGGCAGAATCTGGGATCATGGCAACCTTAGCTTTAGAGTTACTAGCCCTCATGATTACTCAAGGCATGCTTGGGAGTGTATGGTTAATGCCTGATGGAATCGCAAAAGCGAGAGGGATGGGTGGGCAAGACTGCCAATAGCTGGTGGTGATGCTCTGAGGGCCTGCACAGCTCCTTCGTCAAACCTAGAAGAAGTGTGCAATATACTATTGTGTGAATCTCTAAAATTTATAAAAGTCTCAGAACTTGAGGTTTTATCAACTCAGAATTTGACTTGCCCGGTCAGTGCCTAAAGAGGATCTTGGGTACCTCATGTAAACCATACTAAGAATTCACAAGGGACATCAGAATACAAGCACAATATGTAAACCCACTGAGTTAGGATGGCTCTACTCACCAACGTAAAACAGGTACGTCCATTGCACAAAGGCCATGATGAGGATGCCCACTGAGAAAGACACAATCCCCATCATAATCATGGTGGTGTCTCTGAAAACCCTGGAGAACATAAAAACTCCCAGGAAACTGGTGATAAAGATCAGAAACCCAGCAGCGTTGGCATAGCCAATATATACCGGCCCCCAGCTCAGGGGCTCCTTCAGGAGAAAAAATGGCAGCACATCCATGGCTCCCACCACAGTTGAGTCATACATTATGGCGGCCACAAAAAGCATGGCAATGATGAGCTTGGAAGGTACCATAGAGGAGCGACTCTCGTGGAAGTGAGGCTCTCCGCCATCATCCTCAGCCAGCTTGATGTCCGGATGGTTTGGCTCTGTGGACGCAAGAGGACAAGACCTTGCAGTCTTGGGGACCCTGAGGACAAAGAGGCTGTAGAGGAGACAGAAAGCATATAAGGCAACGCTGCAAGAAACCAGGACTGCGCCATGGCGGTAGCTGAGGTGGAAGCTGACAAAGAGATGCCCAGAAGCGATGCTCCCCACAAAGCCGGCTATGCCGTAGATGAGCTCGACGACGATGAGGCGAAGCGATCGCCTGTTCTCGGAAGAGCCCTTAGACACCAGAGCCATGACGCTGGCCCAGTATGTGGTGAAGCCTCCAGACAGTCCGTGCAACACAGCAGCCCCATACATCACCTCGATGGGCCACATCTGCAGGATGAGGAGCAGCAGCAGGATCCGGGAGAGCAAATAGCCCAGGAGAGGCACGCAGATGGAGATCTTCCTGCTCTTCAGGTCGCCCAGCTTAGCCAGGCCGTAAGCCGACAGCAGCGGCGTCAAGCCGTCAAGAAGCTTGTAGATGATGAAGAAGTTGGAGATGGCTTTCTGCTGAGAATTCTCGTTGGAGTGAGCCGAGGAGTTGGTCTGGTTGTAGTAGTTCTTCACCACTAGAAGCAGCCCGGTGTCGTAGAAAGAGCTTGCAAGCTGAGCCCCGGCAACAACAGGCTCAATCCAGGTCCTCATCTCCATCCCACCAAGCATGGTCACAGGAAGCTGCTGCTTGTTGATTCCTTTGCTTAGGGCAGAAAAAGAGGCTGGGAGCCAGTTCAGGGTTTCTGATTTTGGTTATAAAAGCAAGACTCCTTATATTAGCTTCAGAGGCAGAGGGCTGTTCAGGAGTCAGGGCAGAGACTGCTTCTACGATATCTCATTCCACACAGACAAACAATCACCTCTCTCTCTCTCTCTCTCTCTCTCTCTCTCTCTCTCTCTCTCTCTGTTTGGAGTCCGCCTACACTCTCTTACTCTTCCTGGTGTGGCTTCAAGAGGTCACATGGCCCTGCCTGGGGAATTTCTCCTTCTCATTTTAGGAAGTGAAAGCAGTTTGGTCAGTTTCTTTTCAGCCAAATAATCAGGGCACTTTCCATGGGTTTAGCCAAGAGGGGGCAGGCAGGGGCCAGCTTCCACCTCCCTAGATCAAGTAAAACAATAGAAATACTTAACTGACCAACCACATTGGTTCTGCCCCCCCCCCAGACCTGCCCCCCCGAAATCCTGGTTACAACCATGGCACTTTCTGTGTATGTTTGAGGGCACTGGGTGATAGGGTAGGATTACAAGGCTCTTTGGAAACACACACACACACACACACGGATGAAAAAATAGATAATGACAGCAGCAGATACTTTTCTCTAATAGTTCCCAAAGCAGGCTTGTACCAGCATAGTTGAGAGGCAAGTGAAAGGGACAATTAGACAGAGAGAAGCAGGTGGAGTGAATATTGTCATTTGTCTTTAGCATGAAGACATCCATTAATATTAGGCAGGTTCCTTTGTTGTGTTGTTTTCAACATCTACTGAAATGTTTTTTGTTTTGCTTAGGCAAGCCTACTCAAATGTATATTTCACACACATTGGGTGTGTTTTTTTCAAATGGATGATTTTTAAAAAAAATGCTTTTATTTTTTATCTATGTCATATTAAATTGTTATTGATATTAATGTTGTATTTTTAGTTTTAGATTTTATTATTTATGTGGAAATTGTTTTCCATTTGGTTGTGTACCTTTTGATGTTTTATAATTTATTGTTTATGACTTTTGTTATGTTGGTAATTATGTAAATCAGGGGTAGGCAACCTAAGGCCCATGGGCCACAAGCGGCCCATATGGGTCATTTAACCAGCCCACGAGTCGCCCCCAAACCGAGCTGCCCACTCAGCGAGTCCCCATGCACTGTGCTAAACAGGCACAGTGCGGCGTGGGGACTCACGTCCGCGGTGCTAGAAATTGCGACTGCGCATACTCAGACACTGAAAATCGCATCTGTGCAGACGCCGGAAATCATGTCTGCGCAGACACCGGAAATCGTGGCTGTGTCACTCACATCATCTAGCCCATGGAGGGATCTCTGCTGGAGTGAACTAGCCCAGGCGAGTTCACTGCTTTTGAATTATGGTGCTGGAGGAGACAAGGAGAAGGGGACGACAGAGGACAAGATGGTTGGGCAGTGTTCTCAAAGCTACCAGCATGAGTTTGACCAAACTGCGGGAGGCAGTGGAAGACAGGAGTGCCTGGCGTGCTCTGGTCCACGGGGTCACAAAGAGTCGGACACGACTAAACGATTAAACAACAGCAGCCCAGGCGAGGTAAACCTTGCCTCCCCCTGATGTAAACCTTGTCATGTTGTAAGCTGCCTTGAGCATTGTTTTAACTATGGAAAGGCAGCATACAAATAAAATGATGATGATTGTATCTACAGTTTGATCATCTTGTATTGACTGGTGTTTTTTTTACGTCTATTGATTTCTCAGAATTTCCGATTGGATATGTTCTGTTATTTTGTGTGTGTGTCTCTTTAGCAGAATAAATAAAACTGTATTAAAAAGAGAGAGTTTGGTTTTGTAATAGAAGTGGCAGGCTTGCATTCCAGAAAAAACCCCTAAATGTTCTCTCGGCCTTCCCATGCTGACGCTTAACCATTTCGGTCATTAAAAAAATAAATAAATTGTCGACTTCCGGGGTGGCGCCATCGGCAATGGCGGACTCCCTCTGAACCGGAGGGACCAGCTCCGCGCGAAACGGGTCTTTTCCGCTGCGGCGAAGCGGGGACCCTTTTAGAAATCACAGGCGGATGAAGCCTGTGACCATGGGACTCGGCGGGCACCCTTAGCGCCCCCCCAACCCGCAAAGGAACCCACTAACGGGTTCCGAAGCGAAGAGGGGGAAGTGGCGCGGTGCTGTGAGTCAATTGCTTTTTCCGTGGAGCAAAGCCGCATAGCCGTTGCCGGAGAGCGCTGCCTTTTTCCTGGGACAATTTGGCATCTAAAATAATCACCCGTGAGTACTTAAACATTGAACAATTGGACTTCAAATAAGAACTGGCGATTAGAAAGGAATTGGACTTAAAAATTTACCTTAATTTGGTACTGAAACGGGAAGGTCTAAACAGGAAGTCAGCCTTCCGTTTCCTTGTAGTTAGAAGAAAGCAAAGACAACGTAAACTAGAGCTTAGAAAATCACTTTCAAAGGATTGGTTTTCACCATTTAAAATCGTTGAACCCCCCTTCGGTAGCAGGAGAAGAAGGGGGATCTTTTTTTGGACTGTTTAAACCTGCAGAAGTGAGTTTAAAGTAAAGTAACTTTCCACCGTCCTGATCCTGGAACGGGGTGTCAGAATTGACGTTTGAAGCTCATTGACCAGAGACAAATGTTTTTGACAGATAGTTAAAAGAAGAGTAACATTGTGATTCCACTGTTTCCTTTCGCATTTTAAAGGAACAAATATTGACAAAATATCTTAAAAAAAGAAACTTTGTTGCTATTGTCCTTAAAAGAAAGAACAACCAGAAGTTTTCCCCCTAGAGGGGGACTGTGAAACTGTAACTAATTCTAGGGAGCTTGCAGCTGCCACAGATTACAACCGTGGGAAAGGACTTGTGACCTTGCAGGACAATGTTTTCAGAAGCACTGTTGGGTGCTTTCTGTAAAATAAATGCCCTATTGGATCAGTTAAGTCAGAAGACGGATTTGATGACTAATGCGGCCAGAACATTTGAACAGGTAGTGGGAAACTATATGGAGCCCACCCAGGAACTTAAACAGGAGTGTGCCATGACAGAACAGTTGAGAGAAGAGGATGTTGCTGAATCTTGGGCGCCAGAAAGGGAGGAACTTTTGGCCCTGCAGGAAAATGAGCCTTTGGATTTGACAAGTGAACTTGGAAAAAACCAGATTTGGAAAGATAAAGTTTGGATTGATTTGGAAATGGGGGGTTGGACTGACCCCCCTATGCAGAGATGTTTGGACTTTCCAAGTCTGGAAATGGGCCGTCAGCTGTTTGGAGCTGTGGGGGCTCCCAATTTTGGAGGGTATTTGAAACATGTCTTAAAATACCACATGGAGTCTTGTCTGGACTATGGGAAAGGGGCTGATTTGTTGAAAAGGGTCAAAAACACTACCAAGCTGGAGTTCCCACGAGTGAAAGGAAAATATGAAGAAGAGCTGCGGAAGGGACATGGAAGAGACTTGAAGGCCTCGGATATAAGATCACCAGGTTAATGTGCCAGACTAATGGGATAAAAAGGACTGACAAACCCGGGACCAGGAGGAAGGGACGCTGGAAGAAGATTGGATTGTTCTTATTTCTTTTTTCTATCATTAGGAATGTTTTATAAAATTGATGAATGTTAGAAAAATGTTGAAATGAAATTACTTGGCTCTTGTAAAAATGTTTAAAGAATTAGGTAAAAAGGTAATGGTTATGAGAAGTTGGTAAAAATAAGACTTAAGTCTTAAGCTTTAAGGTTTTTTATAAGATAAGATGAAAATAGAGTAAGGTAATGTAATGATAGAATACTATGAATTATGGAAAGGATTTGCTGGGACAACTATTAATCAAGATACAAGAAAAGGGAGGAGGAGGAGGAGGTCATAGAAAGAAGGTAATGAAAGTGGAGAATTTGAAAATGATGGTTTTATTTTTTCTTTTTCTTTTTCTGTTTTGTCTTTTTTCTTTGTAATTTAAAAAAACACCTCTTTTTTCAATAAATATCATTAAAAAAATAAATAAATTGCTTGTTGTCTTATTTATAATAAAAACGACATTTTTTAAAAAGTGCAAATCGCACCAGGTATCAGGGACCTTTCTTGGCGACACCTGTCCATCAGCCTTACAGGGCATTTGGTTTCTGCTACAGTCTTGTGGAGTGGAAAATAATATTTAGACAGAACACAGGGGTGCATCTTCCAAAATAGCCTCTCTCCTCTAAGATCCTTACATAACTACTTGGCAGGGACCGCTCAGCCCAATCCCTTGGGCTTTCCATAGCAAAGAGCTAACTCTGTTTCCATACCTACTGTGTAGCAAAATAGCCCTCAAACATCCTCCATGCACATCAATTGTCTCATTAAAAAGAAGAAGAAGGAAACACTGACCCTTATTTTCCCTCTCTTCTTTTCTGGATCAATAGCTGTCTTTGCTGCACCGTCTGATGATCAATTGCTGCTCTCAGCCCATTTATCTTGTCTGTCCTAGAAGCACCCCCTGCAACCTGGCTCCATAAACACGGGAAAGAACCTCTTGAGTAATGCTGGGGTGAGTGAATTGCACAACGGAGAAGCACCTTTACCAATCAACCTCATTCGGTTTTGCAAACAGGGCAAAGGCGTGGGACTAGAGAGAGAGGCCCTGGCATATATACTTGGGAGACCAGCAATTCCCAAACTGTGTCCAGAGATAAGGATCGCAATGAGCTGTAACATACCTGAAGGATGATTAAAAGCAAACAGAGATGACTGGTGCTTTATCATCTGGGAGGGGTGATTCCAAGAATAGCAAGGAGGCGCTGGGAAGCAAGTCTGTGGTCAAGGTATTACAGGCGAATAGAAGGGATGTTCCTTGTTCAGTTGTAAACACCGCTGCTAGGGACATAGGAAGGTGGCTTTCAAAAGGTCAGACTAACTGAGCACCTGAGCCCAATCCTGCCTGCTCCGACTGGCAGAAGCACTTCAAGGTCTCAAGCAGGGATTTTCCCCAGGGCAACTTGGAAATTCCAGGAATCTGGGAGGACCTTTCCCCCTGCAAGATATATATCAGGCATAGGCAAACTCGGCCCTCCAGATGTTTTGGGACTACAACTCCCATCATCCCTAGCTAACAGGCCAGGATGGTGGGTGTTATGTACTGAAGTTTTCACCCTGAGCCAGCAGGGGGATACTGTAGATAGTTCAGGTCCACATATGCAAATAAGGGATCAAAAGTGACATTCAGTGATTGGATAGTTACAGAAAGTTGTTACAGTTACGTTGTACT